GTAGATACACCATAATATGAAAATTGATTGCAGTTTTTAAAAAGTACATTTTGAGGGATCAAATGGTGGGTGGCGCAGCGGTTTGGTGCCTGCCTTTGGCCCAGGGCGCGATCCTGGAGACCCGGGATCGAATCCCACGTCGGGCTCCCGGTGCATGGAGCCTGCTTCTCCCTCTGCCTGTGTCTCTGCCTCTCTCTCTCTCTCTCTCTGTATGACTATCGTAAATTAAAAAAAAAAAAAAAAGTACATTTTGAAATCCTGATCTACCCTGTCTTGAAGGTAAAAGCACTTTAAGTATCCCTCTCATGGCAGTTCCCAGCCTACCTCTCTATAAAAGTCTTGCAATTCAGTATACTTGTATTTTATACTAGCTGGGGCTCCCCAGAGTACGAAGTTGTAACTGGAGCACCGCCTTCCTGAAGCCATCACGTGGTATCTTAATGAGCGCATGCTGAATAGAAAGAGACCCTCTGCATATACACAAGTGGTGTGGCTGCGGGGAAAATCTAGAAATCATTTCTGAACTCTGACCTGCAGGATCACCGCCGCCCCCCTCCCCGCAACCCTGTAACTTCACACTGTGCCACTTGTTTTGAAGAGCTGAGGTGGATTGGGAAAGGCCAGACATAACGTCCACCAACCCCAGCACTGGCCGTGCTGCCAAACACCCACTCTTTGTACCCCTATCCTCCCCGCCACAAGCATTGAAGGCCAAGCTCCAACTCCTGAAACTTGGCCTCTTTGAGGTGGTGAATGAGTGCCCCTGAAACTGTCACTGTACATCTGGTGGCGCGTCTCCTGCTGCCAGAGCTTCATGTGGATTTCATATCCCTTTCCTCAGAAACCTGTAAATGTAAATTCAATTTTAAAACTGGATTTTTTAAACAGTTCGTCTCAGAAGTATCTCTGGGGGTGGAGGGGGGGCAGCACTGGTGGAGGGAGATACGTGCCCTTGAAAATTAGATTCTTTTTTTGGAAAACAGCTGGCACGGGCTCATCGGCAGGGAACTAAATGACCCACTGTTTCTACCTGCTGACAAGCTAAGCCTTGGGACGGCGCTGAGATTAGCTCTCACCACATGGCAGAGGCATGCCTTCTCTCTTTTTCCTTTCATACAAACGGGATAATTTTGTGCCTGTCAAATACTACAGCTTTGTAGTACAGATAGCCCATAAACAACAGCCCACCCACCGCACTAGTGCTGAGCAAAATAACTAGAGGATAAGTTAAAAGGTAATCTCCCTGATGAGGACTGGTTTTAAACCCTTTTCATAATCTGTGTTCTTTGGTCAGTGCTGATAGACAAACCCACGCGAGCTCAGGAGATGGATCCATCCAAAGAAGAGTACCCAGCCCAGTGTCGGGCAGCCCAGACCACGTGGCCTCTTGTTTCCTTGCATGTCAACCGCTACATCTTTTCTTTGAGGAAGGAGGCTTTGGAAGATTATGGTCTTGGGGAAATGAGGCTGTGCGTTTCATTTCTGTCATCCAGTGCTGTTCTCTGTTGGAAAAGGAGGATTCCCTGCCCATTTTGCAAACGCACAGCTGGCTGGAGCTGTAGCAATCTCGGATCAGCTCCGCCCCAGCAGCAGGCAGAGGGGGGCCCTCCCCCCGGGAAACACTGGCCACACGGTTGTAGTGAGTTTCAAAATAAAAGATCCCCGCCTAAGACACCATGGCACTTCCTATCCCATAGAACCAGCATTGTTAACTGTGCCACATCTCTATTCTAAATTTAGGCATCCTTTTTTTTTTTTCCAGGCAAAGATTACTATGCAAACATTTAAGAGAAAAACTTTGCCCAAAGTAATTTTTTCCCTCAACTTCTATTTGGTTTCCTGCAATGTTTAGATGACTCATTCTCTTCCAAGAAATTGTAAAGAAAAGAGATGCAGGCTGTGTGATAGCGCACAAAGATGGCTCTGTAAATTCTCTTTTTCTTCCCTGCCTAGAAACCCATTGCGTTTTTGTTTTTTTTTTTTTTTAACAGGGAACGGAAAGGCCCTGCAGACTTCATTGTCATGCCCTCGGCCTCATCAGGTTTTGTTGTTCCCCAGGATTAAATGTCCCTTCTGTCTTTGGGTGGGGCCCCCTGGTAGCTGCCCAGCTCGCAAGCCTTCCACAGGGCGGCCAGCACGGAAGCCCTTCCTGGCTTGCTGGGCTGCGCTGGCCCCCAGAGGCCCCCAGTGAAGGTCTCTGAAATAGAGACCGGTGGCCCTTTAGCATCCGTGAGAGGAGAGGGAGGCCTTGGCCATTTCCTGCCTCTCTCCTTGGGGTAGAACTGTTCCCATGTGTTGGGGGCTTTGGGGGCCACCTTCGCTGGGGTAGCTCCCCATGCGTGCCCAGCCCAGCCAGCCCAGCCCTCAGCCACAGGGAGCCCTAAGTCAGGATCGCTTCAGCAGCTTGTTCAAATAAACAGGGATAATAGTTGAGTCGGTCCTTTTCCAACTAATCGGTACACGAAAGGAAACATCTGCCTGGGCTTAATTGCTTTTTTATTGGTTATGCTTTTTCTCCTCCCTCTCCCCCTCCCCCTTCCTCCTGCGGCTAAGTTATTTAAGACCTGGGTAAGCAACAGGGTAGGGGAATGGGAGCTTTCTCCCATAACCTCCACCATTTAAACACAAGGAGGTGGTAAGGGAGGTCTGGAGGCTGGCAGCGGGGTTGACCTGGACGAGTGAGGGCAGGGAGCTTGGAAGTGATACTCATGGTCACTTCCTGGCCTTGTTGCTGACTCTGGGGCTGGCTGGTGAGTCATTTTGCCTCACTTCACCTCCTTGGGTCTCTGCTGCTTCAGTGGAGCTCAGCTTTCCTCATGATGGGAAGGAGAGGCTGGTACGCTAGATTCTAGATAAAAGGCATTTCCTCTTGTGGCTTCTTTCAGTGGTTAAGGGCATTGAATGAGAGACGTTTGGGAATGGTAAATTTAAGACTGACAAGATAACCCCGAAGCTGTGCATTTTGTAGAACATCTCAGTCCCCAAGGAGAACTTACTCATTATCTTCTACTTTGGGAAGTGAAGCCAACGAGCTGTACACTGAACTGGGTGGTGGTTCAATCTAATATGGACTCAAGAAGACAGGCAAAAGATCATGAAGAATCATAGAATGGCCAAGGTTAGGGAGGGGCCTTAGGAATGCGTTAGACTTTCATTTTATGGAAAAGAAAATAGGGGCCCAGAGAGATGAATCTTGTTCAAAGTTATCTTCTTGATGGTGGAGGAGCCAGGAATAGGAGAGTCTTGTGATTGCTCCTTCAGGGCTCCTCTTACCCATTTCCACACTACCAGGTGTAAAAAGTCCTGCCTTCCCACAACAAAGGTCACACATATGTTATATTCCATAATTAATTCCATAATAAAACAAAGGCAGAGCATTAAAGAGACATGAAAATGACTGAGGGACATGTAAAAAAAGAAGTTCAGGTTCAGTACAGTCAAAGAACTGCAGATCACAGTAGGATACCATACCCAATCGTCAAGAGAAAAAAAGGTGAAGTGACAGGCTTATATGCTGGTGGTATTTTTCATTGGTACGGTTTTTCTCAAGGGCAGTTTAATGGCATAAATGAATAGTCTTTGACTCAGCAATGTGACTTCTAGGAGACAATGATGAAAGGTGTGTGCATAGATGATACACAAAGTAATGTAATACAGCATATTTTGTCATAAAAATTTGTAAGCAAAGTGAATGTCCAAGAATTGGAGCTACATCAGTATCATCTTTCATTATTTTCTAGAATAATATAGAGGTAACTGTTCACAAATGTTTAAGTGAGTAAGTTACAGTGTGTATAATGCAACCCTGATTTCATGAAAATCATACAGAAAAGACAAGAAAAACGTGTTGATTTCTTAGTGTTAAGAATTAAAAGTTACTTTTTCTTTTTGAATGTTTCCTATGGTTTTCTTGCATTTGGGGTTTGTTTTTGTTTTGTTTTTTTCTTTTTCCAGTTTTCTTATTAATTACAATAAACATATATTCCTTTGGTAGTAAAAAAAATGGTTTTAAAGTCCTACATCTTGAATATAAAGCAAGATCATAAATGATTATGTTTCTGACGTGCAAGACCTCTCTCTTTCTTTGCCTGGAAGCAGAGCCATGCCAGAGGTAGTACTCTACCTTCTGTTAGAAGGGCATTGTTGGTATCTGATTGGTAGGAAAGAACTAGAAGGAGCTGGCAGACGATAAAATGAGGACTTTCTCTCTCAATGACCCAGTGATGCCAATCAGTTTTATCCCCTGCTCTTGACCTCAGCTTAAAACACTCAGTTTAGAAGGCATGACTCTTTTCTCCTTCCTGCTTCTTTATTTCAACTATTCTGTACGTGTAGTTAGATTCCAGCCCTGGGTGGTAGCAACAAAGAACCCAAGAGCCACACTGCTTAAGATTAACCTGTTGGAAACCCCTTAATATGTATTATCAGAATCCAGTAACATTAGCTAATCTCCAAACCAGTCATTATTGGGGTTCCACTGCCCTGGGAGTTTGTGGTAGAAATGAATCAAGTAGCACCTATCCCTCCTTCCTGCTTGGAGGTTCCTACGTGGTGAGGTACTTTGAAGTCCTTGGATGTTTATATATTTCTTTCTATGATATCCTATTTCGCATCTGACTTTCTTGCACAATTCTCAAGAAAGCTCAAGTGCAAGTGTCCAAGAAAGCTTACTCCACCTCCCAACAGTCACTAGGTAGGATATGGCTTTCAGGCCTGCTCTTCAGAGTGTAGGCTTCCGAAAAATCGGAGCTTACACTCATTCGCCCTCCACACGGTTGCCTTAGCAAGGCTATAGAAGGGGCACATTTCATTTTATTCAAACTCTTTGAGTAATCTGACCATAATTGGGTCTGATCGGAGTGGTTATCTGATTTGCTGGATTAAATAATGGGCCTTAATTGAGTCTGTGTTAGTTATAGAGCCAATGCAGATCTTGCCTTTGTCGCCCCCTACTTACTCCTTCTGTTCCCCAATTAACCTTCATTCTTCTTTCCTTGCAGAGTAAAGAAGTCGGCCAGCAGCTCCAAGATGATTTGATGAAGGTCCTGAATGAGCTGTACTCAGTAAGTCAGATGGGTGCCTGGCTCTTTAACAAGCAGAGGGAAGCAGCATTTGGCAGCTTGTGGCCATAGTCACATCAGCAGCAGAACTGAGCTGAGGTTAACAGTGCGTGGTCCCCATTGGGGGTGACTCCACCCATTTCTTTTCTTCACATTCTTAATCTGAATGAGCCAAAACTCTTAAAATAGGCTCCTTCCTCAGTTGTGCAGACTAACTCTGGCCTCATTGGGGCATAATCGCCAGAGACCAGCCCAGGCCTTCATCAGCACAACTGACGCCCACTGGCTGCAAGCCAGGGACCCCAGACCTAATGGCAAGGAACACAGTCTGTTTTGTGCCATTCATATATGCCTGCTGGGAAGGACTTAATGTTCAAGGTTTCGCATCAGTTCTGGGATGGATCTGTGGGTTTGAGACGAGAGCAGGTACGCTAGAGGAAGCACAGGATCCTAAAGGCACCTGATCAAAGGGGCCAATTCAGGCAGAGAGGGCTTGGCATCAACTCCCTGGGGTTTTCAAAGGCCAAACCTCAGTAAAGAGGCAGGCTTCAGGTTTGGAGGAGAAAACACAATCTGTTTTGAAATGGCTGGTGCTTTAAGGCATGTGATGCCTGTGGTTGGTGCATGTTTCTTCATGCGCTGGGAGGAGGAGGTAGTGGTGGTGTCCTCTCCAGCCAGGGTTTGTTAATTATAATTAAAACACATATGCACACCAGGAAACTTAGTGTTGTCATACGGGGAATATTCCAGTTGTGTAGCTAAAGCCTTTCAGGGCCCCCTTCTTCTGCAGGGCTGGCCCAGCCTTTGTGTCATTCTCTGGGGTTGCCCCATTGTGTTCTGGAGGCAAAATAGATTTCCTGTGTTTACTTGGTTATTCACTGTGTTTTCTTTCTTTCTTCTTTCTTTCTTTCTTTCTTCTCTTCTCTCTTTCTTTCTTCCTTCCTTCCTTCCTTCCTTCCTTCCTTCCTTCCTTCCTTCCTTCCTTCCTTCCTTCCATTCTTTCTTTCCTCCCTCATAGGAAAACAGGCCATGGTGACATGCATCACAGGCATTTGGAATCAGAGAATTCCATGTTCTTGGTCCAAAAGCCTAGGTGTGGCTGTTTTGTCATGGCAACTATGAAGCAAGCAAATAGGGTAGAGTAGTCATCAGACTGGTCTCCAGTGACACTCAGTTTGTTTGGAACTTCTGCTCTGTGATTCTGCTCTGAATCCAAGTAGATAGATGGTACTCTTTGATTCAACTCCCAAGTTTTCATTTCTTTCAAGTGCAGTTAAGGCTTTTTTAAAAAAAAAAACAGAAGAATGCTGATGTGAACCATTTACAGACTAGATGGGTTTTCCTAAACCCCTTTGTCTATCAGTGCTTTGCTTCTGCATTTTATTTTTCAAGCATCTTCTAGGCACCAGGAAGAGCTATTAGTCCCTTCTCCTGGCAGAGATTTCCCCATGATAGACTGTGACAGAGGAAGTCATTGTATGAATTCTTTTATTTTCTCATAAGCATCATGGGCCTCTGCTACTTGCTCCTTCTGGGAAGGAGTAGGATGGAGAACCAGCAAACCCCAAACCAGCTCAACCCCAAGTTGCCACTTCTGCAGTGGGATTTGAGGTAGCCACAAAAGAAGAGTGTCCAGGGATCCATCATACTTTGCTGAGAGTCCGAGATCTCCTAATATGCTATGATTTTTAAAAAATAAGTAAGTGAAAAGGTATACTTTGTGGGAAAACCATGGAACTTGCTGCTCTGGTTTGAAGAGGACTGAACTGTCTCATAGGACTGCAATCTTCAGGCAATCGAACATTGGCCAGTGCTTTCCTGCTCTGCACAGAGCCTAAAATCTTCCTGCCTGGCACACAGGCTGAGAATTGGCTGGGCATGGAGTCTTCTGCCATGAGGCAAATTGGTATACACTCTTTTATTTTTATTTTTGTTTTATTTTATTGTAGTGTAGTTGCCACACAATGTTCTGTTGATTTCGGAGGCACAACATAGTGATTCAACAAGTCTGTACAGCATGCTGTGCTCACTGAGTGCAGCCACAATTTGTCACCATACAATGCTATTATGTTACCATCCAGTATATTCCTTTGTGTTCTGTCTTTTATCCCTGGATACACACTCTTCTAATCTGTCCAAGGCCAAAAGAAAAATTTAACATTTTTCCCTAGCAAGCGATGGGAAGGGAAGAAAGAGTAGAGAACCCTGGCAAGTTCCAGGGAAGGCAGAAGGGTCTGGTAGGGCGATTCTCAAGCACAGTGACGTTTTCCTCCAAGGGGATATCTAGAAATGTCCGTAGATACTTTTTTTTTCATGGCTGGGGTGGGGCTGTACTAGAGTTCATGATGCAGCTATAATCCTGTAATGCATGCGATAGCCCCCTACAACAAAATTATCTTGCCTAAAATGTCAGTAGTACCAAGATTGAAAAGCGCTGGTCTGTTGACTGGAGTCCACCAAACTAGGCCACCAGATTCCACCTGATGTGCCACTAGCTACACCTGGAGGATGTGGTGACCTCCATGACCCAGGTCCCCATATACTTCATGCACTGATATCTCCAATCACATTTTCTGAAATATGAGACAGTAGTTAACGGTCAAGTGAGTGTGCAGATTCTGTAGGCCATTTGGAAGTTCAGAGGATAGAATTATGAGTTCTTTCTTCTGTAGGATGCGGTACGTGTAGGCCTGGCCTCAGTAAGGCACCATGGCATTAGGGTGGCTGACTATCCCAGTTTGCCTAGGACCTGAAGGGTTTTCCAGGGCATGGGACTTTGAGTGCTACACCTAGGAAAGCCCTTGGTAAGCCAGGATAATTGGTCACTCAACATGGTGATTTCATCAAGTAGAAACTTGGCACTATTATATGCTGGCTTTGGGAAGCTACTTGCAGAATGTTCTTTCTCCTTCTCTCAGAGGAGCTAAGAGAACAACAGAGATCTTTTGATAAGGAGCTTTTACCTTATTTACTTTTTGGGAAGGCAAAAGGGGCTCTTGCTTCAGTGACCCTGTGGGCAAGAAAAGTTATTTGTGGCATGGAATAAAGGGAACCAAGGATATAAGGAACCCACCATGTCCGGTGCTCTCCTTAGCTTGTATCTCCCCTAATGCTCAAAATATTTCTTTTTGGGAGACTGATTACCTAAGGGGGATAATTTAAGTATTTTTGAACCTTGATGATCCAAGGGGCAGAGCCTCGGTGTTCTCAAATAAAGATGCTTTTCGGCAAGAGGCCCAGACTCACACCATAAGTGGCCAGCTGCCCCTCTGTACCCTCCTTTTTTATGCCTGAAGGACCTTTGATTTTCCTGACTTGGCATTCTGTGCAAGGGGCTGCTTCCCACAGCTGCCTTTCAGAGAGCAGCTCAAGTGAGCATTCTCCTCCATATGTTTTTCCCCCCATAATGAGCCTAGCTAGTTAGTAGGCCATGGCATAAGTGGTTTTCATTTTCCAACTGGTGACCCCAAATGCCTTTGAAGTTGGAGCACACAAAGAACTCTGGAATTCTCTGCCTCATTTGTACTCATAGTTTGTATCTGGAAAAGCCCAGCAAGTACCCACAGGAAGGAAGGTATGTGGGAGTATGGGAGCCACATGGATTGGCTAAGTAGGAAGAGTCAAGCCCTATAATTAAGAAAGAAAGAAGAGGTGTTGTGACACTGGGGTATTGTTGCCCTAGAAGTTCTGTTCTGTACTCCCCCTGAATATATGGCTCCTTGATCTGGTGCAGCAGCTGTCTGCTGGTGGAGCCGCTGAAGACTGCTATTTAGCACCTGCTCTCTTGAAATAACGTCAATGAATAGTACCCTCACTCTGCTTGCCTGTTTGTCTCCAGCACTAGGCACTAGCAATACGAAGACAAATAAGAGATGTCCCTGAACTAAAGGCATTTAGTTTTAATAGAAGAGACACAGAAGTAAAGCAGCAAGTAAAATATGAGGTGATAACATTTACATGTCTTCCCAGAGGAAGGGCATAAAATCGGGCTCCTTAGAGAGATATTTGAATTGAATCTTAATTGCCAAGATCTCTCTTCTTGTTCTCTAAATGTTCCTCTTTTATTGCATTCTGTTCTTATTTCATGATACAGTGTCTTTTCGTTTTTCATTGATGTATCTAGAGATACTATTCATTGGTTTTGAAGGTTTCTTCTTTCTGTATACCTTCTGTTCCCTCTCAATGGTTTTGGCCTTTCATATTAGATATTTTTCTTAAATGTTTGGTAATCTTTAGCTGCCTTTTCATATTTTTTTTAAGATTTTATTTATTCATGAGAGACACAGAGAGAGAGGCAGAGACACAGGCAGAGGGAGAAGCAGGCTCCATGCAGGGAGCCCGACGTGGGACTCGATCCCGGGTCTCCAGGATCACGCCCTGGGCTGCAGGTGGTGCTAAACCACTGAGCCACCGGGGCTGCCCTGCCTTTTCATATTTTAAAGGGAGGCATTGAAAAGCTAGTTGGAAGTTCTGTGCCAACGGTGGTCTTTACTGTAGGGTGATCTGACTGGTGTGTCCTTAGGGAAGCCCTGATATCTATTTCTAGGTCTTTTATCTTGGATAGTCAGATTCCCCAGACAAGGCTCTCCTGACCTCCTGCCTAGTCTGTGACCTGAGTTGTGAAGGGGCCACGGCCATCACAACATTCAGTATAGCATTTTCAGTTGATCTTCCTATTCTAAGTTCAGTACCCCCTATCCTCAGGTGAGCCTGGTGTCCCAATCCATAGGCCTTCTATAAGAGAATATGCCTCTAGTTCTCCACAATGGAGGGGGAGGGGATGGGATCTGGGAGTCTAACAATTCTTAGGCTTTCAGTAGTTTCTCTTGTTTTAGCTCCACCTTCATCCCACTGCCACCACCAGTTCCTCTTGGGGCTTCTGTAATGTAAGGCTGGTTGCTTGCCTCTGCCTACTTTTGGTTTAGGGTTTGGTAGATGATTTACTACTTGCCTCCCTGCTTTTTAGGTGCTGCTTTCATTCTTTTTGTTTTTCTCAGTTTATATCTAAATAATAATAATAATAGTAATAATAATAATAATGAATTCTTTTCTATTATTTTAGTCTGGCTTGGGGAGAGAGCAGAGCTAATGGCATGAATTAAGATTTCATTTTTTGAAGTAAAGTGAATTCTCTTTGTAGAACTGAGAATTTCAACTTCTGGATTTTTTCCCTAATTTATATTTGCCTCACTATATGTATATATTTCTCCAAGTCCTATTTTGACTTCTCTATTTCTCCCAATTGTTTTGGCATCACTTATTCAAGCTTTGGCCTCTGGATACCTCAATTTTTCCTTGAGTTGAAGGATACTAGCTATACTTCTTCCGTATTTCCACAGAGGAGAGACCTGGTGTCATCAAGTCATTTGGGCAACCACATTGATTGTAAAACTACCAACTATGTACATGACACATTTCCCAACTGTGGAGAAGAGAAGAAAACACAGAAGAGGTGTTTACCCTTAGGAATTCATAGTTTTTTTTAGATGAGGTAGTGTAACTCTTTTAAAGAGAGTCCTTTAGTGGAAAGGAGCAATACAAATCACAAATCACTAATTTTTATTACTTCATTGTTGTCTTCTGGGTATTATTCCTTTGAGTCCTTTTTCATCTCATATTCATTCTTAGTGTTTCTTCTTTATCCATCATGCATCCTCATGAAATGGAAAATCACTTTTTAAAAACTCATTCATTCTTATTTTTTTTAATTTTTTTTCTCATTCATTTTTATAACTGTTCATTCAAGCTTTTGAATCCACATTCAGATAGAAAAAAAGTAGTCTCCTGAATACCCTTCTTCAGTCTGGATAACAGATGACTCTTCTTCACTTCTTAGTCAACCTGGAATCTGGAGGACTGTTTGAATTACTTAGAAGGGTTTTTAATGGTACCAGGTATTAAATATCACTTCTCCTCTGTAGAGAATATACAGAGTTGATCTTATACTTACGGGAAATAATGTCAGGTTGAAAATAACGTGAGGCTGATTTAAAACATTCGTATCCAAAATGAGACATCTAAACTCTAATGTACTTTGACTTTGTCAATGTCCCAGTATTCTTTATTTTTTCCACTACCTCTCGCTGATTCTAAGGCATTAGTACATCCATAAGGTCCCTCTAACCCAGGGTTTCTCAACCTTGGTACCATGGACATTTTGGGCAGACAGCTTTATTATGGGGGCTGTCCTGTGCACTGACTGTTTAGCAGTCTCCCTGGCCTCTACCCACAGGATGCCAGAGCAAGCTTCCAAGTTGTAACCATTAAAATCCTAAGGGATTTAAGGGATCTCTAAGGGATCTCTGGGTGGCTCAGTGATTTAGAGCCTGCCTTCAGCCCAGGGCATGATCCTGGAGTCCCGGGATCCAGTCCCGCGCCGGGCTCCCTGTGTGGAGCCTGCTTCTCCCTCTACCTGTGTCTCCGCCTCTCTCAATCTCTCTGTGTGTCTCTCATAAATAAATAAATAAATAAATAAATAAATAAATAAATAAATAAATAAATATCTTAAAAAAAAAAAAAGGTCTCTAGATTAGCCCCCAGTTGGGACCACCACTCTAACACAAAGCCACTGATAAAACCAGTTCCTCTTTTCGAACTAGTCTTGGTTAAACCTAACCTTTCCTACCAACTAACCCGGCTCTGGTCCTATTTAGAGGAAGACACTGGTGCCTAGTAGCTCAGAATGTGGACTTTATGGTCTGACAAACCTGAGTTTGAATCCTGATTCTGCCATTTACTAGTTGCGTGACCTTGGGTGAGATAGTTTAATCCCTTTGAGCCTCGGCTTCCCCATCTTTAAAAGTAGAGATAATGACATATCTCATAGAGTTGATGTGAGGGTTCAATGAGGCGACACATATAAAGCCTCTGACACACAGCACATACTAAGTAAGCGATAGAGATTATCAATATTATGCCCCTCCTCCCCTCTGTTATTCAGTCTGCAACCCAACCCCACATACATGCATCCCACACTCTCTTTCTCCCTCTTAAAGAGATTGCACAGCATCAAAATATCGGCACTCTTACACTTCAGCTTGCTTAGTTGTAATCAGCATTTTTAATTCCCAGATAGAAGCTAGAGACTCCCTGTGTGGAAACACAGCTCCAGCAGGGAAGAGCAGGCACCTTGTGGCTGGAGGTATGCTTGGGAGGAAATATACACAAGATCTAGGCTTTTTTTGTTAAGAAAAGAGATTGGACTCCCCAACAGTGGCTTTGGTGGGAAACTTGAAAATTGCATTTCTCTCCTTTAACATTCCTTCCTTCCTGTGGCAACTCTGGTTTCACCTGATGTGGGTTTTATTCCTTCTTAGGCTCTTACCTGAATTGTTGGCTGGATTAACAGTCTTCATAGGGTTGTTTTCTAGATCACAGGGTTGCTGTATTTGCGTGTATAGCACTTGGCACAAAGCCAAGCATATACTACATGCTCAAGAAATGAAAGCTGCTGCTGTGGTTGTAGTGAGTTCAATGTACCTATAGCAGACAGACTGGATCCCTAGAATGCTAGGCCAGCACAAAGAGCTTTTGGAGCCTTGCTTCTTCCCCATTTTATATCTGAAAGGTTTGAAAAGATTGGCTATTCTGCAGGCTGTGCTGCCTCCCCAGGGTTCCTACCCTGCCTGGGAAGGGCTTTGTTCTTGGGATCCAAGTGGTGAGGGGGTTTCTTGTGTCTTTGGTGTTGTGTGGTGGCGAAGCGATAGAAATTACTTGGCCGATATGAAATAGGAATGATTATAGGTGTTAATAAATAGAAGTAAATAATACGTGATGGAAGACATGAAGTCATTTTAATGAGACTTATTGGCTCAGTTCAAATGCTGCTTTCCTGTGCTTTGGGTGGTCTTTAATATACAATGTTTGCTGAACCAAACACTTAAGAATTATTCCCTTAAGGGCATGAGAATATTGCTTCATGTGGGACAGGTCCCTGAATCTGTTAGTCTGTAAAGCAGAGAATTGACCCCATTGGCTTGACCTCTGGGGGCGGGGGTGGGGGATGTCTTGCAGGTCATGAAGACATATCACATGTACAATGCCGACAGCATCAGTGCTCAGAGCAAGCTAAAGGAGGCAGAGAAGCAGGAGGAGAAGCAAATCGGAAAATCGGTAAAGCAGGAAGACCGGCAGACCCCACGCTCCCCTGACTCCTCATCCAATGTCCGCATTGAAGAGAAGCACGTCCGAAGAAGCTCGGTGAAGAAGATTGAGAAGATGAAGGAGAAGGTATGTTTCAGCATCTGTGGGGGCTGGGGAGGAGCACTCTGGGAGTCAGGGCTGATAGAAGTTTCCAGTAGGGGCTATGAAGAGAAGGACAAAGAAACTCTGGTTCCTTTAGTGCCTAATGGTCAAAATGAGTCTTTGCCATCTGCCCTGGAAGAAGTTCTAGGTACTGGAGGAAGATGGGCATGGAGGCTCCAAGTTTTTCACCTGTAGCAGATCCACAAGAAACATTAGAAACCTTTCTCATACCTGGCAGAGGGACTGCAGACCTAGGGTTTGGCTTCAGGTGCCCTGTATCCTAGGGCAGATGTAGTGACGCCTTCTTCCGGGTCCGGTACAAGGATGGAGAATGGTGTTAGTAGTTACAATCAAAGTGGGACATGCATCTAAAGTAGGGAGCCTCATTAACCTTTCCTGAATTGATCTACATTATGCCCTTGAATCTCATTAAACAGAATTAGAACCCAATTTAAGGCAGACGCGCATAGGGAGTAGCAGTACAATTGTGGTTCTCGAATGTACTGTACTTTCATCTTTTAGAGAACAGTCTCCCCTTTAAAAAAAGTAGAATTGAACTTTTGTTCCCTTTTCAGCGCCAAGCCAAGTACACAGAGAATAAGTTGAAGGCCATTAAAGCCCGGAATGAGTACTTACTGGCTCTGGAGGCAACCAATGCGTCTGTCTTCAAGTACTACATCCACGACCTGTCTGACCTTATTGATGTAAGTGCTTAAAGCTGGGGGCTCAAGGGCATCTTCTTCCTGGTTTTGGAGAATTGTCTGGATGTTCCCTAGTCTGTTGCTCAGGCATCTTCAAGCATTTTTAGAAGAATTATGAAGATAGTAGCTGTGGTCCATTAGGGGCTTGCCATGTTTCAGATACCAGGTGAAGTCCTTTATACTTTATCTTATTCAGTTCTTACTAGGATCCTGAGAGGAAGGCACTCGTCCATTTTTAGAGTTTAAAATTCAGAGTTTATTTGATTTATTTTTTTTAAAGATTTTATTTATTTATTCATGAGAGACAAAGAGAGAGACAGAGAGGCAGAGACATAGGCAGAAGGGAGAAGCAGGCTCTTGCATGGACCTGATGCAGGACTCGATCCCAGGACCATAGGATCATGACCTTAGCTGAAGGCAGATGCTCAACCACTGAGCCACCCAGGCGTCCCTAAAATTCAGAGTCTAGATGACTCATCCAGAATCAGCTAATAAGTGACAGAGCCAAGATTTATCCCTGGGTCTGATTATTAAACCCATGCTCATAACTGTAGTGCACGTCTCTCCCAGGAAATATTTCCTTAGATCAGCCACTTGCATGTAGGAGTGAGTGGCAAGAGCTAAAGAGCTAAAATGCCATACCTTATATTTAGATAGTTAATATCTCTTGGTATTATTTCATTTGACTATCACATCACCCTGTGGGTCAGTGTTACTATCTCCAATTTGAAGATTAGGAATCTAGGCTCAAGGTTACCTGCCCTCAGTTACACCGCAAATGAGGGCCCTGGTCAGTAGGAAGCTGGATGCCCTTGACATAGGGCCCATGCCTTCTGACATATGGCCCAAAGATGATGAGAAAAGCAGATGAGTAGACACCTGTGTTTTGCATGGCTTAGACACAAGGAATATGCTTTTTGTCTTTGACCTTGGGGGTCAGCCTTGCAATCTCTCTCACCTGCAGACTCCCAGCCGGTCCATTGCATGAGCCAGCCTGGACTATAGCTGCAAGAGTACGCTCTTCCCTCCAGTCTTCAAAGTGGGGGGCCTGGAGTCAGCTGACTTTGTGTCAGCAGCCACCCTCTGGGACTTCGGGCGGACCTGAGCTGGTATCCTCTCTGAGGCCTGCTATTTGCCTCTAGCTGTTAGCAGGCAGCCACTGGACTTTGCTGGCCAGACCTTGCCCCCTTGCCCAACTTGGTTTCTCAGTGAATGAACCTACCACGCTTCACACATGAGTATTTGATGTGTGGTCTAAGATTCAGGTCATATGGGGCTTATCACTGAACTGTTTTTGCTCACTTTGCTCCCCTCTCCCCCACTTCTTTCTGGCAAACAGAAAAATTGGACTAAATCATTGGTACTGAAATCTGACTCCACATGCTTGGGGAACATTTCTAAAATACTTCCTTGAGCCAGGGATTTTTGATTCAATAGATGTCAGCCTCTTCATGCCCCGGGTATCATTGCCTTACTGGGTAAGTGGAGCCCTGATGCCTGTTCAGGCACCACTTTGTTCTCCTTGCTTGTTGATGCCAATCTGAACACTGTCCTTCAGTGGAGGTCAGAGCCCTACACAGGATCCTTTCTCCTCGTGAGGGGAATGGTTCTTCACCACTGGGAGAGACACCTGTTCTCAGCACAAGGAAGAGAATCAGTTCTTTCTTATGTTCCATTTCTGCTACTTATCTCACATTTGTTGAAAAAGAAAATTAGGCCATGCAGTCCATTACACCTCTTCCTCTGGTTTGTCCTTTCCTTTCTTGCCTCCAGGGTAACTTCCTCACCCCTTTCACCAAAATGCCGATCTGGGAGTGGGGTGAAGGAGAGACCTTGGCAATCCATAGACCCTCCATCAGATGTGAGTAGGTGTTTTAAAATGTCTGAGAAACAAGCTATTTTGCTACTTATTCTCACTTTAAAGAAGAAGAATAAGAAAGGTGTGTTAAGAGCCTGTCTTCATGGGATGTGGTATGAAGTCTCATGAAAAAGCAGCCTGCCAGCCTCCTTAACACTCAGGGTGTGGGTGTAGGCTACTGTGAGCAAGTCTGGGTTGGCACCATTCCAGGCCACTCAGTAAGTTGCTTTTGTTTTGTTTGTTGTTTGTTTTGTTTTTATTTTTCCTAAAGTGAGGACAGATTCATTACTCTTTTTTTTTTTTTTTAAGCTGGTAACATTATTCGGCTAAGTAAATATTTATTTGGAATGAGGCTATGTGCTTAGCATCAAGGGTACAAAAGGTATAAAATAATTTTTGCCCTAGAGGTATTCATAGACATTGTATGATATTTTCTATGTAACTGGCTAATTGCAACGTTAAAGGTAAGCCCAAGGGGCCCCAGGACAGTGTTCTTCAAACTATAGGTCATGATCCATCAGGGGGGAGTCATGAAATCACTTTTTGGGTTTGACTTATTTTTTTTTAATGAAGGGATTAGAATAGAATAGGAAAGAAAATAAAATATGTGAGTACATCATACTAGTAAGATTAAATTTTATTTTGTGAAATTGTTATGTTAGGGGTGTGTGTGTTTGTGTGTATGACAAGATGTATTTCTTACTGTGAGTTAGAAGTCAAAAAAAGTTTGAGTCCCTGCACTAAGAACAGAGGAATGTCTCTTAGTCTCTGTAAACTCCATGAGGGCAGGAACCAAGTCCTCTCTTTATCCTAATACATAAACTGGGGCACCTGGCTGGCTCAGTCAGAAGAGATACGACTCTTGATCTCAGGGTTATGAATTCAAGTCCCATGTTGGGTGTAGAGATAACTTAAATATATATATTTTTTAAACTTTATATATTGGGATGCCTGGGTGGCTCAGTAGTTGAGTGTCTGCCTTTAGCTCAGGGCGTGACCCTGGAGTCCCAGGATCGAATCCCACATCAGGCTCCCTGCATGGAGCCTGCTTCTCCTCCTGCCTATGTCTCTGCCTCTTTCTCTCTGTGTCTCCCATGAATAAGTAAATAAAATCTTTAAAAAAACTTTATATATTAAGATATTCTTTTTTTAAAAAACATGCACAGTGCTTAATACATAGCTGAGCACATAGTATAATTCATTGAAGGAAGAAAAGAATAGAAGGAGGAGGAAGAACGTGATTTCGTAAGGCAAGATTTTTTCCCCTTTTTATGCCTTTTAATACTATCTGCAGATATAATTTATATACACTGCTTGAACTTAAGTGTTAATAGTTTCAAGAGTTTTGATAAATTCCAGCACCCTGGTAACCTACATATCCATCAAAATAGAGAACATTTCCTTTACCTCAAAAAGTTCCTCTATTTTCTTCCCACTCAGTCCCTTACCCCAAGGCAACCACTGTTCTGATTTCTTTCACCATAAATTAGTTTTGCCTATTGTAGAACTTCGTAAAGATGGGATTTTATAGTATATACTTTTCATACCCGGCTCCCTTTTTATCCAGCGTGATGTTTTTGAGCATCGCCACTGCTTGTCTGTGTATCAGTAGTTTTCTAAATGACCCAGGCAATAAAAATGGCCCAAAGAACACTTTGGCAGCAAACCAATCGGTAGGGCAGGAGTGGGGAGCCTGGGTACCTTGGCTTTCTGATCTTGACAGTATCCAGAACTTGCTTTATGACGTAGGATGAGTCTTGTGCCAGTTTGTCGCCATCCACGTTACATGCACCATGCTGCCTCCTTCCTCCTGGTGCAGAAGCGCAATGTGTGCTGAGGGCATTGAGGATAAGTCAAAGGAAGTTATTTTTATCGACACCAGTGCACGGACACAAGGACTACCCTTTGACTTCATTTTATAAGATAATAAGATTTAAACTTAGACTGTAGAAACCCACGCGAAGCATCTAACACACACCAGAGAAACCTTGACTTCAGGCCAGAAAGACATTCTGAGCTGACTTGATGGAGTCTAAGAACTGTAGGCTCATTGGAATGTGGCTTTCCTCCCCCGTACTCCTGTGGCTTTCCCAACCCAGGAGCAGATGGATGAATGAAGAACAGGGCATTGTGCTCATGCATAGCTGGAGGTTTGTGAAGGCTACATACATGGGTAGAGAGAGTCTGTGACACCTTGTGCACCCAAGTTGGACATGAGGGAACTCAGCCTTCTTCACAGGAAAGTTTATAAAGGGCATTTCTTTTTCTCTTCTGTGTGAACTAGAAGTGGATATTATGAAATACCCTTTTTTTTTTCTAGGCCTTCTCTAGAGTCTCTTCATGAGGACGTGAACCAGTAAAGGGTTAATGAGCTGTCAACTCAAGTCATCACACATCTGGATGGGCTATCATTAAATTCTTATAAAAATTTGATTTCCCCTGAGAGAGTTTTCATCAAACATTTATATAACCCAGAAATGGCCAGGGGAACTCAGCGTGGCCACAGAACTCATCAGAAGCCACCAAAAGCATACTTTGTCCCCATTGTGAGGAAAATAATGTGCTGCCTCTACTCACTGGGATTCTCCTGGGAACAGAGATGAAATATTCAAATCTCGTTTACCTAACCTTGCCAGAAATTGCTTCTTTGCTAAGGCCTCAGTTTCTGGCTGTCGCACTCACAGAGATTTGTGGATAGCCAAGGCTCTGTAAAACCAATTCCAAGTCTCCCTGGTTGGCTGGAGGCAGAGAGGAGCCAGACTGCACATTGTGAGGCAGACCCCCACTCACTGGCACAGAGAAGCTACAGAACAATTGTATCAGTGAGGCAGCCGGCAGCTGGAGAAAGCTCCCTGCCTTCCATAGGCCATACAGACTGAGCGATATAAGGGGCTTCCAGTGGCCATGTCTACCCACATGACTTAGATTGGTATTCAGCCTAAATGGGTTATTTCCTAAGAGGCTAAAATCAATTGATGTGTATTAAATGCCTACTATGAGCAAGGCTTCTTGGTGAGGGATACAAAGGAGGAATGACACTGGCCAGGCCCTCTTTGAGGCTTGTCTTCTGCTTGGGGTGATAGGAAATGGCAAATCTCAGAGTGAGGCAGTGTGTTTGCTGTCACATGAGGGCTGGTGTGCTTTGGCCCTGAGTAGAGGCCAAGGTTAATAGATGCCAGGGTTGCAGGGCTGGCTGGCTTCCCAGAGGCTGGGAATTAGGTTTGGATTTTGAAGATTGGGTCCATTTCCAACAAGTGAGAAGAGTGGAAAATACGTCAAGAAGGGAGAATGCTGGGGAAAGGGCAGAGGTCAGTAGATTTGGGGATCTTGGTGGTTGATGTGGAAGTATCTGCATGATGCCAAACGTATGTAAGTACATTGCCTTTTTTCAGCCTCACTATGATCCGTGAGACTGCTGTTGTTCCCCTTGGAGGCCAAGGGGAGTTAAATTGCTTGCTTGTGGTCATGCAGCTGATTTGAGGCCTGAGGCCTGCTGTTTTCCCATTCTCTACCCTAAGCAGGATCATGTCATTGGTTAGAGCAGAAGAGGCTGAGGAATGGAATAGAGGGGAGATGATGTGGATGGTCAGACTGCAAGGCAGATTATAATTTGTTCTGGCTGTTGACCTTGCTTAACTTCACGGAGCCTCAACTTTCCAGTCTGAGAAAGTAAGATAATACCAACCTCACTAGAGTTATTATGAGGATTCAGATGCAGAATGTCCAAAAAGCACTTAGTGCACATCAGATATACAGTACGCACACTTAGTAAAGTCGAGGTCTTTTTAAATTTCCAAAATGAGGAAGGTGGACTTCACTTTAGAAAAAAACTAAGCTGGGGCACCTGGGTGGCTCAGTCGGTGAAGGTGAAGTATCTGCCTTTGGCTCAGGTATGATCTCGGGGTCCTGGGATCTTGCCCCGTGTCTGGCTCTCTGCCCAACAGGGAGTCTGCTTCTCTCTCTCCCTCTGATCCTCCCCCCGCTCATGGTCTTGTTCAATTTCCCTATCTCTCAAATGAATGACTTTTTTTAAAAAATCTTAAAAAAAGAAAGAGAAGAAAAAACTGAAAGCTTTTGTAAGTTCTTTAGCTGGCAAGTGGCATAACAAAAGCCATTTTTGAAGACAGTGAAGCAGACAGCACTGGTGTAGAAAAGGGTATGAATCAGGGTAGAGGTAGAGAGAATGAAGAGGAAAGTGGAGTCACCAAAAATATGTAAAGATGATGAGAGGCACCCCGCCTCCCCCTAATTCTCTTCTGCACTCAAAAGCTCCCTACTTGCTCAGCCCCGTAGGCCATGTTACTTCTGTTCACAGATTCACAGGCATCCAGTTTCATCATCAGCATCTGCATAGAGCTAAGTCAGGAAGGTTTGCAAGTTCAAGGGCAGCCTGGCTAGACCAGCAGTGTCTTTCGGAGGAGAAAGGGCCCCTGCACATGAAGTCTCCCAATCAGCTGCTTTTGTCTTGCTTCCATTTGCTCTTCCATCCCAACTGAATTTAATGTCTTTCCATCCTCTGCCCCTAGTTCAGCTGTAACTGCTGTTCTTGCGCTGCAGCCAGGCACCTGCCAGAGCTTGTTGGCATTGACCCAGCCCAGCCCGACAGGCGCTGTGTCACTGAGCTTCTTGTGGGATGCTGGGAGGAAAAGCACACGTCACATGCTTTTTCTTCCCCAATCATGGCTGCTCCCAACGTGAACATAATGAGGGGAAGGGCTGGGGAAGTTAATTTGATGCCTGCCTATAGACTGAAACAGCAGTCAGGCAGATGGTCTTACTCTATGCATGGATTCTTTTCTGATGTTTCTTCTCAGGTTCTGGATCTCAAAGCTGCTTAAGCAATAGAAGGGATAATGGATGACAAAGGAATTTGAGTCTCAGGATCCTTTGGGAGAGATGGGGAATATTATCGTAAGATTTTAGAGTGCCATTGCTGAAGATGGCCTTGGGGATTATAATTAGTCCATGTATTTCAGGCTTTTTCTCTAGCAGAATTCTTTCTTCAAACCAGACCTTACATAGAACCCCAATGTATTAAGTAGACAAAAGAGCAGAGCTGATTTGGTTGAGCCAGAGAGAAGGGCTCCCAAGTCCTACTGGTTGCTTCCTTTTACCCCCTTCTCAAGAGCAGCCTGAGCAGTGGCATTGAACTGTACAGCTCTGATCCACAGCTTGTAGACCACTGACCTGGCCAGATCTGTTCATTTGACAGCTGAGGATATAGGTTCAGGGTTGGGGAGTGGCTTTTCCAAGGTTGCTTGACTTCCTGTTCAGTGCTTTTTTTTTATACTATTGCCTCTCTCATACACCCCCCCCCCCCGCCCCAGTTTGCTTTAGAAAATCAGGATCCTTGACATGATCTGAGTTTTCCCAGTAAGACTGACACTTAGAAATGTTTGGTCTTATAAGTGCTGTTTCTGTCGGGCAGGAGCTTTAGTGCAGAAATCCAAGTCTGGAGCGAAGGCCTGTCCTCGAATGTCAGGAACTGGTGGGGGGGACAATGGACGACAGAGTCTGATCCCCATTCTCTTCTCCCACTGAAGTTCAGTGTTTGTGTAAACCAGCTGCTCTTGCGACACTTGTGCACTGTGAGCCTGGAATGGTGAAATGGCCTGGTTTGGTTCATAGGTAGTGACTTGACCACAATGACCTTCAGGGAGTGGCAGGCTGTATTTTCATGGTTGTATTTTGTTAAAATGGTATCCACAGAGAAACCCCTGAAGTGGAAGAGGGTTCCCTTGAACCCTTAGCTCTTCTCATGTTTACGGAATAGCCCTGGGCAGCACATGATGAAATAATGTCCTGTTCTGTTGAGTTGTCTTCCTTTCAACCAGCCCATAGCCCTCTGAGGTGTGTCTACCGTTGAACTGGGAATGGAAATCAGAAATTTCACCTGGATCTTGGAAGTCAGAATGTCAGCCTTGTTCCGGCTGCACAGCCAGTCCTGCTGACATGGTCCGAGCTGCCCTGGGGGCCACACTCCCTTTCTGCCCAACTGTGAGATTGTCCATGGTTTGCTCACATGCCTTCTCCGTCCCACAGCAGTGTTGTGACTTGGGCTACCATGCTAGCCTGAATCGGGCGCTACGTACCTTCCTCTCTGCTGAATTGAATCTGGAGCAGTCAAAGCACGAGGGTCTGGATGCCATCGAGAATGCTGTCGAGAATCTGGATGCCACCAGTGACAAGCAGCGCCTCATGGAGATGTACAACAATGTCTTCTGCCCACCTATGAAGTTTGAATTCCAGCCCCACATGGGGGACATGGTGAGGCCTCCTTCCCATCAGCACACCCCCTCCAGGGCTTGAGCTCACTTGTGTCTGGATTCACTACACTAAGGCCATGTTATTCTGGGGAGAGGAAGGCCTAGGGCTGGCTTACTTTCAGCTGAGTGAGGAGCATTCCACTCATTTGGCAAAGAGCTACTGAGCGGCTACTGGGCTTAACTGTAGAAGGTGGGGATTAGGGCCCTCTGGGAGCTTCCAGTCTGGGGAGTTGAGAGAGAGTTCCAGATATGCATAGAATGGGGCCCCCAGAGAGTCCAGCAGGATCAGAGGAGGTGGAAAACAATAGGTGTATGTATAAAAACCAACAGTTCAGTATGGGAAGGGGGAAGGATTTGGAGGAGGCCTCCAAATGGTGAGTCTGGAAGAAGAGCTGAGATGCAACCAGATACTCAAGGCTTTTGATGGGGAGGGAGAGCCAAGTGGGCAGAAGTGATGTGATCTTATGTCACTTGGCAGAGATCTGAAGGATCTTATTCTCTTGAGTTTAGAAGATTGCAATAAGGGGTATATAGCTTTGCTGGCGTATTGAACAAAAAAGAATGGGCACCTACAGATAAGACAGGAGCTAAGATGTCATCCCAGAGGCCTGATGCTGTCTGCCCAGGCTAGGGAACAAGAACATGGGGGCCCTGTTTTGAATGTTGAACCTCCAAGACTAAAACAAGAAGGATCTGAACAAAGTGAGAGGAACAAGAAGCTCTTTGGGTTTCATTGCTCTGGATATTTGGTTCCACTTGGAGTGGCTGTGCATGCAAATCAGAGTGACCCTGATTCCTGCCAGTAGGAGCTAGCCTTTAACCTTCAGATGAAATTGGGAGGAGAATGTATAGGCTTACATAATAGAAATAGATGGATCTTCAGGTGTGGTTGGATTTAGGAGTGGGGATTTATCAAGACTCGGGTTTTTTGTTTTTTGTTTTTTTTCTCTCTCTGCTTCACATCTTGTATCTTGGCTCTATTCTCAGGTAGGCTCTTATCCCATAAGGGCAAGGTGACTATATTTCCAGCCTGATTTCTTATAGGTCCAAATCCAATGGAAGGAGTATCTGCTTCCCTTCTAGAAGCCCCCACAAAATTCTCATTGTGTCTTCTTCGTTCTGACTGGCTGCTATGTTTAGCACTGAGCTAGTTATTGTGGCTGGATGTCTGCAGTTGGCTGGTTGGCTTAAGCCTAAGTCACATGCTCCATCCCAGGGTTGTGGAGAGCCTCATCCAAAATACACCACTTGGATTGTGGGGTAGGAGGTTCTGCCAAGGACAGTCAAGCCAAAGTCACCAGGAGAAGGAGGAAGGGATGCTAGGTGGCTGAAAAATAACTATGTCCTCTCAACAAGGGAATGGTGTTTTCATTAGGATTAGTATCTAGATGCTTTTTAGAAAAAACCCTATTCTAGAATGACAACTATTACAGTCTAACTAGAGGATTTGCTGTCATCAATAAGCCATAACAGAGAGTGGGACATATCTATCCTAAAGACAAGAACGTGGAGATGATTTCTTTCCTCTCCTCAGGGAAAACCAAACCATGTATAGTTTGTTTCCATTTCTGTGACTAAGGAAATGTCAGTGTCTGAACAGATGGGGAAGTGAAATGGCAGCGTGTGCAGTTGGGGGGAATGTCACCGAGCCCCAGGAAGCCCCATTCCTCACCTGCCCTGGCTTCTGGTCCAACTTGTCTTCCAGTCCCCTTCTCCAGCTGCCACTGACATTCCTTCCCAAGAATCAGTGGAACTTGAGGACCAGCTGAGCAGAGTGATACATTTTCTGGTGTTGACTGAGTTGCCCTCTGAGCCAAACAGCTTGTCTCCATAAAGGGAGAATCCAAATGCTGGGTGCTTAGGCCCCCTCGTAGCCCTGTCAGTGCCTTAGTTTCATACTGTGGAGCACAGCTGGAACATATTACCTTGCACCCCGGTAGAGGACCTCTGCCAAAGCTTGAAGCGCAGCCCCGCTGCTTCTTAAAGGCACAGGCGTGGAGGTCATTTTTCCCTCTCTGAGACCTCCCTGCTAGGTCTGGGTTACTTTAACATCAATAGTTCACTCTTCTGCCTGGGTCCTCCCTTTGTGTGATACAGCTGATCAGTGGCTGAGCCAGGCAGGGGCTGGGGTCGGCCCTAGATCTTGCAAAGGTTCTGCATTCTGGCCTAGCCTTCCTAGGGGTCAAAAATAAAAAGATGAGAAGGCGAGTTTTTCTTGGTCCTTGTAGCCAGTCTGTCCCCACAAGTGTGGGCTGTCTGTAGACCGTGGAGGCAACAAGAGGGAGCTGCCTGGAAGTCCTTGGACGAGGGCCAAGGTTCGGGTAGCATTTTGACCGGAAGCCCTGAAATTGGCCAAGACCCCACACTGCCTGGTGTTCTGGGGTGCTCAGCACATGAGTTGATGCCAAACACTCTCAGATGTACTAGGAGGAGGTGCTTGGCTCTACTCTTGGTGCCCTCAGAGGCTTGTGGGGCTCTGGATGCCTGACCAGTGACATCAGGCAGCCAGAGAGTTTCACTCTTGGCTCTAACCCATCCTGGCCACTGAGCTTTCTCCATTGTGTCTGCTTATCCAAGAGCCAGAGTGAAGTCAGCTCTCTTCAGATCTGAGAGCTGGCTCAGGCCAGCCCCTCAGCTGGGGGAGGAGGTCAAGTCAGTTTGGAGCTTAAAAGCCAATGGAGGGAAAGGTCAAGTCCCAGCCCCCTCCATTTGAAGAGAGGTTTTGTCTTCCAAGCAAGAGAACAGTCTGTGGGCATGTGAATGTGCCCACTCATTGCTGAGGAAGAAGGGGGCCAGTTCTATCCAGATGTCTCTCTTCAGACAAGAGGCTAAGGGACACATGGTGGCAAGGTGACAGGAGCTGCCTCCATGTGGGTCCTGCTTCCTAATCTGCCAGCCTTCTGTTCCTCATCTGTCATCCTGGGGACTAGGATAGATTTTTGTTCATTTGTTTTCTCAGGACATAGAATGTTTTGATAATTTTATTAATTTTAGTGGGTGACCTCGTGCCCATGCCATAGCCATGCTGCCACCCAGAGACAGTAGCTCAACCATCTTTGCATGGAGGCTGAAGCCTATTGACAGTGGTCCTTCGGGGAGGGGCAGACGCCTTTCCCATACAGATCTGGTGTAAGCCTTGGGCAAAAGGATGGCTCTTTGAAAGTGCCAGGTCCCACCAGATTCTGTGCCCTCCGGGGCCTTCTAGCACAGCCTGTGGACTCATTCCTGGCTTTACTCTCTCTCGTTGAGTCAGAGCTCTCATGCATGGCCCAGATTTATAAACACATGCTGGCTGCCAACAGCGGCAGGCTAGCCTCCTGACCCACTTCTCTCCTGGTTTCACTCTGGTGCGTGAAGGGGGATGAAGGAGGGGCTGGAGAGGTGGCCACTCGGACTTCTAGCAGGAAATCCTCACTGCCAAAGCATTGTGTGTGTGGAGCCGGGGCTGCCCAAGGCACCTTTCTCTGGCCTAACACCGGCTTCCACAGAGCTGCAGACCCTGCCAAGCACCAGCCTTGGGATCGGCCCCAAGTGGAGAGACCTGGTCTTTCCACACAGGTCCCACTCCTTGTTCCCTCTTTGTGCTGGTGAGTCCTGGAAGAAGTTCACACAATTTGCCTTTGGATTTTTATTTTCACACAGAAACTGTGAGGCTGACAACTTGAACACGAGTACTTTTATTAGTAGTAATGGGACTCTGGAACCGCCAGAAGAAACGTGTCCTCTTCCTGACCTGGTATTGCTTTCTTTTGGCAGGCTTCCCAGCTCTGTGCCCAGCAGCCTGTCCAGAGTGAGCTGGTACAGAGATGCCAGCAACTGCAGTCTCGCCTATCCACCCTGAAGATTGAGAACGAAGAGGTGAGTTTCCTGCTTAGGAGACTTGGAGCGACCCTCCGTGTTTCCCTGTTCAACCTCTTTCTTGCTGCCCATCTGGGAGCAGGTGGAAGGAGCATGCAGAGAATGTCCGGGCTGCTGCAAATATTTCCTAGCCAAATGTAGCCTTGGATTTTCCCCCTCTTCTACATCCTGCCCTTGAACTCCAGGAAGTTGCTCTTGCATTGCCAAAGGTTGAGCTCTATTTTGAGCTTTTGCAAAATGCTTTTTTTCCTCCCTCTACACATTTAATCAAAATGGCACTTGGCAGCTGTGTGAACAATATTGTGTCTCTGAAACCACCCCCTCATGCCTGGTTTTTTCCAGCATTTTCAAACAAACAGAGGCCTTTGACTTTGACACTTAAAACATCTCCATCCTCTTAGAAAACGAAGACTTTCTTCTGGGCCTGGTGTGCTTGCTTTCAACAGCTAGTTCAAAAGGGCAGCATGATTAATTATCCAACTTCTTTCTTTTGTGCTCACATGACTTCTTACCTGGCATCTCAATCGGTCTTACATTTCCCAGGAAGATGAAGGCCTGGGGGTGAGTCACTTAGTTTGTGAATGGGGAAACAAGTCCCCTGATTTGTTGAAGCGCAGATTGTGGGGCATTATGGGATGAGGCCCATCTCACATTTTAGCAAGCTCTTTGCATCATGAGGTCAGTTTGGATTTGTTTTACTCTCTTAGCACTTCCATTATGGGCAAGAGCTAATATTAAACTTAAAAAGTAGACATTAAATAAAAGAGCTGGGTCAAATAAATAGCATGAAGAGGGGTGGTTTTAAGGTCCTCGCTGGACAGTGGCACTGTAACACAGAGTCCAGGTGATGGTTGTCACTCACCAGGCACCAGCCAACTGGCAGCAGAGCCCTGCCTTCAGCAGCAGCTCCTCTGCTCCCCTCCAGCCACTCCTCTCCCACATCTCCAGGCTTCTCCGTACCTGCTCCTCTGCAGCCCACCCCTCACACATTATGTTGGCCCTTGTCGTGGCAGGTAAAGAAAACAATGGAAGCCACTCTACAGACCATCCAGGACATTGTGACTGTTGAGGATTTTGATGTGTCTGACTGCTTCCAGTACAGCAACTCTATGGAATCTGTCAAGTCCACGGTCTCAGAAACCTTCATGAGCAAGCCCAGCATTGCTAAGAGGAGAGCCAACCAGCAAGAGACAGAGCAGTTCTATTTCACGGTGAGGGGGGTTCAGTGGCTCTTGAGGAGTACTCGCAGCATACAGGGACACTTGGAACCCAGAGTCCTTGTCAAGTGTTGCAAGGTCAGTCTTTGAATATCTTAATTTGGATATTCAGAAACCATTCCTCAACCTAAATTAAGACACAGATATCTCCGAGTTATGTATGTCTAAAGGGACCCCCAAGAGAAAGATGCTCTCAAGAACACTACTAGGAAGATAGTCTTTTCTTTATTTTTTTTTCCTTCCCCTGGAAGACTTTTAGAATTCTAACCACTAGTAGGCTTCTGTTGAAAGAATTCCTTCTCCATGGGAGTCATAAAAGGAGATCTTCATTTCTTGGTTCTTGGGAGATACATCCAAATATTCTGGCTAACGCGTGTCTTATTTGCTGCTTCTCCCTCTGCCTGTGTCTCTGCCTCTCTCTCTCTCTGTGACTATCATAAATAAATAAATAAATAAATAAAAATTAAAAAAAAAAGAACTCTAGTGATTTGCTATCTTTTCTAAGAAATGAAATCTGTTTTTTAACTTAAACTAAGAATTCTTCGGATTTATTTTTTAATCCTGGAGAAGACTGTTGAAAAGGAGTGACTTAACAGTATTATTCTTTTATTTTTTTATAGGTATATTAACTCTTTTTTTTAAATTTTTATTTATTTATGATAGTCATACAGAGAGAGAGAGAGAGAGAGAGGCAGAGGCACAGGCAGAGGGAGAAGCAGGCTCCATGCACCGGGAGCCCGACGTGGGATTCGATCCCGGGTCTCCAGGATCTCGCCCTGGGCCAAAGGCAGGCGCCAAACCGCTGCGCCACCCAGGGATCCCCAGTATTATTCTTTTAAAATAACTTTTTTCTTGTTATAGGAATCAAAACATGCATATGTTATAAATTTAGAAACAAAAAGGAAGAAAATAAGAATCATTCATAATTGCACTACCTTGAGATGACAATGTTAGGGTGTATTCCCTTTCTTGTTTTTTTTCCTCTGCATACATAAACATCTATGTGAATATAAGTATTTATACTTTATTTCAAAAAGTGGAATGTTGCTGTGCACATTGTTTTATAATCTGCTTTCATTTAACAAGTGATTAATATTTTTCCAATTCATCATTTCATCATAATATCCTTTAAATATATTTATGAGTAAAATGCTAAAACCTAAAATAACAGAATATTTTGGCCCATTCATCCAGTTTTGTAAAATATTTTGTTGTTAGTGCTCAATAAGTGCTAAAAATGTATTATCACCACAATCATTATTAACTTATTCATTAATCATTGTTGAGTTCCTCATCGATAATTTATCAAGAATCTTCTTTGTGCCAGACACTGTGCTAAACCCAGGAATGCCAAGGGTGTGGAGGAAAGAGGGGGAATGATGGCATTAGACATGCGAAAGGAAAACTTTCATTTTCACTTTGTATGTTTCTAAATACTTACAAGAGATTGATTTTTGCAATCAAAAAAAAAGAAATATAAAAAATGTTCAATGCATACATGCACACGTGTGTGAACGGTAGCCAGGGTGGATGGAGTTGGGGAAACATCACGCACAAAGTGACGTTTGTGCTTGATCTTGAGGGATAGGTGAACGAGGCAGTGACTCAAGAGGGGAATGGCATTCCTTGAGGAAAGAGCAGTCTGTGCAAAGCATAAAGACATTTTGAAGCCTGGGCTAGACAGTATGAGAACTTCTTGTCTATCACAAGGGCTGTCTCACCACCCCAAGCTTCCTTATCTCAGGAGGTTGTTGAACACTCTCGAGGCTTTTAATAATAGGATTGTTTGGCTGGTCTGTCTGCAGTACTTAGATATAACACTACTTAATGACCCAATCTCATTACATTGCAGAAGATTTCCATTTTTTTTTTTTATGGAATAAGAAATTTTGACTTAAAAATCTGTATTTAAGACTGTCAGAATTACTTTTTGGCTTTCAGTGAAGCTATGACATGTGTATTCAAGGTTGACCTTTTGTAAGAGCAGGGACGACCACATTCAAACTGGTGACCTCTCAAATCCCGCCACCCTTTCACCCCTAGCCCACTTCCCATCTTTTGTGGCCAGAGAGTGCTACTTATCAAAATTGTATGCAAATTTCTGCAACTAACAGGAACATTTTTTTGTGTGGGCTTCTGTAGTAATGGATGTATAAGAGAGTTCATCATTTTCGTGACTGGTGCTTGGAATCCATCAAATAATTCATTTCATGATAAAAGGGCTTGCGGGGGTGGTGAAATGGACATTTTAAAAAAGGGGGTGTGGGGATCCCTGGGTGGCGCAGCGGTTTGGCGCCTGCCTTTGGCCCAGGGCGTGATCCTGGAGACCCCAGATCGAATCCCACGTCGGGCTCCCGGTGCATGGAGCCTGCTTCTCCCTCTGCCTATGTCTCTGCCTCTCTCTCTCTCTCTCTGTGTGTGTGTGTGACTATCATAAATAAAAAAAAAAAAAAAAATTAAAAAAGGGGGTGTGGACACTAGCCTGACTGCCTGTGCTTGCCAAACCATACAAAGCCCACCGAACTGCAGATGTGCTTTCCCTAGTCTCTTGCCTCCATAGATGTCACCCCTGGCTTTTTTCTGTGTCCTTCAAAGCCATCAGAGTATTGCATCCTAGAAGCTCCTTTCTTTTGGAAAGTTGGGAAGAGGTCCCTTATCATGGCTTTGACTCATAGGTTGCTGGTTGTGCCTAGCAACCCAGAGGTTCTGCTAGAAAGCTGTTTGTCCATTCTCAGCTGTCATCAGATTGATCTGCCTGGGTGACATCAATTAGAAATCTGAAGCATGTCCTATAAAGGTCAGTCATTTGCAGGAGTCCTAAGAAAATAAGCATGGAATTTAAAAGCTTGAAGTGATTTTTAGAAATCTTCTAACCAACTTTCTCATTTGAAAGATGAAAAAACAAAAACACTCCAAATCCAGAGAAGTTCAGTAGCTGTTCTAAGTGCATCCGACTCAATATCAGCTCAGTTCATGACCACAAGGTCATGAGATCAAGCCCCAGCATGGAGCCTGCTTAGGATTCTCTATCTCTCCTTTCCCCACCCCCGCTGGCACACATGTTCTAAATAAATAAATAAATAAATATTGAATAATTAAATAAATAATTAAAACTACAACCCTGGTCACCTGGTCTCAGGCCACTGGCTTCTTTCTCTATACCCTGCTAAAGCAGCTGAGGTGAAGGAAAGGCTCTAAAACTGGCTTAGCAGGTTTCTCCTCTCTTTTGCCCTACGTGAGGCTGTTTCCTGATTTCCTGAGGTTTGCATCACTAATCTTTCATAACACACAATCCAGCAGTGTCTACTTTTTATCCTGTTTCTTTTTTTATTGTAATTGTAAAAAAAAAAATTCAAAAATTCAAAAGAGCATACAGAACAAGTCGAGCTTCCCCCAATCTCTGACCCTCACTTCCTCTCCTTTCTGCCAGGGATTGAAACCAGTTTCTCTGTGTTCTTCCAGGGATATTTATGCATGAACAACCACCGATGTACCCTTTAATACAATAGAATTACATTAGATACAATAGAATTACATTAGAAATATAATGAAATCAAATAAAGAGAAGTACAAATAGAAGCATACCACTCACACTGTTCTTCACTTTGCTTTTTGTTCACTTAATTTTTTTTATATTCTTTTCATGTTAGTCCAAAAAGATCTGTGTCCTTTTTTTTTTTTAAATCACTGCACAGAATTCCATTCTATGAATGGATGTACCATCATTTATTTAACCAATTCCCAGCTGGTGGGAGGTAATGCTCACTGTTTAGCCAAGGATTGTCAAAGCCTTGTAAGGCTGGCATTTCTCCTAAGTATTTCTTTGTATAGGGGTTGGAGTAAAGAAGGAGTTAAAGCTCATGGCTCATAAAATAAACGAAGATAAACTGCCTGAATTCTTGGGAACAGAATTGGTAAGATCATAGGAGAGAAGACAGCAGATTTTATATGGTCCGAGATCATTTTTTATCTTGGTCTTCTACAGGCACTCAGGAAATGTGTGCTAAGTAGGCACCTACAGAGCTCCCGTGCTGTCAATTAAAGTGGGAGACTTGCTGCCGTTTACAAGTCTGCTCTATTACATATTCTGTCTGATAGCCATTTCCTGCCTTCAAAATTGATGAAGAAGAGAGAAATGTTAGCGTGCCTGGATAATGGGGAAGCAGCCACCCTATGATGACATCTGTGTGTCTCTGTGCGTGAGGCTAGGTGGACATGACTCCTTCCTCCCACCCACTGCACCCCTTTATAATGGTAGACATTTATGGCCTTCAGTTCACTTAGATTAAATTCACTCAAGATTAAACTCAAGGTCCCTGAGTTTTATCCTGCCATCATATTCAAGGGAAGAGGTATTTTAAATTAAATTTAAAAAACGTTCTTTGCCTTTTTTTTTTTTTAAGGCCAGAAACCTGTTTTGATTCAGCTGTATGATATATTAGCACAGAGCAAAGAAGTTTAGGGAAGTTCCATTTTTAGGTTTTCTGAGCGAGTGATTCAGGTACAAGGAATACTCTTGACTACCTGTAGGGTGGCTAGACTGTGTGCTAATAATCACGGTCCTGCTTGTTATCCTGTGTCACCTGTTAAGAACCTTGGGAAAAATATTTTATTATCCCTGTTTTTCAGATGGGGTCAGTGACTTGCCCAAGGTAAGCGGTAATGATGAGGTTTTAGAATATAGGTGAGGTTTGGTGGAGTGAGGTCCGAAGTCGATGACCAAGAAAGAATTCTTCAGACATCTTCGGTGCAAAATGGTGGTTTTATTAAAGCCCGGGGACAGGACCCGTGGGCAGGAAGAGCTGCTGCCCCAGGCCTATGAGGGGTAGCTGATTATATAGCTGGGAGTTGGGAGAGGTTTGAGGAGAGGGGAGCGTACTCACTAAGGAATTTGGGGGCAAGGTTTCCAGGACCTTGAGGGGGCTCTCTATTGTTGGGAAAGGTCACTTATTACCATCTAATAAAACCTTAGTCATGAGACCCTTCAGATGTCTATCGGTGGGCCATGTGCTGGGGGAGGATCACCAACATGGATCTTGGGGGTTTAGAGATAAAGGAATTTTTATATGTTAAAGTAGACTTACAGGCTCCTGGGGGTCAGGCTAGGATTGCCTTCTGCCCTTAGCAAAATGTGAACATTGAGGCAGTTGAGTCTGTAGAGGAAGTTCCGTCTGCCTGTTTCCAGGACTTGTCAGTGTGCTTTGTCCTCAGCTGGTCCTCTGTTCCCCCATCAGCAGGACTACAATACCTCAACTAAGACTCTTTCATTTTGCTGCAACAAAAATGTCTGTCAGGGAAGAAGGGCCTTGAGAGGAAAACTGTTACATTTTATTTTGCAATAAATAAAACTCATTGCCGACAGTTAACCAATTAGGAATTATTAAGAAATGAATTAATGAGATCATAAAGACTGAATTGAAGACTCACAGTGGCAAACAAAACAAAACCATCCCCATAGATTCTTTGCCTCTCTTCCTACTTTTTAAAGAAATTCCCAGTTTTTATAATATTGAGTGTAAAATATGGAGGTGGGAGAATGGGTCTGGTGAGACTGTGTATTAGGAACTTGGTTTTATTTTGGTGCTCCAGAATAGAACCCTGCCCTTTGTCTTCTCCTCCATCCGTGACAACTCAGCACCTGTGATGTTACTTACGGATGTTTGGGAAGGGAACAAGGTGCGGGGAAAGGAGTGAGATAAATAAATGACCTGCATCAGAACACGGTTTAAATAAAGAAAATGACCCTTACGACACATAAACCATTCTTTTCATGGCCTCCCGGTCAACCAGAAATCATCCGAAAGCCGTGTATGCCTTCCTTGCCTTCAGCCTCCTCAGCTTGAGGTCTTCCACCAGTCATGGCCAGGTTATTTCTCCCAGCTTCTGTCCTGTGCAGAGTGCTGACTAACGGGTGGGATAGAAAGTTGGCAAATAACAGGCCTGCGAACTTTGGGATGATTTTCCCCTCCCACCCCGCCCCCCATTCCCCACCTACCTAGATAGAAAACTTCCAACCATTGTTTCCACTATTAGGAATGCAGGTCAACCTCAACATAGTTTTTGATCCTCCCGGATTTCATGGAACCTGAAAAGGTAATCCAACATATGTCTTTATCAGATTGTTATTTATTTTAATGGTTCACCAAGTCACAGCCCAGAGTTAACTCGCCAACGGTGACATGAATGAAAAAATGATTTCCGGAGTCACAAGTAGAAACATGAGTGAAAGGAAGGAATTTGCATCCTTCTCCTTTGAGAATTTTGGCTGTTTTCTGAGCAGTCTGGTTTTGTCTTAAGGGTTACAGTTTCTTGGTGAATTTTTTTTTTTCCTCATTAGGAAACCTCTAGAGTCTCCTGGGAGACTTCCAAAGAGGGGCCTTTGAGGGTTCAGATGCTAGCAGTGGATATTTCTTGCAGGTTTTCACCCCTGGGCCCTACAGTGCTGTTCCCAGCCCCACAATTAGGCATTGGTTGGGGATTAGGGTATCACCCAGGGAAGGCTGACAGCAGGTGAGCCGGCAGCTGAAGCAGATGGGAAGGGGAAGGTGATAAGGGAGCCTGTTTTCATGCAGATGTTCTCATGCAAAGACAGAAAAGAGCAGAGAGAACAGGCCAGGAGGAAAGCAACAGAACTGATTTGGTATAGGGTTTGTTTTTATTTGCTTTACACTTGATTTAGAGAGTAGGGGTACACTTGGGGGCTTGGGTTGTGACTGCTGAGGAAGGTTCTTTCAGAGGAGAGTGAGGCTGTTTGTTTCTTTACTCCTCTTTCAAGCATTTATTGAGTGTCTACTGTTTGCTGGGCACAAACTAAGCATCAGGGATGCAAAGAATAATGACTCCGACCCTAGGGGAGAGGCAGACTGGAGAGAAAGACACATGATGATGAAGCCCTTGTGCCAGGGCCATGAGAACTTTTCAAAGGTACACACAGGGGCATCTGAGTGAGCATGAGGAGAGGGCCAGGATGTGCATCCCAGAGAAAGCAGGGGTTTTTTCTTTGTTTGTACATGAGAGAGAAGAAATACACACTCTTGGTTGAAAGTTTACCCTGAAAAAAAAAAAAAGAAAGAAAAGAAAAGAAGAAAGAAAGTTAGTTTACCCTGTACAGAAAGGTACAGAGTAAAAGTAACTCACATTTTTTCACCTTCTTTTTCTGCCTTCCTCCTAAATTATAATAGCCATAAAATCAGAGTTTTGATGTATGGTTACATTTTGTGCTTAGTACATTGGAAGAAGGACGAGGTATTACAACTTAAAATGTTTTATCCACTTCCCCCCTCCACTATGTCATGTATATTCAGAGAGTCACGGATCATACTCAGGGAGACACTGCTCGTTTTGCCTCTGAGTTGAGACATTGCAGCAGGAGGCAGCCAAGGTGAATGACAGTCCCCAGGAACCTGTTGCACGGTAGAAAGACACCAGATTAAGGCACCAAAGGCCTGGCACTCCCACTTCCTAACTGGCAGTGATCTGCAATTCAGCACCCCTCTCCTAAGATCATCCTCTCATCTGTAACAGGCAACCAGCAATGTCTTCCCTAGTGTGCTCTGCAGTTACTGTGCCAGTCATGTGAGAGAATATGTGCTAAGGGGCTCTGAAAACTCTTGAATTGCTCCACATATATAAAGAATTAATACTATGAAATTTTGTGCTGCCTTTCCTTCTGCTGTGCACCCTAATAGATGGAGCGTGCTGTCATGACGGTTGAGCGCACACACCGGATTATCAAACTGCAGATGTCTGGACTCTACCACTCACTCACTCTGACTCTGAGCAACCTGTTTAATTGCTCCAAATCTTGGTGCCCTCATCCGTAAAATGGGGACAGTGATAATCAGTTTGTAGGGTTGTTTTAAAGATTTGATGAATTGTCCAGGGAAATAGTCTCTCCCTGGAAAGACAAGGGTTAAGAGAGGTCAAATCAGAAAATGCAGCACAGCAATTGTATTTTGACTGGTAGAGCAGATGGAGCCCATTTCCATAACTTCATCTTGTGTTGAGAACTGGCATTATGTGTCTATGCAGTGGGGGGTGGCAGCCCCTCTCTCTGAAGGCTTGGAAATCCCAAGCTCTCCACGAAGTCTCCGTGCAGAATAGAGCAGGGAGCTGATTAAGAGATGGCTGAGACAAATATGCTCTGCATGCTGGGGTGCAGCTGAGGCCGGAGGCAAGGGGCTGAGCCTGCCATTAGCCTTGCTCCTGATGTGTTAGAATGCACCCTTCGGAGGGGCCGAGGTGGGGCTAGATGTCCGTGGAGGTGACAAGTGGCATGTGTGTGTCCCCACACCAAGAGGATCTGGGCTCCATGAGTCCATCCACCCCATCCCCGCCCCTCTGTTTTTTAGTGGAACTGAGAGAGATGGATGATGGGCTCTAAGAGACCATTTCTTACACTGGCCAATGTGGAGCTAGCTCCTAAGAGAACATAGAACAGGATACTAATAATCCACTGTGGAAGTCAGCAGCTGTCCAGATGCTCAGGGCCCTAGTAGAAATAGAGAAATTTTAAAAGGCAGCTAGTAGAGATTGGGTCAGAATGAAATGCCCTCTTAGAGAAAGGGAATTGCACAGCTGAGAATCTGTGATTTCTTTCTTTTTTCTTCAGGAGTCTGATTGCTCTTTCTTTTCCTCCCTTACAGAAAATGAAGGAGTACCTGGAGGGCAGAAACCTCATCACCAAGCTACAAGCCAAGCATGACCTTCTCCAGAAAACCCTGGGAGAAAGTGAGTGTGGGAATTCTGCTGGAGGTTTGGCAATGAGGGGAAGGCCAGGCCCCAAGCTGCATGGCTGAGCCTCCCTCCTGAGCCTTGTGGGCCTGATCTTGTTAGATGAGTGCATCTCTTTTCCTAGCCTGTTTGATGTGAAGCACGCCGCCCCAAACGACGGTTGAGTAATGGGAGAAGGCCGATGCTTAATGAAGCACTAATGTTCATGATCTATTTGTTTAAATGGAGCACTCCTGCTCACCACCCTGTCCCCCTTCTCTGCCACGACTGGGATAAAAAGGCCGCTGGGTCACTTACTCTCCAGATACTTTGTCAAAAAACTCAGCTCCTCTGTAGCAGAACTGAGACTACAGGGCCAGTGAGCCAGGATGGCAGCTGCTCTAAGGAGAGAAGAGGCTTCTCGAAGGCAGGATTGACCCACAGTCTGCCGCATCCCATAGCGTCAGGTGAGAGCATCTCTTTCCTTCCACTTTGGAAGGTCCTGATGCTCAGTGGCAGCCCTCTCTGCTGAGGACAGGGTCCTGAGTGGCCTGTCTTGTCCATGAATCGAGGATGATTTTAACCAGACCCTGGAAAGTAGCAGAGCAGAGAACTGGACTGGCACTCTGGACTTTCTCTCCTCAGCTGTCAAACAGAAGGCCAAGGTTGAAAGCAGCTTCCCTGGGGTTTTGGGCACCCTGCCCGGGTGCTGCCTAGATCTTAACCTCCTGTGATTAATGGGATTCCCAGGTCGGGGATGCCTCTGAATGCCTGGCCCCTCCTCCTTGCCCTGCTCATCCCTTCACTTCTAGATGGGACCAGGAGGCTACCGGCAAAATATGGGAACATCAGAGAAAGACAAACCTGCATGGAGCCTAATGTTTTAAAACAAATTCTTGAGCACTCTTCAGACAAACTGCATAGTGTAGAAAGGCAGATGGGACTCGTTAGCTCATTGGCGTCAGGAATCAGAGGCACACTTTTCATACCAGAGCCTCCTACCCACCCTCTTGTCCCATCCTCCTCCTGTGCTGGACAGTTCCCCTAGATGATGAATTCTTTTTATCTGTGATATCTTTGATCTTGTGATTATAAAGGCATTTTCTTTTATGCGAAGAATGCCTGTTAGGTAACTTCTGTTCTCTTCCCTCCCTGCCACCCAAGGGACTCAGTCTGAACAGGTTTGAGCATAGAGAGCCCAGCTTTGCTTATAGAAAATCTTTGCTTTTGGGTTATCAGATTGCTTCATAGGGAATCAGACAAAAGAAAGCCCAGAACTATTTGAAACAAGTTATAACCATGGTTGTGTGTGTGTGTGTGTGTGTGTGTGTGTGTGTGTTTCTAAAATAATCTAAGCGTAGTCCATAGGTGAGATGGAGAGCAAGGCCTTGGGAGTGTGTGTGTGTGTGTGTGTCTGTGTGTGTGAGAGAGAGTGAGTGGCTTTGCACACACACAAACATGCACCAGCTTTGCTACTGTAGAAGGGCAAAGGTTGGTGACCATTCATTAGTGCTGCAAATTGCCTTCATCTAAATATGACAAGTTCCAGTAATAAGGAGAGAAATAGCCACACATCTTTCTGTGTGCAAATCATCATGTCCCTGCCTTCTGAGTAAATTTGTCACCATAATGCAAGAGCCCCTTGTTCTTGCCATAGAGGCATAATTGATGTGTATGAGTATTCCAGAATGGAAATGGTACAGATGTTGAAAATAATGGCTCAGAATAATATTTTTGCAGATGAAAGCTGAGCCTTTAGTAATGAGAGGCTGGTAGGGGTGGGGGAAGATATTGCTCAGGATGAGCTGAAGTGTAATCAACAATTAGCAACCTTTAAAGGCCAGAAAAAACCCTGCCCTCCCCATCCCCGGTCCTTGGAGCTGTTTTTCCAGGAACATGGATGAGGCCTGTGGGGGATGATCTGTTCCTTAGCTCAGCACTTGCTTGCCTTGTCCCCGGTTTATATAATACAGACCACACTTGGTTAACTGGTTAACTGTGGATCCAAAGAAAGCAAACAGATCACATCATGGCCCGTGTACACATGCATGTGTATATTTTAAAAACATAAGAATTCTTAGGGACTTTAAGATTTTTCATTTTTTAAAGCTGGCTGTGACCCATTAAACTTAATCTTAGGGCCTCTATTGGATTGAGAACCACAGTCTGATAGCAATTAAATCTCATTTCTCCCTTGCCACCCCAGCCCAGCCTAAGAGAATTTCCTGTGAATCTAAAACTAGAACATCCTTATCTTCTCCCTCTTCCCCGCAAACAATTCTTCCTCCTTTCTTCCCCTGCGGCCCTCACTGTGTGTGTGTGTGTGTGTGTGTGTGTGTGTGTGTGTGTGTTCATTACTCTGGAGCAAGCCAGTTCATCCCTCCCTCCCTCACCACACACACCCACATACACAGAAGAGAAGCTGGATTTTACCTTTGGGAAGGCTTCTAGTAATTTGTTCTCTAAAATGTGATCCGTCTTGATATTGTCCCCTACAGCTGCCCCGTTCTCCCTCTGGGAAGCACGGTTGGCATACCTCAGCTTTAGGGACATATCAGCAGCCGTGGGAATAAGCATTAGAAACAGCACTTGCCCGGGAAGAGGCTCTGGGCATCTCTCTCTCTCTCTCTCTCTCTCTCTCTCTCTCTCTCTCTCTCTCTCCCTCCCTCCCTCTCTCTCTTTTTGCTTAGAAGGCCAGTCACGCAGCGATGCGAGCGCGGCTCTCTGGGGGAGATAGGCAGGGCATTTCAGGTAACTCCTGGGAATAAGTCTTCCTCTCTCGCCCCTTCTGCTTCCACATGAGCTTTTTGCCTTTGTCTTTCCAACAGGTCAGCGGACAGACTGCAGTCTGGCCAGGTAGGTGTGGCCTGAGACAGCCCTGGGAAGGGGTGAAGAGAGGCCCCTGGGATAGAGGATCCCAGGCTGGGAAAGAGCCGAGGAGTTGAAGTGGGAAGGCATTGGGTGACTTTGCAAAGGAGGGAACTAGGGCAGGGTTGCTCCCTTCCTTTTCCCTTGCCAACCCCATCTGGCCTCAAATGGAAATGGGGCCTGCTGTGACTTGGGGAGAGAGCTGAGCAGACTGGGATGAAGGGAGCTATCGTTTGCTGAAGTAGTTTCAGAGACTCCCCAAAGCCACCATGTTTGCAAGAAGTGTTCGACTCTGGAGGATCCTGGTAACCTAACCCTCACTGCTAGACTTCAGCAGTGGTTTTGGGGAAGTCTCTGACCCAGAGAAGGAAGATCAGAAGATAGCATTTGATCTGAGATTTTATGCATGGAAAAGATGACAGCCCTTAATTAGTGACTGTTGCTGGATAATGAAATACTACATGGCACTGGCTTGCCAAACAGCATTGGTAGAAATCCTTGCCTGATGTACAAGTATGCAACCCTCCCAATCTTTCCCCACCTTCCCCTCCCTCCCCAACCCTAGCCAAATATTTTCCCTCCCAGTCATGTAGCTGCTATGAGAAAACTCGTGAGCTAGCGACAAGCAAGGCAGTCATCCAGCCAGCAGTTCTCAGATGCCTAAAAATGTGCTGATTTAACTGGGGAAAGAGCTTTAATGGGCTAGACTCCTTAGAGACCCCGGGTTAGCCCATTATATCAACCACTTAGATCTGCCAACACACACAATAATCATGAGGCCATTTACAATTATAGGCTCATTATTTAGAAATAGCTTCATTTGGCTTTCATCGTTTTGTCATTGTGGATTACAGTAAAGATCCCATTAATATACCAGTCTTGTTGACTGGAGAGAACCAGGATAATGGAATTCCCTGGAATATAAATCTTTTTGGTGATAGAGTCTTCATGTAAGTTCACCTGAAGTCCCATATCTGTGGAAGGCTCTATGGAATTGAGAAAAAGCTGAGTTGAATTGAATTCCCTCATGCTATGTGATCGTGGGCTGCTCTTTTCCCTCCTTCAAACTCCAGTCTCATCATCTGTAAGACAAGAAAGAGCATTCCACTAGATCCGATGAGCTCTAGGATTCCAAAGGGGCTCCACAGGAGCAGCCTGGTGGAAGGGGTAGAGGGAGCCCAGCAGCCAGGCTCTGGGCCTTCATGTCACTCGGGGGGGTGCGGGGGCAGCTCTGTTCTCCTAGTTTGGGGGATCCTGTGAGTCCAATTCCTTTGGAGAAGAGGCAGCTGAGGCTTCAGGTCTCAAAAAGCATTCACCTGAAGGATCGCTAAGGTTCCTTCCAGTCTGACTGCTCTGTCCTCTTAAACTCAAGGAAAATTGCTCCTGAAGGATTTCCAAGAGAAGGAAAACTGTAGCTTCCTTTGGCATTTACTTGGGTCTCCTGCAAACAGAATCTTACCATCTAATGCACATAGATTTTACCACACATGGAGCCAGTTCCCTCCTACCCTAGTTATGAATGGTGGCAGATAGTGAGTACAGTGACCTCTGTGCTCTGAAAGAGCTTTATTGGGCCTTATTCAGAAAGTAACTTATCAAGTGTCTTAGCCAGTCCTGGGACTGAGCTGAGTAATGTGACTTGCTTCATTAACTAACACACAGATTGTTTTTAATCCCATTTTCTCTTTTTTTTTCTCCCTGTTGCCGGTTCGGTCCTCTCTGATTTGATGGGGTCAACCTCAGGCGTAGCTCTACGGTGAGGAAGCAGGTAAGGGCCCCAGGTGAAGATGATCCCACCTATAGGCATATATGGAACCCTACTGTGGGCAGGATACTTTCCTGACTTCCTGCCCCCATTTGGAATGTACCACTCAGTCAGAGTATGTTTAATATTATGGCAACTTCATGGATTGAGCTCATTCCACAGGAGTGACCACGGTCTCTCTGATTTGGTCCTCCCTTCTCCCTCTCTAGTCATGCTCCGTCTTCCTGGCTGGAGATTTGGTTTGACTGTAGCAGACTGTGCCTGAATTGCCCATGGTGTTGCTTCTCTAGGAAACTGTGAAATAGGCTTCACATTTTATATATAAGTTCCAAATGTGAGTGGCTCACAGCAGCTACACTCACCTAGACCAGACACTTAGACCCAACCACTAGATCAACCACTTAGATCTGCCAACACACAGGTTGGCTTTAGGTTTCCAGATTTTTGTTTGTTTGTTTTCTGGTGGTGTGGTCCATCCTAGGTGTGTTTCTTAGACATGCTAAAAATGCGAAGATAAGTCTGGCCTGGCTTGAGAACAGGAGAACAGTGGCAAATTGCTGTTCAACTCTGTGATTTTGTGCATGATCTTCAGTGTTGTATTAAAATCTGAGCTGGTCAGCCAGCTCTCGGTACCCATTTGAGGGCAGGATCTCAGAAGGCAGGGGCTGGGTAATGCACATCAATGGATAATCTAAATGGCACTTGTGCTTGTGTAAAAAAAAAATAATAATAATTGAAATATTTTTTGCAGCAGCAAATTTGACTTCCTAATTATACTTTACGGCAAATACTGAAATGATTTTGTGTCTCTTAAGCTCATACCAGATTATGTAGCAGGCAGTTAGCAGGGAGGAGATAGAGCTCTGAAATGTCTTCATGTCTGCTCAGGGGAAAACTGATCCAGGCTTTAAAAAACTGTTTTGGGTAGTAATTCACAGTGGCTGTAGCCACAGGAAGATAATCGAATGTAGAGGATGTAGAGGGCACATGGTTTCTGTTGTGTCAGCAGCCCCAACAGGGTCTCCAGCCCATGTGACCATTCCAACTAGCTGAGCAGTCCAGCTGAACACTCGGATGACATAGCTCTCACTTGTCTTAACTTTGCTGTCAATATTTTTCCCCCTTCTCTGCTTCAGATCATTATAATGATAAAAAGATTATACATTTTTAAATTTATAAAAATTTCATTGCATCTTTCCTTCCTCTGGTTCCTCTATTTCTTGCTATGCCCCTTCTCCCATAATTTCATTTAAAAGTAGGGAAAAGGGATGCCTGAGTGGCTCAGCGGTTGACTGCCTTTGGCTCAGGGTGTGATCCTGGAGTCCTGGGATCGAGTCCCACATTGGGCTCCCTGCTTCTCCCTCTGCTTGTGTCTCTGCCTCTCTCTCTGTGTGTCTCTCACAAATAAATAAAAAAATATATTTTTAAAAAAATAAATAAAATAAAATAAAAGTAGAGAAGAATGGGGGCACCTGGGTGGCTCAGATGGCTAAGCATCTGACTCTTGGTTTCAGCTCAGGTCATGATCTCAGAGTCATGAGATTGAGTCCCGTGTTGGGCTCCATGCTCAGCGTGGAGTCTGCTTGAGATCTTCTCCCTCTTCCTCTTCTCCCCCTCCCCTGCTTACACTTGCTCTTTCTCTCTCTCTTATTTTAAAATAAATAAAATAAAATAAAATAAAATAAAATAAAATAAAATAAAATAAATAAAAAATAAAATAAAATAAGATAAATAAAAAATAAAATAAAATAAAATAAAATAAAATAAAATAAATAAAATAAACGAACTAGAATAGAATAGAGTGCCTCCCAGGGATGATCTATTGCATTTAAAATTAATGGTGGGGGCACCTGGGTGGCTCAGTCATTTGAGTGTCCAGCTCTTGGTTTCGGCCCAGTTCATGATCTCAGGGTCATGAGATTGAGCCCCATGTTGGGCTCCATGCTCAGCATGGAGTCTACTTGAGATCCTCTCCCTCTTCCTCTTCTTCTCCCCCTCCCCTGCTCACATGCTCTTTCTCTTAAATAAATAAGTAAAATCTTTTTTAAAAAATTGTAGAATGGAGTACCTCTCAGGGATAATCTATTACATTTAAAACTAATAGGTGAGGGGGCACCTGGGTGGCTTAGTCAGGTGAGCATCTAACTCTTGGTTTTGGCTCAGGTCTTGATCTCAGGGTCAAGGGATAGAGCCCCAGGTCAGGCTCCACGGTCAGCCGGGAGTCTACTTGAAGATACTGCCTCTGACTCTGTCCCTTCCTCTCTCCCCACTTATACACATGCTCGCACTCTCTTTCCCTCTGTTTCTCTAAAATAAATACATAAATCTTCAAAAATGTTAAAAATAAAGTTAATAGGTAGATATCTTAAAGAGGGAGCCAGCTTTTCCCCCTTCAACACTAAGAATAGAGTTGAACTTAACACTTGTTCCTTTCAGTTCCTGGGCTGAAACTGTACCTCCAGCATCTAGATGGAGAATAGGTGGGCCTCACAGCCTCCACTGTGGCCACGGGCATGCCAGAGACCACGGCTTGGCAGGTAGTAGACAGCCCTGCCCGGGTTCACCATCAGAGGGGAGCAGCGCCCATCTGTTGTGCCTCCTGCTGCATCTAAGCAGTTGCAGGAGGAGCATATGTGCCTGGTACTAGATCTGTGTAGGAGCTCCAGGATGCACCCAAAGCCCCAGTCAAGTAAAGACCTTATTTTCATTCTGTTGCCCCAGTTTCTCTCCAGCAGCTCAAATCTGATGGCAGATCAGTAAAGAGTTTTTCTACACTAGGCGGGCAGGTAAATAGTTAACCTGGAAGATGATTGGTCTTGTGTAAAGAAATAAATAATTGTTTGGTTTTTTATGGCAAGTCAGCCAAACAAGACAAAGAATCTGGTAGCTTTTTTTTTTTTTTTTTTTTTTTTTTTTGCGGGTCCCTATTGGGTTTCAGTCACTTTTGACCCTAGCAGGACCTGAGTTTAGACCATCCCAGCCTTTGTTGCCCCAGCTCCTGCTTCTAAGCTTTCCCTCCTACCATCAGGCCTAGCATTTTCTCTTTCCTATCACTTCTGTCTCTTCTTTGTTCATCTTTCTTTCTCCATTCCTCTAAAGGTATGTGTGCTCCCAGGTTTGGTGCTCTTTTGACTTCTCTCCATATTCTTTGCTTTCTAACTTCATTTCCATAGTTGAACCTGTCTCTCCTCCCCCAAGTGTCCATCATCCTGAGTCTTTGGATCGAATTTTGAACTGATTGGCTGGACATCAGCTTGAGAGTTGATATAGCACTGCCTCCCTTGTGCATTGCTCCCCTCATCTCCCCCCTGCTTTCTAACTCACTTGGCACACCCCCTAATTTTTCTGTGTCTCATAATGGGTAGGGGCCTCCATTCTTCCCAGTCCTGAAGCCCTGAGTAGTACCTCTAACACCTCTTTCTTTCCCATCACCATATCGAGTCAGTCATGGAGACTTCTGTTTTCTCCCTGGGTAGAAATGGAAATCTAAGGAATGTAACAGAGATGGGTACCTGGCAAAAATCCTAACCTCTCTCTCATGAGAAATTATGCCAAACAATGGCCTTTTTAGCCACTAGCTGGCCACTTCCCAATTGTTTTCTCCTGCAAATCACAGGGCCCCTGCTTTCCTCTTTTCCAAGTTATGCGTGTTACCTTTTTCCCTCTGCCTTTGGTTTAAAGGTCCTTTATCTTATCAAATGGAGACTTGGCCCAATTGTCCTTAGAGGCCCCTTCCAACCCTAGGATTATACCACCAGAAATATTGTGAACTAAAGAATTAAACGTATATAGATCCTAACATTAGGGAAAGGAAGGAGAGGGGAAGAAAGGGAGAGTCAGACACTGAGCAAGAACACGCATGGACACTCCTTGGTCAGGTGTATGCAAAATCATTGGTAAAGTGTGGGGGTCTTTGGAGTCCCATAGGAGCACACAGGCACATCTTGGGAAAATGAATTCACTTGGAACTTGGAAAATTAAAAAGAGAGGGATGGGTGGTAGGAGGATCTGAGGCCTTCATGGCATTGTCCACTTTTTGCTCCCACTGGACTCTGGCTTAGGCTCCACTGGAGGAGCCCATAGGAAAATACTATTATTCAGTCATGTAGGTCAACTCTGGCCCACTCTTGCCTGCCACAGATTATCCCTCTGGGCTACTTATGATGCGCCAGTGGTAATCATGGATGTGCAGGTTTGCTGTCTTCTGTCTACCACCCTGCACGCTTCCCTTTAACTCCTGTTGATAATCCATTTCCCGTAAGTCTAGGCAGTGCTTTGCATTCCCATAACTTGTTGAAGCCAATAACCTGTGAGCTTCCCAACCCACCTCTCTCTGGGTCTTTAAATATAAGTCTGCGGCCAGAAAAAACCTCATATCACTAACCCTCATACAAATCCCCATATCACTAAGCTCATTATCACTAAGACTACTCTTTGTAAATGAAAACTACAATAATGGGGTACCTGGGTGGCTCAGTCAGTTAAGTGTCTGCCTTCGGCTCAGGTCATGATCCCAGGGTCCTGATCTCAGCAAGGAGTCTGCTTCTCCCTCTCTCTGCCTCTCTTCCCAGCTCATGCTCTCTATCTATATCTCAAATAAATAAATAAAATCTTAAAAAAAGAAAACTGTAATAACAATATTTGCAAATACAAAAAGACTTCCAAAAATTGGAGGGTTGTTTTGTTGTGTTTTGTTTTTAATGGTGGAACCCAGTTTCTTCATTAGGGCTGACCAAGATTCTTTCTCTAGGATTGTCCTTGGCTGACTCGCAGAAGTCAGGGATGGCAACAAGAGGGCAGATGCTGGCTGCTATGGCTGGAAAGCTAGAGGAAGCAGGATGGGCTTGAGGGTCATGAAGATGAGCATTTGGGTCGCTGAGACCTTCCTGACCCCAGCTCTACCTTGGCACACTTGCTACTTCCTTTGGCAGCATCCTGCACTCCCAGTAATCTTGGGAGCTGGAGGCCATGCCAGCTCTTCTTACAGTCTGACTTCTTCATGAGATCCAGCTGCTAATAGTGGCCAAACCCCAGGGCCACAGCTAAAATTTTGAGGATATAGGCAAACCTGTGAAAGGGACAGATGCCACAGGACCCATGCTGCTTGAGAACCAGTCTCTGTCCTGAACTTCTTATTTTATTTTATTTTTTTTAAATATTTTCTTTTTAGGGGCACCTGGGTGGCTCAATCAGTTAAGTGTTGACTGAGTTCGGCTCAGGTCATGATCTCAGGATTGTGAGATCTTGCGCCATGTTGGGCTCCATGCGGAGCACGAAGCCTGCTTAAGATTCTCTCTCCCTCTCCCTTTCCCTCTATCTCCCTTTAAAAAAATAATAAAATAAAATATAAAATATTATATTTTTTAAGTAATCTCTGCACCCAACATGGTACTCGAACCCACAACCCCAAGATCAAGAGTCACATGCTCTACCAACTAAACCAGCCAGGTACCCCTGTCCGGAACTTCTACAGCCCTTCCGAGCTTGGTATAGGTCCCTTTGTTTGATGTCTTTCTTCCCCATAACTGAATTATTTTGTGTTTAGCTGCCATTATAAAGCCCTACTGGTTTTTAGTAATGCTTGGTATGCATACCGGGTAATGTTTGCTGAGCTCCTGGGATATATGCTAGGTAGCAGTGTGATGTGCAGTCTCAGAGGGAGACGTCCTGGGTTAGATCCAAGCCCTGTCTCTTACCGCCTGTGTCAGTCTTAAGCGACTGTTTCACCTTGCTAAAATTTCATCTCTTCATTTATCAAATGAGGAGAATAATAATACACACCCCATAGGGTCGTTACCAGGACCGATCCATTTAAAGCATCCAGTATATTCCTCTTTAAATGGTTAGCACTAATGTTCTTGTGCCAATAGGAAATACTCTTCTCACCACCCATCTCCTCCACAATTTGCAGACATCAAATCAAGGCCCAAAAAAGTTAAATGGCAGGGCAAAGGTTGATATCTGGGAGGCCTGCTTCTTAGTTTAGTACCAGTTAATTTCCACTATTTCTAAGAATTGGGGGTTTTTTCCTTCTTACCTTTTATGCCAAGTAAATACCCTTTCTCATGCTCCCTTGGTTCATTCAGCTATCCTCAACTGGGATTAATTGAGCACCTACCTTGTGAGAGTATCGTGGCCAGCCGTGGAGATCCAAGAATTGACAGTATCCGCCCTGTGGCACATGAGATATAGCGGTGGCACATACAAACAAGATGTTCATACCCACACAGTTAAGTCACAACCAGGGCTATGGGAGCCACGTGCAAGGTGCTGAGATCTTGTAGACAGGGGCCCTGATCTCATCTGGGGAGTCTGCAAAAGCATTCGTAAGAAAGTGATACTTGCACTGAGACCCTAAGGAGGGGGTTCCAGGGTGAGGAGAGCATTAGAAGCAGGAACAGCTCATGCAAAGCTGTGGACAAAGACCTGATCTAAGGAGTAGAAAGAAGGCTGGTGTGGTTGAAATAGACTGGAGGATGAGCAGAAGAAGATGAAGCCGGAGGGAAAGGCAGGATCCTGGACATGCAGGGCTTTGCAAAGAAATTCACAAGGAGTCCTTGAAAGAGGTTAGCCTAGGAAGTGAATTACAGAGTGTGCACCTTCAAAGATCCCCCAATCACTATGTGAAGGAAGGATGACATGGTTTGGAAGATGACAAGGGTGGGAAGGAGGTATTGATGTATGGCCCAAGTGGGTAGCAGTAGAGATGGAGAGAAGTAAATGGGTTTGAGAGGTATTTAGGAAGCCGCCTTGACAGAACATATTGATTAATTGATTGATTTTTGGATGGCCGAGGGTGAGAAGCTGGTTTGTGATAAAAGATGATCAGTCGCAGGGATCCCTGGGTGGCTCAGAGATTTAGCGCCTGCCTTTGGCAGGGGGCGTGATCCTGGAGTCCCGGGATCGAGTCCCGCGTCGGGCTCCCTGCATGGAGCCTGCTTCTCCCCCTCTGCCTGTGTCTCTGCCTCTCTCTCTCTCTCTCTATGTCTATCATGAATAAATTTAAAAAAAAAATTTAAAAATAAAAAAAAAGATGATCAGTCGCATTTAGGACATGATGAATTCAAGGCATCCCTGTGACATTCAAGTAGGTGGTTGTGTATGTGCTGTGGAACTTGGAGGACAGGCCAGATGCTTCTTTGAGAACCAGCCACTGATCCAGCTGAGAAAAGTCCCGCACAGTCTGGCCTATTTTCTCTGACTCTGGGCTATGCCTGTTTGAAGATTATGATGTTCTGTTTCTCTTTGGCCTTTCAGGATTCCAGCCAGGCAATTCCTCTGGTGGTAGAAAGCTGTATCCGGTTTATCAGCAGACACGGTAAGCAGGATTACAGCCTTGCCCATATTTGTGCAAAGTGGGGAAGAACTTCCAGGAATTCTTTGTAGAGTAAGAATAGAGTTTGACTTCTCATCCTGACATTCTCAGAAACGGAATAAAAGTCTAACTACATTCACGTAATGTTTGCTACCTCAGAATGGCCACACCTAGACATTGAGAAAAAAGGCATTGTATGTTTTGACTCAAAATGCCTCAGCCACTTACCACACTCCCTTTTCTAGCCTGAGAGTGGGTTTTGAATTACAGCCGTGATGTGAGTAAGTACAGCTGGTATGATGTGATGGTAGCTTCGCCATTACTCACCATCTTTGCACATGTCAGCATCTCCTGCCACACAGTCTGAGTCCTTATGTCACGGTGCCCTCTGCATCGGACAGCTTTGAGAACTCCTTCCGTGATGTTGCACTGACTCCTAATACTATTCAGTGTTTGTTCTGGTGTGCTCTCACTGGATACAACATCACCTGGAGCTCAGTTAGTGATAGTTGGTCTTCAAGTTGTCACCACCATTTGAGAGTCTCCAGGGGCTGGTCCCTCCTCAGCCTAAGTCAGGTCACGCTATCTGCTGCCTGCATGAAACTGGGTCTCATAAACTCCATTCCTCACCAGTTCCCAGGCTGGTTAGACAGAATCTAGGGTGGAGATGAATGGCTACACAAGCTTCTAAGTGTAAGATTGTTTAGAAAGCACAGATATCTCTCAGCACCATGAAGATTTCTAGGAACTAGACATCAGAAATTGTTTTATGATGCTGTCTTATCTGATGATAGGAAAAAGGACAGAATGACCTTCTTGCAGCTTGAGAGGTATAGAGGTGATTGCTGGGCTCAATGCAGACATTTTCTCTCCCTTTCTCTTAGTTGGCTATAACATTGCTTGGGTTCATTTTTGGAATAGTAATTATTTTAACATGCTTACAATTTATCCCATTCTAATCAGCTACAGTTTTTTCATTGTGTCTCTATTCACTTGAAGTAATAGCATTATAAATCACCAGTCAACAAAAATATTTATCAAGCCCCTGATCAATGCTGGGCACTGTGCATTGTGAAATAGGAAAACAAAAACAGGGATTAATATGCTATTCCTGACTTTATTTGGTTTTATGATGCAGTTGGGAGAAAATAAATAAGCAATTGGAAAGCTAAATAAAAAGAGATAAGCTATAGCCATTCAGAATTGCAGTATAAGAAATTCCAAAAGATAGTAGTGATTAATGATCAAGTAATTGGCAGAGATAAGTCCAAACTGAGTTCCGGGGAGGAAAAGTTATTTGTGTCTAAATGACAATAGGAAGAAGAGAGTCTGAACTCCTGTTCTTTCAGCCATGCATTCTCTTCGGTCATCCAAGAAATATACAGAGAGAGATAGACTGCTCATTGTGTGCCAAGAAAAAGTTCCCGCCTTCGTGAACCTTATATTTTACCAAAGGACAGATAAATAGATGATTGGCTGGTCAGGTAGTAAATAAACACGGTATTATACAGTGTGTCTGGTGATGGTGAGTGGAATGAAGAAAAGCCATACAAAGAGCTGGAGAATGAAGAGGGGACACTGTTCTAGGTGGGTGGCGTGGGGAAAGACCCTAAGGTCGCTTCGGAGGGTAACATTGGAGCAGAGTCCTGAAAGGAAGTGAGGAAGTGATATCTGAGAAGAGTGTTTCAGAGAGAGGCATCAGACACAGAGATCCTTGGCATATGCAGGGCCTGGCATTCTGGAGACCCTGGGTGGCCAGAATGGGGACAGAGGAGAAGGAAGGGACAGCAGATCAAGCTGGAAGCCAGACTCTTAGGGCTTCCTCACCCAAGGGAGGTGTTTGGATTTTATTGAGTGAGGTAGGCAGCTACTGGAGAATTCAGAACAGAGAGAGCTCTTTACAAAGAGCTGCTGGATGGAGACAAGGCCATGGGAGGAAGGAGATAGCTGCAGCTGCCCAGGGAAGATGTGACCACGGTCAGGCCCAGAGTGGTAGCTGTGGAGGAGCCGAGGAGGGGACATTTCGGGGTATTTTGGCTCAAATATCCCTATCACTGCCCCCGCAAATGATCGGTGCACGTGGGGACATTTCTGTGGTGTGGCTCTGGGGAAATAGGTGTGTTCACAGGTTGCTGGTGGTATTTTGCAAACTGGCACAACCCTTTTGGAAAGGAATTTGATGCTATCTGACAGAACTACATATCGATTTATCTTCTGATCCAGCGGTCCTTGTAGGAATTTAACCTGAAGGTTACACCTCCAACAATATAAAGATACATCTGTTATTTGTTGCAACATCATTTGTAAAAATATTAGGAACAATCTAAATACCCTCACACAGAAGAGTGGTTGGATCAACTATGGTATATCTGAATTCTAGGCAGTTTAAAAAAAAAAAAAAAAAAAGAATGCACACAGTCTCCCTGAAAAGACATGGAGAGATTTCCAGACTATATTATCAAGCCAAAAAAAAGCAAAGTGCAAAAGAGTATTTAGGGCATGCTACCTTTTATGTAGAAAGAAGAGGATATAAGAATGTACATGTCTTCTCACTTTGGCAGGAAGGATGAATCCATAAACTAATATTTATTTGATTGTTCATCCACACGAGTCGGGTGCAAAGAGGAGGGGGTAAAAAGGATGGGGAGTGGGAATGGGAGGGAAGTGACATTTCTCTGAACATTGCTTTTTGTGTAATTGTGACGTTCAGAACTGCATTAGTGTTTCCCATGTTTAAAAGATAAACAAATAAAACAAGGATGTGGATAAAACCCCAAGTGAAATACAAACAGTAACAAATAAACCTAGCTGCAAAACAAATAACATAAGCACACTGAGGAGATGGAGAAAATAGGGGCAGCCTGGGTAGCTCAGCGGTGCTGAGCCTTCAGCCCAGGGCGTGATCCTGGAGACCCAGGATTGAGTCCCACGTCGGGCTCCCTGCATGGAGCCTGCTTCTCCCTCTGCCTGTGTCTCTGCCTGTGTCTCTGCCTCTCTGTCTTTCTCTGTATCTCTCATGAATAAATAAATAAAAATCTTAAGAAAAAAACACACACACACAAAAGCTGCTGGAACATGTTCATCTTTAACTCTCTTCATGTTCCCTGGGCAATAGATGTTAGAGAATGCTGAGGCTCAGCTGTAAATGGTGCATCAGGGTGATGCACGAAGGCTTAAAGGACAGGCATGCAGGGAATGACAGACTGAGTGACAGAATCGGAGGGGAGAACCCCACCTGGCTTATGCAGAAGGGAGCCAAGTAACATGGGCCAGTACTTTGTAGCAACCATTTCAAGAATTCTCTAGGAGAGCCCCTCTTGGCAACAGCCAGATCCAGTGCAGAGTGGAAGGTTTGTGCCATTTCCAAGTAACTTACCCAAGAAGAGTGTTCTTCTACTTTTATGGTAGCATGCTCTAAGAGCAAATGAAAAAGGTCGCAATGTGTCAGGTTAACCATGTGAGGCCTGCCCTGCATTCTAATGAAAAGCCTACTGCTCTTCCCCTTTACTTCTGGAACCCAACCATTTATCCGTGTCTCTACTCCCAGAGTCCTTAGATTAGATAGACACTCCTAAGGATTCTGTCTGTTGAGGAAGAATGCGTAGTGATCCTTCAAAAACACAGGTTTTAAAGGGAAATGGGAACCAGGCCGAAGGGTAAGTCTTAGTGTGTCTCAGGCCTGCTGCCTGACTTCCTGTTAACTGTCCTCTGATTTCTTCATGTTCTGGGCCCCTGGGCCAAGGTGGCTTTTCTTTTTTTCTTTTTTTAAGATTTTATTTATTCATGAGAGACACAGAGAGTCAGAGACATAGGCAGAGGGAGAAGCAGGCTCCCTGCAGGGAGCCCAGCGTGGGACTCAATCCCGGGACTCCAGGATCACTACCTGAGCAGAAGGTGGACGCTCAACCACTGAGCCACCCAGGTGTCCAAGGTGGCTTTTCATTGATGGTCTAATCTACTGAAAAGGACCTAAGTGATCCTCTCTCAGCAAACTGTTGGCTTCATCTAGAGCACTGAGTAGCCTGGTCCCCAAGGGGACATTTCCTTCTCCTATACTGTGTTTTTGACAAGTCACAGGGTACGTGGCTGTTTCTGTCAGAACACTTGCTGTTCTAAATTCTGTGTTTAAATGACGTTATTTGGCTGTTACATCCCATTGGTAACTAATATGGTATTATTACATTGGTACTAATGGGGTTTTAACATTGCCTGCCATTCTCTGAGGAATATTCTGGAGATTCCCTTAGAGGAGCAGACAACTTAAGTCCTATTACAAGCCAGGTAATTAAATTCCCCCTGCTTGCTTCTTAATATTACTTCAATTGGATTCAAGATTGTAGCCCTGGCCTGCATGATTTATTTACCTTTAAAGGTCTAACTGAGAGAATCCAGTCACCCCTCACCGAGAGGATAGCCCAAGAACAGTAGGCAGTTCTATTTTGTTTTCTTAAAAAGAAATTTGCTTGAGATTTCCCTGATGTGTCCAAGTTTTTGATGAATCATGCTGTTACAGAAGAAGTTGGACAAGATGCCCAAGATGGAGACACAGGGCTCCTGAGAAGGGCTGGCAAGCCTGATATGATTACAGATGCCAGTTCAGTCTGACCCCTGGGGCTAGCACTGGATCTCTTACCACCTCTGTAGCTACATGTGTGGGGTTGTGAGCCACATCTGTGTTCAGACTACCAAGCGGGTTCCTGCCCTCTCTGTCCTTTGCCTCTCGTGGGCCCCACCAGCCTGGTGTTGAGGAGTACGCCAATTGCAGCTGGATGGCCTCCTGACTCTGGTTTTTATCACCTATATAACCTAAGGCTGCTCATCATTCATCACTTCCTTCATCTGGAAGATGGGCATGCTGGTGACCCTTACCTTAGTGGCTGTTGTAAGAACCAGTTGATTTATTTCTATGAAAGCATTTCTTAGCGGCAATCACTGCACATGCATTATTTTTTTATAATTGTTTCTAGACCAGATTTTCACACCCATCATCCTACTGCAACGTCCATGCACGTTTGTCTTGGGAGTCAAGCCACAGTCAAGAACCAGCAGCTAGCACGGTGTCTAGCAGCACTGGCTATTGACTGTGATCACTTGCCTTTTCCTGTCCTCTCTCCTTCCTAAGTATTCAAAACATCGTGCACTGGAAGAGCCAAATAGTATTTGAACAGCCAAAGCAATCGTTGTACCTCAGACCTTATGAAACTCCTCCAGTGGTGTCTAGTGGCCTGCTTGCCATACCCCTAGTTCCCATTCCTGGCCCTGGGTGATAAGTGCCAGGGGTCACCTCACATCGCTTTGCAGATGGGAACAGAGAGGCAAAGGCAGGGGAAGGAAACTGCTTCTAAGTCTCCCTCAGAATCAGACATGGAGCCGGGTATAGACATCTATCCCCTTAAATCTTTGACTCAGTGCTTTCTTTATGCCTTGTATCTGTTCCGGTGACTTCTCCAGCATCCCTGCACGTGCTTTCTTGTTTGGCCTGAAGAAGAGAGACGGTACTTAAATGCACACAAATGGAGGACATAGACATTCAGCTAAGCTTGGAGCTGTGCTTATGACTTTGTTTCTTCTCCTTGATCACTTTTCCCTGTCTTTCTAGGACTACAGCATGAAGGAATCTTCCGGGTGTCGGGATCCCAGGTGGAGGTGAATGACATCAAAAACGCCTTTGAGAGAGGTAAGGAAACAGGCTTAAAGATGAGACCAAATGTGTGCCAGCCTCCTGGGATATTGGCTTCATCCATCCTCCCCAGAGAAGTACCCAGAGGTTACCAAGCCACTTGTTCAGCCTGACACCTACTCTCTTGTAGACAGTCTTCCTCAAGATGTACAGGGAGGTGCCAGGGCACATCCCAGCCTCCTTCATTAGCCCCATTCATCCTGCCTCTCTCCTGCGGATGATCTGTCGAAACCCAAGAAGTTAACTATGATATCTGGGCGGTTTATAGCTTCATCCAGAACCCTCGGTGGCAGTTAATATCAAGGCTAATGCGCCTGTTCATCGTAGCCCATTTATTATCTTGTGGGCTATTAAGGTAATGGACAAGCTTTGGCAATTTCCGTCACTGTAATGGATATATATAGTTTCAATTTGAGGTTGGTCCTATCATTAAATCTAATTACATCTGATATGAAATTTTCCATAGGGAGCTCCACCGTGATTGTTCTCCTGTAAGTAGGTGTCCTTTGTTGCAAGCCAGGAGGAGTGAGAGCCAGTCAGAGGGACTAGCCTCCTTGGCCTCATTTTCCTTCCCTAGGGACTCAGTCCCAGCCTGGCTTCATAATTCTTGTGAGAGGGCCAGTTGCAGTGTCCTACCCCAACCCATAGGGAATGTCCCTGAGCTCATCTGGCAGAAGTGAATTTATCCTAATGGACCCTTGTTGCCCTCCTCTAGCCTTGAGGCCCCTGAGCCTAAGCAGTCTTTGCTTTAGTCTAGTCTCTGGTCTGCCCTACTCATGGCCACCATGCTGGGCAGTGAACTGACAGACTCAGGAGGACTCAGCTCACTCCTGCCCTACCACTTCTGCTCCATCCTATGTGTTTTTATCTCCCTTGTTCTCTCTTTCCTTTTTGGGGGGCTGCTTATCCTCAGGAGAGGACCCCCTGGCTGGGGACCAGAATGACCATGACATGGACTCCATTGCTGGTGTCCTGAAGCTTTACTTCCGGGGGCTGGAACACCCTCTCTTCCCCAAGGACATCTTCCATGACCTCATGGCCTGCGTCAGTAAGTACACCCTGGCCTCAGACTGGCTTCTAAGCAAGAACACCTTGTCTCAACAGACAAGAAATTTCCATGGGGTCTTTTTTCTCCCATAAGCTTTTCAATATTGTTTTTTTTTTTTTCTTTTTCATTTTCCTCAGTGAAGTTTCTCCTCCTTGTCTTCAGTCCTTCAGCCCCTGGTGGGGAGGGAGGGAGGATGACTTTTCAGTGAGAGGCTAGGACCACAAGTCAGCTTTCTGATTTGCCTTAAACTCCTTGCTTTGCTGGGCTTTATTTTTCTTCAATAAAATATGTTTCTATTCATATATAAGGCACAGTCTTTTTCAGTTCTTGGAAGCTCATACATTAGTGCCTGTGCTTTTTATGATATAAAGGGGAAATATTTTTTGCTCATTGCTTTATTTTTTTTATAATTAAGATTAGAATTGATTTTTCATAAGATTGATTGATTGATTTTAAATAGGGGGTACAGAGGGAGAGGGGGAGAGAATCTTAATTAAGCAGGCTCCATACCCAGCATGGAGCGCAATGCGGGGCTGGATCCCATGACCCTGAGGTCATGCCCTGAGCCAAAATCAAGAATCAGACACTGAACCAAGTGAGTCCCTCAGGTGCCCCTGCTTGTTGCTTTAAACATGGTGTGGCTTACCTTCTCGATGTGTCAATAGGGTTCTTTTAGGAAGAAAAGCCCTCTGCACATTTAAATGTAACAATATGATGTTTTCCTAGAAAGAGCTAGTCTCTACTTTATCCTTTTCATAGGTTCCTGCCTCTTACTCTCAAATTTGGGGCTTGAAAAGCTAAGGCCATTTAGTGTAGTTCGTTATCCTGAAACACCTTCTCTTTTGTTTTATATGGAAATGTAGATTAATACCAGGTCATCCTGGGAATAGCCCCAATGGAACGGTGGCTCCAGAGGCTGGAGAAGGCAGTGCTGGTCGCTGGGGCTACCAAGAAAGTTCAAGAAATCTTGGCTGCCCAGTTTTCCCCTTGAGACAGGCTCCTCACCCACTGCTTTCCACTTCTTTTTCATAGAACGGCACTCATAGAATATGACAGTGTCCACATGGCACACTGTAGTAGGGAGGCTGGCCACGATGGAGGCCACCAGCCTTACCTGTAATTGATCTGTCCAAAGCACAAGGGACAGGAATCCTTGGGTCTCCTCCCCAGATATTACGACTTATGCAAGGATCTGCCATCTCTTGCCTCTGGCCATGTTCTGCTCAACCCCACTGCAGATAAGAGAGGGGGAAGATAAGCCAGACCTGTCCAGAGGATGAGGTGGTGCATGTGTAGAGCGAGCAGGACAGGACCCACACCGCCTGTCTCCCACCCCACATGTAGATCCTCCAAAGCTGGATGTTGAGCTGTCTGCCGTAGTAGGTTTTTGGAGGTTGTTTTAATAAGAGAGTGGTAGGTGCTTGGAGAACATCGAACATCTCCAACCCTTTCTGAACCCAAAGAGCATATTCCTTAAGTCTTGCATCACTAAGCACCTGGAGCCCAGCATGTGCCCTATGGCAGCAGCCCTGCCCCAAGGAGCCACCGGGATGGATCTTCTCGCATAGTGCACCTGTGCTGTGTGGACTTGACCCGGCCGCTGTCTGTGTAGCACCTGCTGGTAGGAAGGGTCTCCTGACCATTACTCCTGCGGATCTCAGTTGTGGTGAAGGATAACGCTTGGCTTTCTTCTTTCAGCAATGGACAACCTGCAGGAGAGAGCTCTGCACATCCGGAAAGTCCTCCTGGTCCTGCCCAAAACCACTCTGATTATCATGAGATACCTCTTTGCCTTCCTCCATCAGTGAGTAGACTTCCCAGTGAGCAATTGGATCAGGTGTTGGCTTCAGCCCTTGGACGCCTACATATAGAGCTATGTCAGTTCATCCAGCCCAGTAGATATTTGTGGAGCACCAACAGGGTGCTGGGCACAACTGTAGGCTGTAAGAATAGATGAAAAGTTAGAGACAAGAGCCCTGATACCATTTAACTCACATTCCAGGGTAGGGACAGACGATAACAGATATGTCAGATGGGAATAAGTGCTTAGATTAAAAAAAAAGAAGAAGAAGAAGAAGAAGCGAAGAAGCGTAAGTTAAGAAGTAGAGTGCTGAATGGGATCTGAATGGGGGCAGGAATGAAAGAGGGAGAACCGCTATAGAAAGCTGCTCAGTAAAGGCCTCTCTGAGGAGACCGTGTGAGGGCAGCAGCCTAAATAGAGTGATGTTCACAAGGGATATTCAAGGCTATCAAGCCCTGGGAGTCATGGTCATAATGGATTTGGATTTGGGAAGCCACGGGAAGCTTTTACGCAAAAGAGTGATAAGATCTGATCTATTTTTGAAGCCCACTGACAGCTTTGAGTAGTTACCATCGAGTCTGTGAAGAGAAGCAGGGACACCTAGGCAGAGGTTAATGTGAGGTCTCAGCCATGGGCACTAGGGGCTCAGACAGGGTGGTGGGTGTGGGTCATGAGGTAGGGTGATGAGGTGGGACCGGGTTGGGATTCCATTTCAAGCATAGTGTTAGCATTGACGGGACTTCCTAATGGGGACGATGTAGAGTGTGAGGAAAGAGAGAAGTTCTGAATGTTTGGCATGAGCAACAAGGAACTTGTGACTCCATTGTGGAGTTGAGGAAGACAAGGTATGGAAGGTAGAATTGAGACACCAACTCAGCCATGTCCATTTGAGATGCCTGTTAGGCCTCCAAGGGGAGGTTCTGTGTGGGCAATGGGACATAGGAGCCTGATACTCGGGAGAAACCCAGAGTAGAGATATGAGTCTGGAGTCACCATGTCCTGATATTTTAGCTGGTTACCTAGGGAGTGAAGGTAGCTAGAGAAGAGGTCTGAGGGCCAAAGGGGCCCTGTGCTTGAATGGAGCATGGCTTCCCATCCGAGCAGTGTGTTCTTGCCTGGGGCAGGCGCTGGGTCCCCATAGGCTAGCAGAGGCAACAAGCAAGGACTTGTGGAGCTTGCCCCATAGGCACCTCTGTCTTCACGTTGCTTTCCCTGCTGAGGCTCCCTCAACAACTGAGAGCAACGTGAGGGCCAGCTGAGGCCCATAGATGTGTTTCCTTTCAGTCTGCTGTGGCTTGAAAACATTAAAACATTTAAATATGAGAGGATTTTACTTAAAAATATGTAGATTTCCAGCTCCTCTGGAAAACGCTATCAGGTCTGGCAATGATGGGCATGCATTCTGCAAGATGGTGGTTCCCTGTGGTGGAAGGACTGCGGCCAGATGAGGCGGGCCCTCCCAGATACTCCCTATACCAAGGCTGAGTTTAGCTGCGTTGATCATCACTCTTGCTTCCTGGGTTTTCCTCTAGTAGAGAAACATTTTGCTAGCTCAATGATTCTATCAAAAGAGAAAATAGAGACCCCAGCTAACACAACTTTCTTTGTCTTCTTAGTCAGTTTGGTCTTTACTTCACAGGAAAACAGATTTAGTGGCCATCTCGTGAGCTTCAGCTTGCTTATGAGTTCATGGTCAGCCTGGCCCTCTAGGCACCTAGGTAAGCAGCCCCTCTGGAGACCTTGCTGGGGCACCCACGCCATCCTTCAGCTTTGCTGCTCACCATGCAGAGCAACAGAGTGTCCTGGCTCTGCAGCCTGCCTCCTCCTCATGGCTGTGTCTGCTCCTTCCATCAGCCAAGCCCTGACTAAGCACCACAACTTTGCCTGAGTTCAGAACCCCTTGTGACTCACATAGGGTGTTCATATGCTATGCATTTGGGGCTGATAAAAATGGAAATTCTGCAATGACTCTGGACCCGTTCAGCCCCTTGGGGCCACCAGTCCTTGTCTTCCCTCACTGATAAGACACCTGCCCTCAAAGGAAGCCTGGTCTGCTCCCCCAGGCCAAGAGCATGACGGTGGTGGATAAAAAGGTGGGGGAGCAGGCTGGTCCTGGGCATGGGCCTGTTTATAAGCACAGTGGCCTCGTTCTTTGCATTGTCTTCCTACATTGTCTTCCTGCTAAGTGAAGGTGGTAGGGAACTCGTGGGAGAGGAGGAACAATAGAGTGAGCATCATGCAGAGCTGGAGATGGTGGCCACTATTATAAGAAATGTGGGAATTACGCCAATTCAACAATTACTTTTATTTTGTTTTGCTTTTTCGTCTGTTAAAAAATGATATATATGCTCATCAAAGTATTTTGGGGGAAAATGCAGCCTTAAGAACTGCAGTGTCTCCTAAAACAATAAATGGAATTGAGGACACCGGTGATAGAGAATACCACATCTGTGGGAAGATGACTGGTCCTAAGTGTACACTTACCAACAGACGTGGCAACAGTTGACAGCTCCTGAGAGAGACTCTGCTGGGCCCAGATTTCGGGACTGCTCTCCTTGTTGTGTCCTGGGGGGTGTATACTTTATTTCTGGCTATGGTCTTTCTCTTGGGTTGTACACATCCCTAATCTCAAGGAGCCAAAAAACTAATATGTATATATATGTATGTGGAACTCCTTACACAGACCTGGTTCTATATATACACACATATATGTGTGTGTATATATATATATATAGCTAGAGTCCTCTAGAGTGCTTGGTCCACAGCATGAACCCTGGGTATGTGCCCATCCAGCGGGCCTTGTTAGTTATTAATATCCTTTCTAGCATCTGCATTAACTACCTATTTCTGTGTAACAAATTATCCTAAAGTTTAGTAACTTAAAACAAAAAGTGGGATCCCTGGGTGGCTCAGTGGTTTAGCGCCTGCCTTTGGCCTGGGGCATGATCCTGGAGTCCCCAGATCGAGTCCCACGTCGGGCTCCCGGCATGGAGCCTGCTTCTCCCTCTGCCTGTGTCTCTGCCCCTCTCTCTCTGTGTCTATCATGAATAAATAAATAAAATCTTAAAAAAAAAAAAAAGCCATTAAGGATCACCTGGGTGGCTCAGTTGGTTAAGTGTCTGCCTTCAGGTTGGGTCATGACTTCAGGGCCCTAGGATGGAGCCCTGAGTCAGGCTCCATGCTCAGCAGGGTGTCTGCTTCTCCCTCTCTCTACTCACATTCTCTCTCTCTGTCTCTCTCAAATAAATAAATGAAATCTTTAGAAAACAAACAAACAAACCCCAAAAGCATGAATTATTATATCACAGTTTCTGTGGGTCAGGAATGAACAGTGGAGGCGCAGTACAGCAGGGGGGTCTCTGGCTCTAGCTATCTTGGGGTGGCAGTGAGGGTATTAGGGGCAGTGCTGTAGTCAGCCTTAATGAGGAGGATCTGCTTTCCAAGCTCACTTGTGTGGTATTGGCAGGAATCCGTTCCTTGCAGGTTGCTGGACTAAGGATCTTCGTAGCTGGCCGACTGTTGCCCAGAGGCCTTCGTCAGGTCTTCACCATGTGGGCCTCATCGTAGAGCTGCTCACAACATGGCAGCCAGCTTCCCTCCTAGCCCATGAGTGAGAACACCCAAGAGAGTCCTTGATAACCTAGTCTCAGAAGTGACATCCCATGCCAACTGCCATTTTCCATTTACTAGAAGTGAGTCACTGAATCAAGTCCGCACTCAAAGGGAGAACGTTACACCAGGTGTGAATACCAGGAGGCAGGGGCCATGGGGTTCATTTCAGAGGCTGCCTACCACAGCCTGTGTGCTACCCAGTGAGTGTTTGCCCCCAACAAAGCGTCGGTAGCTCCCCTGTCCACGGCTGACTCAGCTGCTTGCCTTTTGCAACCTGCTTTCTCCACATATCAAACCATATTGTCTTCTAGGCTCTTGATCATCAAGTGAGGTCCACAGAGCAGCTTCATCAGCATCATTTGGGAGATTGTTTGAAGTACGGAATGTCAGCCCCTCCTCCCCCAAAGACCTATGAATCAGACTCTATATCTTAACAAGTTCCCCTGACGAGTCTCATGCATATGAAAGTTTGAGAAGCATTGCTCTAAAAAAAAAATAAAAAGAGGGGATCCCTGGGTGGCTCAGTGGTTTAGCGCCTGCCTTCGGCTCAGGGCGTGATCCTGGAGCCCCCCGATCGAGTCCCGCATCGGGCTCCCTGCGTGGAGCCTGCTCCTCCCTCTGCCTGGGTCTCTGCTTCTCTCTCTCTCTCTCTCTCTCTCTCTCTCTCTCTCTCATGAATGAATAAATAAAGTCTTTAAAAAAAATAAAAAGAGAGAGACGCATTGCTCTAGGTCCTCAAACACTGCACGAAGGCGTGAATCAGGCTGCTTTTTTTTCTGTGATTGAGGTGCCCCCAGTGGCTCTACAAAAGTGGAGTCTTCCTCGAAATCTCAACAATCTCCAGGGGGCTCCTAGTTTGGAAAGCTCTGTCTGGACTGTTCTTCTGACTTCATGAGGGGTGTTTTGGCTTCCCCATGCAGATGGACAAGTAGAGTTGTGGTTGGGTTGACTTGGAGATCCAGAGCTGCTCATATACTTATTTATGCACTTATGGCAAATGTGTTTATGAAGCATTTTCTGTGTGCCAGGCCCTGTTTTAGGAGCTGGCCATCTCAGAGTACACCAAGCAGTCCAGGTATCTCATGGTGTCCCTTTGGAGTTTATGTTCTATACGAAGGAGACAGATCAAACTAATAAGTACACATACCCTGTATCAGAGAAAAAGCACTCTAGGGAAAGACAAAGCAGGCCAGGGAACCATAGAGTGCTGGGGATCAGGGTGAGAGTTCGCTTTTCCTGCAGAGAGCCTAATATGGAACTTGATTCCAGGGCCCTGGGATCATGACCCAAGCCAAAGGCAGACTCTCAACCACTGAGCCGCCCAGGTGCCCTGAGAGCTCACCCTTCAATATATGGCAGTCAGCAGACACCTCACTGAGCAGGTGACAGCAGGCCTTAAAGTAGGAGGAAAACCTGAAGAGGATGGTGCCTCAGAAGCCACGTAGAGAAATGTTGGGAGGTCATGAAATCAGAGTTAAAGGTGGTGACAGGTCAGCTAAGAAAAGGGCTAAGAATTGTGTTCACAGCAGGGAAAACACCAGTGACCCTGAGGAGTATTGTCCTGATGGAGTGGAAGGGGCCAGACCCTGATGCTGTAGGTTTAGGAGAGAAAGGGGTACCACCAAGGGGTGAACAGAATGTGGGGGTCCATGCAGTGGGATGTGTTCAGTCGTAAGCAGTAATGGGGTGCAGAGGCATACTGCAACACGGATGCACCTTGCAGACATCCTGCTGAGGAAAGGAGCCAGTCCCAGAAGCCCACATGGTTGTGAGTCCGTTTATCCACAGTGTCCGGAGTGGACAAATTAGTGGTGATGGGAGATTGGCAAAGCCAGGGCTGGAGGCCGGGGAGCATGGAGGGGTGGCTGCTAATGGATCTGGAGTTTCCTTTCGGGTGGTAAGAGTGCCCTGGAACTAGGCAATGGTGATGGTTGCACAATGTTGTGAATATGCTAAATGGCACTGAATTGTACACTTTAAAATGGCGAAAATGGTCAGTTTTACAGTATATATATTTTACCACAATAAAGAGGGGGAGGGGGCATGAGAGAAGTTGTATTAGTCTGTTCTGGCTGCCATAGCAAAATACCACAGACTAGGTGACTTCAACAACGGAAATTCATTTTCTCATGGTTCGAGAGTCTAAAAGGCCAAGATCAAGGTGCCAGCAAGGCTGGTTTCTGGTGGGGAGTCTTTCCTTGGCTCGTGGATGGCCATCTTCACTCTGCGTCCTCCCGTGGCTTTCCTCTGTGCACACACAGGGAGAGCTCTGGGGTCTCTTCCTCTTCCTATAAGGACAGTAGTCCTATTGGGTTAGGCCCCCACCCTTATGACCTCATTTAACCTTAATTATCTATCTCCTTAAAGGTCCTTTCTCCAAATACAGTCCCACAGGAGTGGGGGGGAGAGTTTCAACGTAGGAATTTGGGGCGGAAGGGGCACAATTCAGTCCATAACAGAGGGGTGGAGATGAATCAGAGAATCAGACAACAGGTATGGACAACTCCCAAATAGTCTCATCATGAAGAGAAAGAGAGAAATGGGACAGTATTTTGACATAGATGTGAGGTTGAGGGTATTTTTTTCAGGTGGCCAGTATTACTGCATGTCGGTATGCGGGTGGGGATGACCCAGTGGAGAGGAAAAGCTAGTGATGCAAGGGAAATTGCTGGACTAATATTCTGGCCGGAGAAAGAGGATGGAGTTCACTGCAGGGAAAGGAAGGCAGAACACGAGGGCGCAGAGGCAAGTCCTGTGATAGATGCGGGGAGCACGAGGATGCTGACACGCGGCCTTAGAGGTAAGGGGAATGACAGGATGCCTTTGGAGGACCATCAGAAAAAATCAGCCAGAATTACGTTTGACTTCTTATCTCTTAGAGAGCTTTTGGGGAAGTTGGGGAAGCCCGTTAAGTCATGGATTTATAGAGGGACATCTGTAGTGTCTCCTATTGGAAAAGCTTTTAAAGGCCTGATGGATTCTCAGCCCCACGATTTGCCTGGGGCCATGGTGAATAAGACAATTTCTCTTCATCCCTTTCAGACCTAAAATCAACCCTGATGCATTCATTTCTTACCCAAAGTCTGTTGATTGTTGCCAAATCAAACCCCTGGGGCCTCTGAAGCTGAAGGTTTTTAAGTGAAATGTCATGTATTTAAAACAGTCTGTCCAAAGCTTAGCGTTCTCCCTGAGGATTTAAAGTTTCGATTTGGGGATCTAGAGTCCTGGGCTTGATGATGTCTGTCAGAAGAAAGTGGCTGGACTTCTATAAATCAATTGCTGGCAAATGTTGGCAGCCCTGCTTCCCATCCCCTGACTAGAATTGAGGGTCCTTTATCAAGAAGCAAATCAGATATTATAATTACAGAAAATACGGATTGAGCACCACCTCCACCTATGTGCCAGGCACAGTGCTCAGAGCTTTGCATGTAATACCTCATTTAAGCTTTACAGCAGCCCCACAAAGGAGGTACTAAATAAATCTCTTACAAGGAAGAGATTTAGAAACTAGAATACTGTCCTGGAACTGGTACGTTATGGGGCCATGATTCAAAACCAGGTCTAATTGACTCTCAAATTCTTGGAATGCTTTGTTTTTCTTTTTTAATTTAATCGAAGAGACCAATGCACGTCATTAAAAGGTAAAAAGTCCAGAAGAGTGCATGATAAAAAAGCAAGTTTCCCACACCAATCCTGATTTTCTCATTCCTCCCCAAACCTGTGTTCCCAATCACTATACTGAACTTCGTTAAGATACACAAAAGATGAGTTTGACTCAATTAGAAGAATTCACTAATATTATAGATAGAAGCTATAGAAATATAGTACAATTCTTAGAAGAGATGACATTGTACAAGTCGACACCAAAACAATTTTAAAGAGGGACCTGTTACCAGGGTTACCTGTTTTGGTTATTTCTTTAAAAATAAAAATCCAAAATTTGAGTTCTTATACTGGATACAGAATTCAGGGCCTTCATGGATTATCAGCACCATTATATTGTATATAAAATGATATGTATCTGTATGTGTACTTGTATGAATTTTTCTGGGAGAGAATCTCTAGTTTTTGTCAAATTCTTTAGGGAGGCTGTGACCCCTAAATAGTTCAGAACCACGGCTTTAATCCCTCAACCTAGATGTTCCCATTGTAGATTGGAAGAGAGAGAAGAATGCCGGTTTATATTTTAGTGGGAGTAAGAAATGGCACTGGTTCATGAGACCCCAGTCCATGAAGATGTGGCCTCCTCAAGCCCCTGGTCACTGCAGCCACCACCTATGAATCAGACAGCCCTTCCCTTAGGAAGCTTGTCAAAGTTGCCCATCTTTCATGGGCCTTTGACTGGGACTCTCAGAACTATATTTTGTTTCCCTCTGACTGCCAGCCTTCCTAGAAATGCCTGGTTTTCTTCCATGCTCCCAAATATTGTTGGATCGCGCCAAAGAACCAGGACCTTCCTCCTCCTTATCCCTGCTGGGGTTACCACAATAATTATCTCTCCCGTCTCCAATGTTTGCTTGACCAAGAAGTAGACTTGGAAACTTCTCCCAGTCTTTTCTAAATCTCGGCTCTCTTTTAACTCAGGAGCCAGTTTACAAACTTAAAGTTTGTAAAATTCAAACTTTAAGACCCTCTGCGAAGCAGTCCAACCACCAAGATCCATAGCCTCACCCATCACTGGCCTCCTTGCATTTGACTAGGTCCTTGAGAAGAATGATTCTCAACCATGACAGTTTTCTCCCTGTGACAGCTGTTCACATCCATGGTACTGCTTCTCCAATGTGGACAGGGACATCCGCGAATCTGAGTAGAGGAGAGAACCATTGGGTCAGAGAGAGCCCAGCTTGGTCATTTGAGTCTGGGTGTGGAATACACTAGAAATGAACTCTGTCCAGTTCTGAAGAATACCTACTCTGATGAAGACAGCTGGGTCTCAGGCCTCTAGTTCAGCATCAGAGGGCTTTGGTTTCTCCTCAGATCTGTCTGAATCAGGTGCTGGGAACCTCTTGCTAATGCTCATGAGGGAGGCAGAACGCCTTAGAGAGCTCACCGCTCTGCAGCCTAGGGCTGGGGTCTGGGGGCAGACATCCAGAGCTGGCCGAGCCTTCAGCCCCGACAAACAGACTGGTGGGAGCCTAGTGGCTCACTGAAGGCTGGGGTCCTTGACCAAGGTTGGGGGTGTGGCCAGAGCAGCTGCTGGCTGAAAGTGGGGAGTTCCCAGGATAAATATCCAATAACAAAGTCAGACTGCATCCAGAGGAAACCTGTGCGGAAACTGAGCAGCATGCTGACCTTTTCCTGAATAAATCTTGATTGTAATAATAGAGGATTTTATGAAAATGAAAAACAATTACATTAGCTGTTCCAGAAAGAAATTCACTTGCTTGATGGACTGCAAAAGCTAATTGGTTGGCAATTTTTTTTAATAAGTCTAGAGCTTAGAATGGAATATCCCTAGTAATTTGATTATTTTGGTCTGCAAGAAGGTGCACAATGCACAATGCCTGTGTCTTCTGACCATATTATTATGAGGGCAGCCTGAGGGTGTCCATCTGCTCTGGCAGCTTAGTGGGTTGGTGTGTGGGAGCCGTCTCAGCCCTCAAAGTAATGTGTTCTCAAGTCAGGGGAGATCTGGCGGAGAAGGTATGGAGCAGGGCTGACCATGGGGTGGCGAGTAGAATTTGAATGGGGAGCTGACAAGAGAGAGGTTGCTCCTGAGTGACCAACCTGGTGGTCATTCTCTTCTCCACCCAGACTTTCTAGAAGGGCTCTGAGGCCCAGAAAAGCAGGTGGCAGCTTGTGGAACTTGTGCTCTTGTTCTTGGCAGTGCCTCCCACGATTGTGTTTTCTGGGCATTCATGCGAGTGCTCTCCAGCTTGCCCTCTTCCCTTCTCGTCCAGTTTATCACAGTTCAGTGAAGAGAACATGATGGACCCCTACAACCTCGCCATCTGCTTCGGGCCCTCACTGATGTCGGTGCCTGAGGGCCACGACCAGGTGTCCTGCCAAGCCCACGTGAACGAGCTGATCAAAACCACCATCATCCAGCATGAGAACATCTTCCCAACCCCCAGGGAGCTGGAGGGCCCCATCTACAGCAGAGGAGGAAGCACAGAGGACTACTGGTAGGGGGCTCTGGGCTGGAGAGGGGGAGGGCATCCCCAGTACACACCGGTGTGGCAGCCAGATGGCCAAGCGAGACCCGAGGGAAACACCCAGATCCTCTCAGCCTCCCACTCCCAGGCAGTGCAAGCTGCCAGGATCTGGGGGTGGTGCTGGCAGTACCCCCACCTCGGCCTGACCTACAGAGTGAGTGCCACTTTGTGCCACCTCCCTGGGGTTTTTTTTTTATGAGTTTTTAGTGGTGAGGAACATTCTGGAAAGTAATGACAACAATAATAGGAATATTAATAATCTCCAGGAAAGGAAAATGTAGAAAGTTGTATTTAGAACAGCCGTTTGTCAGTGAACAGTGTCTGTCAGGCTCCTGCTCTGTGGTGTGCCCTGTAAGAGACACAAGCCTGGATCCCAGAAATAAGAATTTCTTTCCTCTTGTGAAGAGTGTAGACATGAGGCATAATTTCCTCAGTGTGGGTTTGTACACTGACAATTGAGAGTGATCACAGAGATTTGTGAAGAAAAAAGGGGGTAAGCTCCGTTTTCGGCGGGGTAGGCATACTTCCATCCTAAAGCGAGTTGCAATCCTACCGGGCGAGGTCTTTCGTGACCTAGCCTGGGAACAGAAGTATAAAAGGAATCCCTAGGGCACATCTCTACTAGACCCCCTGTTAGACAATTGACAAATGACTATTTCCATGTTGCAGATGCAGTCACTGTAACCTAGAGAGGCCGGTGACGATCCTAGGCCATCACAGTGGTGGGGATTCCAACCCCAAAGGGTCTTAGTACAGGACACCATCCAGGACCCCTCACGACACCCCAGGGTACCACTTACAGTGTCATCTTCCCGTCAAACACTACCTCTCTCTTTTACCCCCTAATGTCCCTTACCTCCTCCATCCCCACCCCACATGCCTGTTAGCCCATCTTCCCCCTCGAGTGGTGCTTCAGCCTGGGCTGAAAGCCTCAGCCAGCCCAAATCGGATTCCATCTGAACTCAACATCTGGAACCAGGTCAGCAGCCCCATTGCTATCCACTAAGGTAGGGAGGACAGCAGAGGTATCTACTTAATTAGAGGCCAGTGAGTCCATGCCTCTCCCTGATGGCCACAGAAGGAACCTCTTGCCTGAGGAGTGGAGACTGGTATTTGTGTGTCTGTGCATATAAAACTACCACGGACACCCCTGGGTTGGGTCTTGACCGCTGTCCTGCAGATCCCAGAGGCTGGAGAAACCTATGCTTGCCAGCTCGGAGAGAAAGCTTTTTGTCACTGCCAGATGGTTGGTGGGGACGGGGGACGTTGTTCAGGTCTCAGCCTGCGAGCTGAGGAGCTCCAGGGAGCTGTCCTTGTGCACATGACTGGGAGAGTTGGTTTCTCTCTCGCTTGTGGGTTAAGAAGCTGTGGACTAGGGTTCCCGGTGCCTGCTTTATGTTCCTTCCAAAGCGTTTCCTCACTTCTCAGATATCTCTGGACCGATCCCAGGACACAGAGCCCCCCATGCCCCTGGTCCCCCAGAGTCATTGTCGGGGTGGCTGGCAGGGGCAGAGACGGGGGCACCTTCTGCCAATTCTTGCCAAAGCATCTCCACCCCCCTCACCCCCGCTGCTGTTTGTTCTGCATCCGAAATTTATTAGCAACCTCAGGAAAAACCACAAGATTAGTCAGGGAATGTTACTACCACAGACTGGGTGGGAAGCCAGAAGCACCCAGGGATCGAGAGTAGGTGACCTTGGGTAAGAAGGACCATCTGACTGCTGGACTCATACCCACACTGAAGGCTCCCAGCCTCTCTTCCTCGGGAGGAGAAGTGCCAGTGAAGCAGGAGATAAGATAGATGAAGGAGGAGGGGAGGGGGTGGCACAGGGGATGCTAGAGCCTGAGAATCCTGGAGGATGGCTAGGAAGAGGGAGCTCCTAGCTGCTTGGCCTCCCTGCCGCTGTGGAGAAGAGAGGCCCATCCCACTTCACCATGCTTCCCAAGGCCTGATGCAAAAATTCAGTTTCCTAGGGCTGCCTGCTGTTGGGCCGGTTGGGCTTCCTCAGACCGCAGGCATCGATGGGCTGAGGTGTTGCTGAGGTGTGGCTGTGGGACAGCGTAGGAGTCTGTCGCTAGAATTGGCCTTAGAGAAGCATCATTTTGCCTTTATGTTAGAGCAGGAGTTTTCCAAGTGGAGTCCTTGGACCAACAGCACCTACGTAACACAGGACTGGCTAGGAACACATACACTCTGGCTCCGCCCAGCCCTTGAGAATTAGAAAGTCTAGGGGTGAGGCAGCCCACTTTTAACAAGCCATCCAGGACTCCCTAAAGTTTGAAAATTGTTGCCTCGGTGGATGGCCACGTAAGTAAACCTGGAACTCTGGAGGGAACTGAGGTTCCGCCTTGTCACCCCACCCTTAGGGCCCCAAGGGGCTCTAAAAGGTCATGAAACTCAGCAGAGGGCTTTTCGGCCCAGTAAACAGTGAAAAATTGTGCCCATGTTTTTTGATAAGGAGGAATCCGTGTTGATGTGCTCCCAGGATATTCTCTGGAGTCTGGAGAACCTCCTTGGAACTGACTTCTGAACTGGTCCCTGGTCTTTGAGGAGATTTTCAGAGTGAAAGACCCATCCCCAGGGGAGGGAGAGGCTATAGGCTCAAAGGTAGGAACCGTGAGGCCAGGTGGTGGATGGAGGAGGTGATAATGCTTCCGTAGAATTGCCTAGAAAAGCTCCCTTGTTTTTGTCTGTTTCTCAGGAAGTCAGAACTTCCTGGTGTCCATCCCCATCCACTCTCATGTCCACAAGCCAGGAGACGAGGAGCAGAAATGTCTTTCCTAGTAACTTCCCTGGCCATTTTCCATTCTCAACCCTGGATGATTTTAGACTCTGAACTGTTGAAGAACTTGACTAGCTTGCATGTCCTGCCCTCTCGCAGAGTCCAGCCCACGGCAGGCTCTTCTTCTCCCTCTGATTTACCTCCCATTCTCTCACCCGTACACAAACCAAACCACAAAGCCTAGAGACAGAAGCAAAATGAAAAAGAAGGGAAGGAAGGCCACTTACTAAGCCGTCCGCCATGTCTCTGAATCCTCACACAGCTCTGTGACGCATACAGACCACTATCCTCAATTCACTGATTAGGTGGCTGTGGCTTGAAAGAGTTTCACTGCCTTGCCCAGGATCACACAGTTACCAAGTGTCGGGGCTGATTTTCAGGCTCTCTTGTGTCCCATGCCAAGGCCTAGTTAGTGTTCTCTTCCTCTTGCTCTGTTCAGGGATCTATTCACCTCGAGAAACAGCCCCAGAGAATTTGAGCTGTTCTGTATTTTCGAAAAGACTTATTTTGTAGATTCAAAGGGAGTTCCCTCTGTCTCAGGATATTCTAAGTCCCAGGCGGTCTCAGTTTTTCAGCAGGGGCTAGATAGACTGGAGAACCCCGGGAGCCTTGTCTTTCATCAGCATTGTCTGTAGTGAGCAATTAGGATGTAGGGAGCGGGAGATGGTTTTTGAGCCCTTGCTCCAAGGAAGCTGCTTGAAGGAAAAGACAAGAATTTGGTCAGCGAGGGCTGAGGTCCCCATGACTCTTGGTTCTGTTGCAGTGACAGCCCTCATGGAGAGACTACCTCGGCTGAGGACTCAACCCAGGACGTGACCGCAGAACACCACACGAGTGATGATGGTACGGGGCCCTGCTTCCGGGGCAGTGGGGCCACCGGGGGTGAAATCACGGAAGGGAGGGATCATGTAGCCTCTGCTCCCAGTGCTCCTTCCTGCTCAGCAGCCCCCTGAAGACAGGCAGCGGGCTCTCCTGTCTCTAATTTTCATTGCTTCCTTTCGTTGGAGAGACAGCCCACCTTCCCAACCAGAATGGTCTCTATGTTCAACCAGAGATGGAGAGAGAGACCTTTCTGAGCCTTTCAAGCTTCTCGCCTCAACTCCCTATGCCCCTCACCCACCTCCTAGCTCCTTGTCTCGCCTGCCTGTCTTGCTCGCATTGATGTTGGTCCCCTCTCACAGCCTGGACTCCTGCCAGGTAGCTGGAGACCAAAATCAAGGAGAGCTCGTTTGAAAATACTGTAAGCCTGGGGAACAGAGAAGCTGGGTGCCAAGAACCCAACAGAAGCAAGCCAGAGGGGAGTGGGACTCAGGATGTAGAAACCACACACTTTCATGCCTGCTGACTGGAAAAATTGACCCTTTCCAAAGTACAGACATGCGAGCGCTGTGCAGCCTGGCCGGGTGTGCGTCGAGAGGTGGAATGCACAGCTGTCACCACAGGCCCCTCGGCAGCGCCCATGATTTATTAGGGTCTGTCCAGCCAGCACGCTTCCCCTCCTTCCAACAGTTCCACACCTCCATTTCTGGACCACTTGGGCTCTTGGAAGACTCAGCAGCTGACAAGGGGCCTCAGAATTTTCTGGGCATGAGAATGAAATGGCACAGTCTGTGGAGCTTTCCCCGCTTTCCACCTTGCTATGAATTCTGCAGTCCCAGGCCAGCTTTTTAGAGGAGAAAAAAAATTAGGGCTGCTTATTTGGATGCTGAAGTCAGATGGATCAATATGATAATCTGCCCCGTTACAGGAGGGGAGTAGGTGAACTAGGGAAATTTGTCCCTGCTGGGAGTTTTGTGTGTCTTATCTCTAAGACCCTAGTGAAATATAGCTATTTTATAGCTGAGAAAACAGAGGCCAGAGAGGTCAAGTGATAAGGCCCAAGGCTAGACAGAACTGAGATTTGGGATATTTAGATGGGCTTTCTCTGATGTGCTTCCTTATAGTAAAATCTCCAGCCCTGCCTATTAAGGAGCAGGCTCACCAGTCATGCTATTTGGGCATGGGCTGGCCTCTAAGCAGCCTTCCTGTCCACTACCCGGAACATCCAACTTGAACCTCAGGTTGCAGGTTTCTGGGAGCTTTATTTCTTCCTCGGTGACCTCCATCTGCTGCTCAGCACAGATAATGGTAACGATGACCAGTTAGAAAACTGGCGAATATCTACACAGTGCTGACTACAGGCTGGGCACTGTTCTAAAAGCTTTTACAAATTTCTGCTTATTGACTCCTCCTAATAACTTCATGAAAAAAGGCACTATTGTCTCCTGTCCCCAGAGGGGGAGACGAAAGCACACTCAAAAATAAAAAGACATCGCACTTGCAAACCCCTTTTAGTTTTCAAATTACTTTTATGTATGTTTTCCCATGTATTATCCACAAAATAGATTTCCATGTTTTGCGCCTTGCAAAGGGGATTGGGTGAGTTATTTTCTCCTTATGGAGACTAAAAGCTCGTGGTCTACTAGGGGGAGTGGATAACATAAATAAAATTTACCGTATTGGAAGTACCATGCAATAAATGTTCTGCAATTAATGGAGTTATTTTATGATCGGAACAGAAACGACGCATACCAATACAGCACGGCAGGTTCAGTGACAGGGTTTGGCGTAAAGATCTGTGGACACACCAGAGAAATTGCTCTTTGCCCTGAGTGGAGCTCAGCCTGTTGGGCAGTCTGACTGTACCCGAGCAAGATGAGACTCTGCACGTGTGGTTCATTTTTGCACAGAAACTGCTGAGAGAATAAAGTATTCTTTGTTTTGTTTTTTAATGATGATGTGTAAAATCGTGACTCAGTGCGCTACATCAGGAAGATGACAGAGAGAGAGATTTTAGTGGGGGGCAGAGCCTGATGAAAGGCAGGAAGGGGCACACAGGCGCTTTCAGAGTGATGGCCAGCCTCCACGGGAATCCCCAGCCTCAAGCGTAGATCGGCAGTGGCTGCTTTGTCACACCGGGTTATCTTCCCACCAGGGTGAGTTCAGCTAATTGGGCTTTTCCGCCCAGTTTCCTGAGTCTGTGGGTCCCAACAACATGTGTTTCCTTCTTTTCTGCCCCTCGCAGAGTGTGAGCCCATCGAGGCCATTGCCAAGTTTGACTACGTGGGCCGGACAGCCCGAGAACTGTCCTTCAAGAAAGGGGCATCCCTGCTGCTCTACCAGCGGGCTTCCGATGACTGGTGGGAAGGCCGGCACAATGGCATCGACGGACTCATTCCCCATCAGTACATCGTGGTCCAAGACACGTACGTTGGGTCCCCTGCCCGTCTGGGTGAGCCCCTGCTGCACTGGGGTGGGGGGGGGGGGCTTGATTTCTGCCGCCACAGGAGGCTGAGGGAGACCAACCGCTAGGGGGCGCCAACACCGTTCTTGGAAACACCCCCCCCCCCCCAAGACTCCGTGGAGGATTGTTTTTTAGCCTCTTCCCCCTGCAAATCGCTCCCCCACCCACCTCCCCCCTAGTCATTTTGGAAACTCGCCAGTGCTCGTGCTCATCCACACTTACACCTGATGAGTGATAAGGAAGAGTTATTGTTGGAGCACTTACATTTCCTTCTGGAAGGCTCAGGCTGGGGAAAACACTTTTACTTTTTTTTTATTTTAAACACCTATGCTCATCCCAACCAGTTGGGCCACCGATGGGGCGCTTTTCCACTTGCAAACGAAAAGTGATGCTTTGAAAAAAAAAAAAAATAAGAAAAAAATGATGCATTGCTTTTCTAGGACATCTAGTTTAAGCAGCCTTGTGGAAACGAGCCAGGTCATTTAACCAAGATGAGGTCGACGTGGGGGAGGACGGGACAAAAGGGGAGAGGACCTCGGGGAGCAAAGGGAACCGGGAACCGGCCCCAGAGAGACTTCACCAGATGGGCTGTCCGTTGGCTCCAGCTCTTTGAAGCAAAGTCTCCAGGGCAGGGGGGCTTCCCTCCCAGCCCCCCAGCAAGCCTGCCCCCCCTGCCCCTTTGCCCCGCCTCCCTGCCCCTGACGCCCCACCCCTGAATAGATGCTGTCACTGTTTTTAGCCCTTCCCTTAATATTATTTTTTAAAGGTTGATATCCTGAATGAGTCTGCACCCTCCCAGCCTCTCCCCGGCTCGTTCTGCAGGGAGATCTTCCCTCTGTTGATAACATCGCAAACCTGGTGGTCATCTGTGCGTGGACAGGACCCTCCCAAATTTAGCATTATGACTTCACTACAGGACCGAGAGAAGATGAATTGTGGGGGAGAAGGGGCTTTCTTTGTCATCAGTAGCCAGAGGGGCCGGGAGAGCAGTGGAATGACCCAGGACCGGCCTGGACGCTCTAAGCAGGGCTCGATGCTCGACGACTGAGTGTGCCGGTGTCCTGCCTCAACGCCGGCATCTCCAGAGCCAGCACAGAGCAGCCTGTCCTTGCCCCGCAGGGCTCGGGACCTCAGCAGATAAACCGCAACCTGGACGGGCCGCCTCCTTCTCCAGAAGGTGGCCCCGGCACCGCTGCCCCAGGAAAGCTGCGTGGGGTAGAAGGCGGATGCCTCCAAGCCAGGTGTCCCCCTAGCTCAGCTCTCCGGCGACGCTGAGGATCCCACAGAACGCAGCGGGATTATTTATTTTTATTTAAACTACCCTCCAAAGGCCCTTAGCTTTTGGCACAGTCTGTTTGCAGAGCTAGCCCAGCCAGGTGTCACCGCTGCCTCCGGGGTCGCGCGCTGTGTGTGTGTGTGTGTGTGTGTGTGTGTGTGTCTCGGGGGGCCATCTTGCCGATTTAACACTGCTTTTTGTGTTGTTGTTGTTGTTCTTCCCCCATCCTCCCTGCCTGCCTGCCCCTTCGCCCCCAGCGAGGACGGTGTCGTGGAGAGGTCCAGCCCCAAGTCTGAGATTGAGGTCATTTCTGAGCCACCTGAAGAAAAGGTGACAGCCAGAGCGGGGGCCAGCTGTCCCAGTGGGGGTCATGTAGCCGATATTTATCTTGCAAACATCAACAAGTAAGCTCTGCTTTTCATTTTCTGCTCCCCTGAATGCCTTGTGACCCCCAGCCTCACCGTCCGGCCTCCCTCTCTGAGCCTGTGCTGCATGTAGGGCTCCCCGCACTCCCCCACACACCCTCAGGCCTAACATCGCATGTGCTCACTGCTGCTGCAGGGTGGACAGGGCTGAGGAGGCTTCCACAGGCCCCACCGGCAGGTCCCCGGGCTCCGGCCAGCTGCCGCCCTGCTGTGGAAGGGTGCCCCAGCCTGGGTTTCTGCAGCATCTGTCAGCTCGGGCCTCCCCGGCCCCATCTGACTACTAAAACTTGGCCAAAGCTTTGGTCACTTTATGCAACTTGGTTTTATACTGTTTCTCAGAGGTGCCTTCTCTTTTCCAATTCCTGCCCAAATAATAGTTTTTGATGTCTTCTTCCTGGTCCTTCCTTGTCTGTCCAAAGATCCAACATCTTGTGTGTCTTCCACTAGGCTCACGTGACCCCGGATGGGTTTATTTAGATACCATGTGTCTGTTTCCTGCCCTGTCCGGCATTCACTCCGTCAAGGAAAGGAGACTACTCTGCCCCCGCCCACCACCAGCACCCCACAACGAAAGCTTTGTCCTGAGCTTTTTAATCATTGCCTAACTGCCAGCTCCCTTCTGCCCTTTCATACCAGCAGAAATAATTGTCCGTGTTTTCCCTGTTGCTTTAGCCCTGTGTCATCCTCCCCTGTTAAGTCCATTTGCAGATTCCCATTCCTGTCCGGCAGGCTCTTAACTCTGGCCCCAGCTTTCATTGTGGCTGTGAGCAGCATCCCAGGGTTTTAACTCCACCCACACCCGATCTGGCCGGCTAGAGGGATTCCACGCCTGTGTGCTGCTGCCTCCCCTAGAGACATTCAGGTTATTGGAGAACTAATCTCATCTCAAGGGGCCAGACACCAAGTCCCAAAGCCTACCGACCTCTTTCCGCCAGACCCTGAAACTTGGCCCAGTGCCAGCGGGATGACAAGCCCCAGGGTGTTCCTGATGAATATGGATTGCAGATGATGTACAGTTTTTATTCCCCCCTGGCTTTGGAGGAATGAAATGATTTGCACATTGAAAACCTGTTAACCGTAGCCTCTGGACACTGAAACTGGAAGGAGAATAAAAGATGCTTGTTGTTTTGAAACTGCACCAGGTCGCCCAGATCTCTTGGCTTTCTTCCAACCAGACGGTAGCAGGGGGAGTGGTTGGGGCACGTGGCTCTCTTCCATCTTTCACCCTCAAGTTAGCAAAGTAGCTGATTCAGCTCACTTAGTGTAGGTATAATTTAAGTCAGACCAGTAAAAAAGAATGAGGATTTTATTTCCTTCCCTCCAGCGTAATGCCCTGCTGGGAGGGCGAGCTAATAAAAAGTAACTGTGGACTAATCACATTTTTTTTCTTTATTTACAAGTCTGTGTTAATTATAAGCCTATAATCATAAGGTTGTAAGCCTCTAATTAACCCAGAAACTGAGGTGGGGTTGGTGGAGGGAGAGTTAAATAATTAGTTAGGTACATGTTTCTAAGCCATCATATATGTGCTGCCATTTGTACAAAGAAATTGTAAAGGATAATAGCCGAACTAGTCAGAAGGTGAACACCAGGTGGAAAGTCAAGGCGGTTCCCTTGAACTCCTTCCTTGGTGATGTCAGGACGGGGTTCTCAGAGGATGTGGTCTCCCCAGACACCAGCTAGTCAGTGGGTGAGTGGCAGCCCCTGAGGAGTGACTCTGCCCTTCCAGCCTCGCTGCCTGCCCCACACGTCGCTCCTTCCCAGGGCCCCGGGTTCTTGCACACCCCTGGACCTTCACATCTGCTGCCTCCTCCCTCTGATCAGCTCCTCCTCTCCCTTCAAGACATAGTCAGAAGGTTTACCTCCTTGGGGAAGCCTTGCTAACACCCCCGAGGGCCGCCTAACCACCTGAGTTAGGTGCCCTCGTTCTGTAGTCCCACAGTAGCTTGAGCGTCTCTCGGGACTCAAGCTGCACTCGGATAAACCACCAGGCTGAGCATCTTGAAACCAAGAGCTCTGCCTTCCTCTCCTCACGTCCCAGGGGCCTGGCCAGGGACCTGGCACACACCAGCCACTCCACAATCTGCCCCCTCAGCAGTTTGAGCTTTGTGAGTCAGCCATCCTCAAGTGGAAAGAGGAAATCAGCCAGGGAGCTATTCGGGCGTGGCATTCAATTTAACCTCACACGTATAGCGAGGGCCCACTGCCGTGCCAAGCGCCCGTGCTGGTTATTCAGAGGTGAATAATACAGTGCCTGGCCTCCGTGCTCATTCCCGCAAGGTGAATACCATAGAGACAGGTAACAAAAAAGCAGTGCCATCGAGGCTCTGAAGGGAACAAAAGCAGGAGTGTGTGCTTCTGCCTGCCGTTGGAGTTGGGGTACCAGGGAACACTTTGCAGGGGAAGTCATTTCAGCTGAGCCACATAAGACTCTGAGAACATCCTTCTGCTCGAGAATGGCTGACACCCAAGGCTAAACGGCCTGAGCAGGCAGCTTCAGGAAATGTGTGCCAGGTTCCACGCTGGCCCCGAAGTAGAAGACCTAACCAGTGAACGGGACCAGGACTGGGTTAGGACACTGACTCTGCCACACAGACTAGCTCCTTATCTCCAGTCCCTACCCCTTCCATCTCAATGCCTGCCTCAGCCTTAGTCGCCCGTAGTAGGTTCCGGATCAGAGTTGCTCCGCTGCACCTCCCAAACCAGAAGTTGTATTGCTTCTTAGGCTAGGTCCTTAAGGATCTGATCCCAAGAAAAAAATGAAATTATTCAGCAGTAGGCAACACCCATACTACTAGGACTCTGCCAAGCTGTCTTGTATGAGAGTCTCAGTGGTCTGAAGGAGACTGGCCCAGAGCCAGGGTTCAGCCCAGTGCTGGGTGACTTAGGGTCATGTAGATGTATTTCCACCCTAAGAAAATGCACAAACTTGGCCCCAACCCTGCAGCACTGCAGCCTCTTTAAAAAGACCCTGTTCCATGTTTGCAAATAAGAAGCAACAACAGCTTCTTGCCAGAGCCCAAAATGATTACAGTCCTGTAGTTGGCCAAGAAACATGCTAGAAGTTGGAAAAATCAGCTCTCCTCTTGCGTTCATGGTGATGATGAGAGTTTTCCTCCCACCTGGGCCTTAGTGTCTGTTCAGAGCAGGTCATGGAGGGGGCCTTTCTGTGAATCTGTCCCCCCTTAGAAACTTTCCCTTAATCAGACATTTTTCCTGGCAGCACCTTACATCTTGACAACTCAAAGCCCACGACCACCAAGTAAGTATCCGTTTCTCCTTTGCCCAGGTTGGGGGTGGCAGGGGAACGGAGGCACAGAGACAGCAAGGGGGAAGGTAAAGCCAAGGAGAGAACATGCTGTGTGTCCCTCTCCTTCCAGAAGTCCCTGGATGCCAACACCTGCCCCACTCTCACTCATCCCAGCTTCCTCGAGGCCAGGGCTCCCTGATCACACTGCCCTTTCTGTTTGTGATTGAAGGCAAAGGAAGCGGCCAGAATCTGGGAGCATCCGGAAAACATTTCGGAGCGACAGCCATGGGCTGAGTAGTTCCCTGACTGACTCTGCCTCCCCGGGGGTGGGGGCTAGCTGCCGCCCATCTTCCCAGCCCATCATGAGCCAGAGTCTCCCCAAGGAAGGGCCAGATAAGTGTTCCATCAGTGGGCATGGGAGCCTCAACTCCATCAGCCGCCACTCGTCCCTGAAGAATCGGCTGGACAGTCCACAGATCCGGAAGACAGTGACAGCAGGAAGGTCAAAGAGCTTCAATAACCATCGGCCTGTGGATCCTGAGGTCATTGCACAGGTAACTGGGGGCTTCTGGACACACAGCTGGCCTGTCTACGTTTGTCACTACTGCGTAGTGCAGCCCACATTCATTACGACAGGCCTTGAAACAGCGGCTTTGTACATCACATACCAGGTTCAGAGGCTGCTGGATATCTGGACCCCACAATGCAGCTCTCTAAGCAATTTGCCAACCCCACTAACCCAAGAAGAATTCAAAGACAGAATAAACGAATTCGGACTTCTGGCTCATGTTCAGGCTGTTTGCAAGGGGCTGTATGTTTTATTTTTTTTTTAAGATTTCATTTATTTATTCATGAGAGACACAGAAAGAGACGCAGAGACATAGGCAGAGGAAGAAGCAGGCTCCTCGCAGGGAGCCCGTTGTGGGACTTGATCCCTGGACCCAGGATCACACCGTGAGCTGAAGGCAGACGCTCAACCGCTGAGCCACCCAGGCGTCCCGGGAGTGTACATTTTAAAGCAAATAATTAGTCTTTTGTTGGAGTCCATTCTGCCTAGGTTTCAGGTCTTGAGAGGGTGGTAGGCTTTAGTGAAGCTGCCCGATTGTTGAGGCTCAGATGTAGTTCTGGCCGTATTTTTCTGCCACCCTGCCCATCCCCCTCTCCTGTTCCCTGAGGCTAATCTCTCATCCATAATGGGAGGTAGAAGATCAATCATTAATCTGCTCCTGTTTTGACAGCCCCAAAATACTCTGCTGGCAGGGTTTCCAGCCCAAGGCTTCAGATGGCAGTGGCAATGAGCTCCCTGGTTACAGGGTCTTCCTTCCATGTATGCACACCACACTGACAAGTCTCTGTTTTCCGTGAAACATTAGCGATCCAGCCCCACCTCTAAAACTCCGACTTCCGGGGCCACTCCAGGCAGTTCACTCAGACGCCTCTCCCAACTCTATAATTTTCATTAGACCAGGTAGGAGCTACGGGCTCCCCGTTGCCCTCTTATCTTTCAACTGAGTTGAGATTCTTGTCACCCCATCTTCCAGGGGGCGATAGAGGCTGCCTATGGTCTCTATTGAGATGCTCTGCTTCGGGAAGGCGAACCTGGCGAGCATAGTATTAAGCTTGGGGCCTGAGATATCTTGCTTGGCTAACCCTCCATTTCTGCGCCCCTACCTGAGCTCTTGGCTGCGACCTGCCTTGCACCGCGGGAACCCTCCTCCCAGCTCCCCCCTGAGCCAGGGCTCAGTAGGAATGTTAGACTACATTCCTGGCACAGACCCCCCCCCCCCCCAGCTGTAGAGTGGGACTGAGGAGGGAGATGATGAAGTTCTTCCTGAGCAGTGTTAACGCTTCAGAACATCATGGGGGTGAGTAAAAATCAGTGTCAGCAGAAAGAAAGCGTGGTTCACCCCGTAAGGGCCAAGGCCTTTGCTTGGAACGTGTCATCTTTCCAAGTGAGCCTGATTCCAAGGGAGGAGCCCTGTGGTGGTTTGAGGGGTGCCGGACACAAGGGTGTGAGAAGGCTGGGAGGGAACTGGGAGGTCTCCCTGAGGGGCAGCTGGCTGTGGATGGAGGGTCTTTGGTTCTGCTATTCTTGAGAGCCGGTTTGTTCCACTGTGACTGGAAAGAGCTGATTTACCTGTGTGGGCTCTGGCTCCCCCTCCTGGTCGCTCCTTGGTCCCCTCCCCTGGTGATGGTAGAAGGAAATGGCTTCCTCAAGTGGGCACTCCAGTGGGTGGGGTGGGGTGGGGTGCGGTGAGGTGGGGCAAGGGAAGGGGAGGGCGGGGGTGGGAGCACTGGGAGGTGTCCTGATGAATATTCAAGGTCAGGGTCTGGAACCTTTCCTGACCTTTGGCTTTGAAGTCCAAGAAAACGAAGATCATACCACATCTCTACCATTTAGTCAAAAATGGTTTATTATGTACAATTTCAAGCATACACAAAAGTAGAAAGAATTGGATAGTAAATCCCATGTACTTGCCACCAAATTCCTGGCCACTGTTAGTTCACCCAACTTTCTCCTCCCCACTGGATTATATGTCATTTCACCAGAAATATTTTAGTGCATATCTCCAAAACCTGAGGACTTTATTTAAAATAACATTTCAGCCATTTTTTTCTAAAGGCAAAAAAAAAAAAAAAAAATCTCGTGATAATGAAAATCCCTTTTTCCCCCTTCCCCACATTCTGAACATTTGTATGTTTAAGAATTTTGGCCAAGTAAAATAATCTGGACATCTCCCTCCAGTTGGTTTTTTCGTGATTTGGCCTATGGTGTTGAAACAGGGTCCTTGGGGACTTCTCCCTACAGCAGCCTCACCTCCTCCTTTTTCCTGTTTTGCAGGATATTGAGGCAACTATGAACTCTGCCCTGAATGAGCTGCGTGAGCTAGAGCGGCAGAGCAGTGTCAAGCACACCCCCGATGTGGTTCTGGACACCTTGGAGCCCCTCAAGACCTCGCCAGTGGTGGCCCCCACATCGGAGCCCTCCAGCCCCCTGCACACCCAGCTCCTCAAGGACCCCGAGCCCGCCTTCCAGCGCAGTGCCAGTACTGCGGGGGACATCGCCTGCGCCTTCCGGCCTGTCAAGTCTGTCAAGATGGCCGCCCCTGTTAAGCCGCCAGCTACACGACCCAAGCCCACCGTCTTCCCCAAAACAAATGCCACTAGCCCTGGTGTCAACTCCTCATCTTCCCCACAGTCCACTGACAAGTCTTGTACTGTCTGAAGGATATAATTTAATTGTTCTAGACAAGGGGACTGAAGGGACTGACTGTTATTAAAAAAAAAATCTTCCTATTTAACTAGCTTGGGGACTTCAGTTGAAAATTAGATTCTAAGTTGTTCTTGCAGGAATTAGCCTTCCCGTCACCCATAACCTTGAGAATGAAGCCCTCGTTATCACCCTGCCTTGCCCTTCCCACTGCCCTCTGCTGCTCCCCGTCGTCGTAATCCAGCCAGCTGCAGTACATACTGTCCTTAGGTTAGCCAGAGATAGATTTTTTCCATTATCAGGTCACTGTGAAATCTGGCACGGCAAGTCATGAGGACACGGGCTCAAGGCTCCGTCCCCTCAGACACGGGGGATGCCTGACCAGATGGTTGGCTACCGACAGCCAGCTTTCAGTGGCATCTTGTTTTGGGTACTGACTTTAGGGAACCATATATAGTCCATTCTCATTACACACACACACACACACACACACACACACACACACACACGTTTTCCTGGTCTCCGGCATGTGTAGCCTCTCCTGGTCCCAGACCAGTCTCTTTGTGTACACACACACACACACACACACACACACACACACACACACACACACACACACACACACACACACACACACACACACACACACACACACACACACACACACACACACACACACACACACACACAACACACACACACACACACACACACACACACACACACACACGTTTTCCTGGTCTCCGGCATGTGTAGCCTCTCCTGGTCCCAGACCAGTCTCTTTGTAAGTTATTGTGGCAGTTCGCGCAAGAGCCACCAGGGGTCTCTGTTTCCGTTACAAATCTTGTTCCGTCTGGGCCAGAGGGCCTGGCCTTTGAAATCTCTCCATCATAAAAAATTGAACAGGATGGAACTCGATCCTGTAATCTGTCTGGGGTTGGGGGCTTTCTCTCTGTCTTCTCTCTATTGGTGTGAATTGGTCATTGGTGTTTGCTTTCGCTCTCCTTCATCCTCTAGGAATACAACCCGGTCTTTTTATAGAACTTCTGAAGTTTTTCTGAATGTATAGACATTTCTCGGGTTCCCGTCTTTGTCTCCAATGGACCATTTTCCATTTAAGACACTTTCCTGTATAAGACAGTTTTATAGCTGGTTCCACTTAGGTAAAGAGTCTTAAGAGAGTTTCGTTGTGTTTATGGCAGGTTTGGAAAAGGTGAGAAATGGGTCCTTCTGCCTCACTTTTTGTGGGCACTTAAGAAAAAATTCATTATGCTATTCAAAAATTAAATTCGCCTTCACTAACCCCCAAACTGTTCCCAAATGAAAATGTATCCTAAGTTCACCCCTCTAGTTTGGTTATTCTACAAGATCTCTCTTTAGGGACCAACAGGGAGGGGCTTGGAGAGCCCTAGTTAAATTAAAGAGAGACATTACTCCTTAAAACCTGTTTTCTTTTATCCAAATAAGGACAACTAAGAGAACTTTGGCCCCACAGGCTCTAAAGCCTTCTTGAGGCCAGAATCTAACAAAATAAAAAATTGGATGCTGAATATTTTGGCCTGCCTTTGGCCTTTTTTCTGGTTCTCTCCAAAATAGCAGAAATGATGCCCTTGCCTACTTTAATCCGGCCTCCAAAACTGGTGCCCCTCATGCCAGCGCCCTGGCTCCACGCTATCCTCCAGGGCTGGAGACCATCACACCCCTGTCTCATGAGTCTCAGACAACTACTTGAGTTAGAGCTGAAGCTCATTCCTCTTCTCTGTTTTCCGGTTTTAAAGCTACGCATTTAGCCTTATTTTCTACAGGTCAAGAGAAGTGATGGGTTGCCATTCAGATAGGAAAATCTGAGTTTCCTTATGTTTAGCCTAGAAGATTCTTTTTTGGACCAACCTTTTGAAGTTGGCAGTTGGTGCTGTGGAAGATGGTAGGATTTTTTTCCCTCACTGTGCAAAGGAAAGAGGAGCTTTGTGGGGAATCGCTAGATTATTAGAAGGATAACCTGCAACACCAGGAAAACTATCCCAAGAGCTAGGAAGGAGAAATGAAGAGCTCCGTCAGTAAAATGAGTCTGGCTGTGGGAAGCGACCCACAGTCCTCTGGATTCTTGGCTTCGTTGCTCTATCCACTGGCCTGTCCTTGTCTGTCATCTGGACTTGCACAGGTCTTGAGCCAACAGTGGCTTTCAGCGCCAAGGATCTGTTTCCTTGATGAAAATGGAACCCCTACCTTTCCCTTTACATTCCTTTGGATCCAGCCGATCAAAATTGGTACCCATGCCTGCCCTTTCCCCTCCTTCTAGCACACTCCTGAGAACGCAAAGCTTTCTCAATGACAAAGCTTTGGGCCTGTTGTGTTGTTCCTGCCTTATTTCTCTTGCAGCCCTTGTACATGACTGTGTCCACTGTCCCTTTGGGCCGTGTCCATCTGCTGATTTGCATCATGAACTGGACAGTGTGTGAGTGGCCGGCCACCTACTCCCCCACCTTCCACCCCAGCTCTGGGAGCCAAGTTGTCTTCCCTCTCTGGTGCTCCTGACGCCTGTGAGATGGACCTGTCGAGAGGACGAGGAACCCACAGAAGGAGAGTCCTTCTCGGCAGAGCTCCTGCAGTCAACTGGAATTCAGGTCGCACACTGTGATTTTTACACCGAAAAAGCCAAAAGGAGCTGGCCACCCGGGGCCAAGGGAGACCAGTCTTCCTCAGCTCTGCTTGCCTAAACCAGCATGATGCTTCAGAGAGCCCTGCTCTGCCCCTCAAGGCATGGATCCTTCTCTCGCTGTGGATTCTGATGGGTCAGGCTTTGGGGAACAGAGGTGGGGTGGAGCAACCAGCATCCCCATTTGGAAAAGAGAGGAGTTTGCAGCCAGCAGCCTGTAAACTGGAAACACTGGTCTCAGCCAACCTCCTCAGGGCGCCCTGGTTTCTCCCCAAGGAGATGAGGAGCGATGACACCAGCAACAGGATGAACAGACCACTGGAAGGGCTGGTGTGTGTGTACTTCACGTGCAGAAGAGAAGTTTAGATCTTCCAGGGAATCGCAATGTTGTGGCGTCTGACTTGTATGTCACGTTTGTGTAAAATGGTATATTCTTTAAAATAGTGTTGATAACTGGAATATTGTATGTATGCTTGGAGATGCTTTGTGTGAACCTAAGACTGTCACTCAACAGATGTTGGATTGGGGAAAATCCAAAGCACAACTTCGAAATAAAATACGTTTTTAGGTTTCGATGCTGCAGTTCCTATCACTTCCCACCCCCTGAAATCTCCAATCCAGGAGTCCAGCTCCCCAGGAGGAAATGTAAATCTGTGCTGGTAGAGCCCCGCCTGGCAACAGGAGAAATGTGGTGACCTCAGGAGCCGGCCACCTTCTCCCTCCCAGCAAGGCATGGCAGAGGTGCATCTAGAATGTGGATTCCCCGCCCCCCAGCATTTCCGATTAGCCCGTGTGCGGAGCATAAAAGGTTTCATAGAAGCCTTCCAGCTCACCATTGGGCAGTCTGTTGCCATGAGAACCATTTCCTCCACAGAATCCACCCACCCTGTTTTCAGTGAGGACCATTCTCGTTTCTATCGCTGGTCAGATTTCCCCACTTGGGGGAGTGGGGCCTGTCAGATTGCTTGCAGGCTTTGCCAGCCACAACCAAGGGTGACGGGGGCGGGGGGGGGGGGTCTTTCTTTCTTCCACATGTGGAGCCCTGAGTCATTCTGCCCTCGGATGCCCTGTGCCTCTGGGAGAAGAGCTGACCCATATGCTTGTGCTGTTGGTGTTGAGCACAGGGGTGGGCATACAGGAAATGCCTTCTCTCCTTTAGATCTTGATTCTAGCAGATCATGAGCTCGGGTGAAATTATTCAAAGGTAGCAGCTGATAATGCATCCTAGGGCTTATACTTATTTTTACTGGGCTTATTCCAATACCAGAAGCCCCTGGGGAGGGATCAGATCTCTCATATCCAAGAGGATCCCCAGTGTTCAATGGTAATACAAGGAATCCTATCCTGGTCCCTGGACCAGACACAGGACTCTGAAGTCCATCACCTCCATCTGTCTCATGCCCTTCCAACTGTTGTCTCTTCCCCCTCCTTCATTTTAATAGAGCTCTATCTTGAGCTTCTTGCTGGTCCCTTGGAGTCAAAGGTGAGGCTGTTCAAGGGATCCCTGAGTGGCTCAGCTGTTAAGCGCCTGCCTTCAGCCCAGGGTGTGATCCTGGAGTCCTGGGATCAAGCTTTCTGCTTGATGATAATCTGACGTTTAAAAGATAATAAAATCTTTTTTAAAAAAAAAGAAAGAAAGAAAGAAAGAAAAAGAAGAAAGAAAGAAAGAAAGAAAGAAAGAAAGAAAGAAAGAAAGAAAGAAAGAAAAAGAAAGAAAAAAGAAGGTGCCAGTAATTGGAAATCCAGGAGAGAGGAAGGAGCTCGCAAAGAAGAGAAGGAAGCAAGTGACAGGTAGGTGGCTGGGAGAGCCCAGTGTCACAGACACCAAGTGAAGGACATGTTTCAAGAAGGGAGGCTTGGCTGTCAAATGCCAGTGGGTAAGGTGAGGCCAACAAGAGAGGCAACCCTTCTTTGGTGACGTGGAGCTCCTTCAGTAGAAGGGAAATGGGTCAGATTGGAGTGGGTCAGGAGGTCTTGGCAGCTCATGCAAAGGCACGGCGTTGAATGGGGAGCATCAAGAGGAAGCAAGGGACTAGGTTTTTGTTTTTTAAAGATTTATTTATTTATTTATTTATTTATTTATTTATTTATTTATTCATGAGAAACCCGCGCGCACACACACACAGAGGCAGAGACACAGGCAGAGGAAGAAGCAGGCTCCATGCAGGGCGCCCGACGTGGGACTCGATCCCGGGTCTCCAGGATCGCACCCTGGGCCGCAGGCGGCGCCAAACCGCCACGCCACCGCGGCTGCCAGGTTTTTGTTTTTAAAATGGGCATCTTTGAGACATGTTTGCTTGAGAGCAGGGCCAGTAGGATGGGAAGGAGGCATGTGAAGGAGAAGGTGAATCACAGAGCACAAATGGGGAAGGGTTGGCCGTGGTCATGAGAAGAGACGCTCCCGTCTCACTAGAGGGAAAGCAAGTGTGATGCAAGGCAGGTAGCAGATGTGGTGGTGAGAAGATGCTGGGGTTCCCTTTCGATTGCTGCTTGTATTTCCATGAAGAAGGAGTGGGGAGCAGGAGGCTTAGAGAGGCAAGAAAATGAGTGAAGTATTTTTCCACGTCAAGAAAAACAAGACAAGGGATCCCTGGGTGGCGCGGCGGTTTAGCGCCTGCCTTTGGCCCAGGGCGCGATCCTGGAGTCCCGGGATCAAGTCCCGCGTCGGGCTCCTGACATGGAGCCTGCTTCTCCCTCTGCCTGTGTCTCTGCCTCTCTCTCTTCCTTTCCGTGTCTATCATAAATTAAAAAAAAAAAAAAATTCTCATTTAAAAAAAGAAAAACAAGACAAGGGTTCAACTTCTCTCAGTGGCTTGGTGCTGGTCCCATGGCTCCTTTCCCCGCTCCTTGGGGAGGAACGTCAGATCTGGCTGCAGAGTATGTCCCTCCTTCCCCACCCAAAGCTCCAGGCTAGAGCTAACTGATGAAGGTGGCAAGATGCAGGGCTCTGAGGCCTTGTCGCTTAGCGCCTCATCAATGTTGGAGCACGGTGAGTTCGCACTGCCTGCCTCTCCTGCACACCCACCTGCCCTTGCCCTTCTTTCCCGTGAGGTGCCAGGCAGGTGAGGCCACTGTGACAAACAGGTTCAAGCCGTGTAGGGGCAGAAAATGCAATCAGCATTTATTCAGGGCCTACCGGGTAGCAGGTACTTCATCTCATGTTGCTCTTACAGCAACTGTCTGAGAAAGGTTGGGTGACTAGGTCAAGGTCAAGACCCAGTAGGGTGGGAAGAAGGAAGGTGCAGGATAAGGGGGACTTACAGAGCACAAATGGAAGGGCTGACCATGCATGTTGTGCAGAGTAAGCGGCAGAGTTAGGATGCCAACCTCTACGTAAGTAAAGCTCCTGTCCTTTCCACTACACCTTCGGCCTCCCTTTGTAGAAGGTAGATGTGAGCTTTTTCCCTGAGAGTTGCCATCAAAGACCCTCTTCGTCCCACCTCTGGTCTTTGTCCTACCTTTGCATTGCCACTTCTATTTCTAGGACTCCTCAGAGCCACTCAGGAAAATATGCTGTGCCCTCTTACAGACTTCCTCTTCCCCTCAGGAGCCCGCCAGACTCTCGTGCCTCCCCACGGGGAAACAAGGGCCGTACTGCGCAGCTGGGACCAGAGTTCGTCCACACAGAGGATGTGACCTCATGGAGGATTCCCAACAAAATCTGATGTCACCACACAGGGCTTCAGCGCTGCCCCCCCCCCTCCACCTTCTCCAGCCTTACATGTGGTCCCCTGTCCTCATACCTCTCTGCTTCTGCACCTGTTGCCACTGCCTGGGATGCCTCATCTCTGACCCCCAGTTCTCTGCCTCACTCCCCTCCCTCCAAAGTCTGGTGGAGTGTGCTTTCTCCTGGCAAGTTCTTCTTAGAGACCACCTCGTCTCTGCTGCCTGCCCCCCTTGGTGCCAGGTTCAAATCACCACCAGCCAAAGTATGGATCCCAGAGTGTTCACCATGCTGCTGGCTGCACCCTGGCTCTGGGGAGGAATCCTAGGTCTTACCATCATGTCCCCAGCACACGCTGCCTGCTTCCCAGTAGGTGCTAGACACACATTCATTGTGCCTGAGGGTACACTGGGATAGACTGGGCTTGCTGGAGAGAGAAAAGTAGGGATGCTGGTAAGGCCTGAGCAAGTTCATCAGGAAAAATGGGTAGATCTTTAGGGAAAGGCTGGGGTATGTTGCAAACCTCTGGCCTAAAACCTCAAAGGTTGGGGTCTTATCAAAGGTGTGTGTCCTGTGTGGGTCAGCAGGGGTTGACCTGGTTCTGACTGTCCCTGGAGAGCAGTCCTGGAGTCCAACAGAATCACAGGGTCAGAGGGCAGGCTCCCTGGGGCGGGGTTTTAGGGCAGCAACTGAAGGTTTTGGTTGGCCCCACCTCATCAGAAGGTACCAAGGACGTGCAATTCTCTTGCTGCCAGGCCCGCGGACAGCCGGGAATCCTGGATGGAGCGCTGGGAGGGTCTGGCGACCTGGTTCTGCCGTGAGAAGTGGCGGGCAGCGCCTGGGGCAGGCCCAGCACAGAGCCTGTGACTGGGGGCCATCACAGGTGTGTCTGCCTGTGTGATCTGTCTGAGGGCAGAGGCAGTTCTCAGCCGGGCTCCTGTTCTGGTGTCACGGTGGTAGGGGTGCGGCTGCCGCAGGAAACCACCAGGTGTTGCCGTGGGAAAGTCCCTCTGACATTCTCTAGAAATGTGGAATTTCCTGGTTTTAACCGTTTCTTACCCAACTGCCATCCCACCGTTGACCAGAACAGTGCAGGCCTCTCCAGCCTCCTGGGAGACTTGGTTTGGGCACTGAGCCCCGTGAGCCCCGCCTGGGGAGCTGGCACGCCGGGTTCCTGCCGCAGCAGTCTCTGTCGGGCAGGTCTCTACAGGTGCAGGTGCGTGGGCCTCACGCAGGGGCTTCGAAGCCGCAGGGCCCTTGCTCCCAGCTGCCCTCGCGGCTGCATACCCTTGGCCCCGAGTCACCCACACAACCCGCTGCGTGAACATTACGGACTTTGGGTGAAGAAAGCGGAAAGCAGGAGGGGATGTGGGCTGTGCTGAGGGCCACCCGGGAGGGCGGGAGGGCGGGAGGACGAGGACCAGGACGAGGACGAGGACGAGGGGCCGCGACCGACCGGGTTTCAGGGTCCGCTCGCGGGCCTGTGCGGGCCCCGGGCACCCGGAGTCAGATCCAACCTGCGGAGGGGCCCGGGCAGGTCCCGGACGCCCAGGGGCTCTGAGGCCTCCCCGGCAGCTCCCCGCCGGGTTAACCTGCCCAAGCCGCTCGGTTGGCTGCGGGCCGCGCCCGGACTCCCCTGCTCCGGGGGCCGCTGCCGCCGCGGTCCCGGCCTCTGGGAGGCGCCGACCTGGCCGCGTCACCTGCTCCTGGGAACCGGAGCATCCCTGGCCCCTCGGGCGGGCGGGCGGCGGCTGCCCTCCGCGGTCTCGGCCCCTTTAAGAGAGAGAAAGGACGAGATCAGGAAGTGCGAGAGCGCGCCCCGGGGAGCCCGGAGGGGGCCTGCGCTCCCGCCCCGCCGCTCCGGGGGCAGCACGGGCCCCCCCCCTCCTCCTCCGGCCCAGCCTCGGGCGGTGCGCGCGGCCCGCAGCCGGGATGGGGTGAGCGCGGGGCCGGGGCCGGGCCGGGGCCGGGGCCGGGGGAGGGGCGGGGCCTGGGAGGCGGGGCCTGGGCCGGGGAGGGGCGGGGCCTGGGCCGGGGGGCGGGGCCGGGGCTCCGCGGGCCGGGGGCGCCCCTCCCCCCCCCGCCGCTCCTGCGCGCCCCGGCAGGGCCCCGCTGTCGGCGGCGGCGGCGGCGGCGGCGTCCCGGGCCCGCCTCGCGGAGCAGCGCCGGGGGGGGGCGGGGGGCGCGGAGGGGCGCGCGGGCCTGCGCCCGGGTCCCGAGCCGGGGCCCCCGGCGCCGCGGGGGGGAGCGGAAAGCCCCGGCGCTGTGGGGGAGGGTGACAGGAAAGGGTTAAGGGGCCGGCGCGGTGGCCCCCGGCGGGCCCGAGAGTCACGCCGCACCGCGCCGCGCCGCGCCGCGGCTGCTCTTTCCGCTGCAGCTCGGCTCCGGGCCTGGCCGCGGACGGAAGGCGCGACCCGCGCCCGCCCCGGAGAGCCTCGGCCTGACCCACGGCTGCTCGGAGCGCGGGTGAGTGCGTGGGGCCCCCGCAGGCCCCGCCGCCCGCCCTCCTTCAGGCCCCGCCGGCGGCGCGGAGCAGCCCCGGGGCGCAGCCTGGCGGGACCCGGAGCACAGCCCAGGCCGGGCGGCCCGCCCCGGCGTCTGCCTGCGCGCGGTCCGATCCCTGGGTCCGCGGCGGTGCGCAGGCGGCCCCCGGCCCAGGGCCCACGTCGAGGACCGGCCCCGGGCAGGATTGTGGAGGCGGCACCAGTGCGGCCCGCCAGGCCCCCAGGCTGCACCGCTCGGCCTCGGCTTCAGCGAGCTCGGCCGCGCGTCCCGATTCCCCCTCGGCCTCCGGGGTCAGGGTCAGGGGGAGGGGAGGGGAGGGGCGCGGGGAGGGGGGAGGGGGGGAGGGGGCGGGGAGGGGCGGGGGGAGGGGGACTCACTCTTCGGCTCCTCCAAGCTGAGCTCCTCTGTTGCCTTCTGGAGCCCCCTCCGTATCCCAGCGGCTTCTGGAAAGTGCAGACCCTAACACTTGTTCTGGAACCAGGAATAGGCCACCGAGCCTCTTCAGGTGGCCTCCGGCTCAAGGAAATGGCGTTCTCAAGACGTGCGTTTTTTAAAAAAAAACAAAAAAAAAAAGATTACCGAGAGAAGGCTCAAAGAAGTCTTAAGGAACCGTAGGATTCCAGGTGACCCCAGGGTTAAGAGCCTATCAGAGGTTCCGAGAGGAAGAAGCCCCTGTCGAGTCCAGCCTTATCAGCATATTTAAGAGGCGGTAGCCCTTCTCCCATCATCCCACTGAGACCAGCTCTGAACCTATTTTTCAGAGAGGATTTGAGCTTGGCCTCTGGGGCTACACTCCCTAGAGCCAGTTGCTTGAGGGGAACCGGCCTTTGCAGAGAACAGGATGGGGGGCAGAGATGGGGAATGGGGTTGTAGAGGGTTTCAGGTTCTCCCCCTGGGCTCTTGAGTTCTTGGATGTGATGGTCTCCTGCCCACCCCCACCCTCACCACCGTGGGCGCACACTCCTACACTTATGCTCCCTGCAGCGGTACGAGCGTCCCTCTCCAGAGCAGCGCTGACCTGGCCACACTGGCCGCCTGAGCCGCTGTTCCGCGCACAGCAGCAGGAAGTGGTGGGCCCAGGCAAGTGGGTGGGGAAGGGCTCCAGGCTCGTGTTGCAATCCTGGAGATTTGTGGTGGTGTGGTTGACGCTGCCTGACCTGCCTGGGGCCCTGCCTTCAAGCACTATTTCTGCTTCCTGGGACAATCCCAGGTCTGGATGCCAGAAACCCAGAATTCTCGGTGCCTGGGAGAGGTAACAGGGGAAAAGGTCTGTCTCTGTAGAATGGCCCCTGGGGAAGGGGTTGGGGAAGACTGGGCGTGAGGACAGGTAGAGTGCCCCGTGGGGACAGGCACAGGCTGTGGGCTGAGGGCCCCGGTGGCTGTATTTCTTTCTGGAGAGGTTTCTTAGCCTGCCTGCGCTTCACACTTCCTCCGTCCCCTTGCCTCTGGAATGGCCACATGGAGCCCCGTTCTGGGACGGTCGTGGTCACAGCTACCTGTCAGGCCACCAGTGTGCACCCCAGGAGTGGAATCCTAGACTCTCGTATGTTCTTTCTCTAGGCCGAAGGTGGCCAGCTGGCCAGGGGCCGGAGATGCAGAGCACCATCAATTACCTATGGCACACGGACGACCTGCTGGGGCAGGGGGCCACTGCCAGTGTGTACAAGGCCCGAAACAAGGTAGGATGCAGCCCTGGCCAGGCCCCCTGAGGCCGAGGAAGTTCTTGGCCCTGTCGGCCCCTGGTGGGCAGCAAGGGTGCTGTGTGGCTGGGCGGACGCCTAGCACACTCCGGAGCCAGGGGACGACACCGTGGCTTTGGGAGGAGGTGTGGGGAGTTCTAAAGGGCTCCTTGGGGTGTTGCTTCTGTCAGGCAGAGTTTGGGACTGGAGAGAAAGAGAGGAAGATGCAAAGCCATCACCCTGGGGAGGTGGCAGCAAACCCAGGAATAGCAGCACTGGGAAGTGGGACTTGTTTGAATTCCCCCTGCCTTCCTCATGGCTCTGCACTGACTAGGTAGACATATCGCAGTCCTGTGTCAAGAGCTGGAGCCAGAACAGGTTCCAGTCCAGCTTTGCTGCTAGCACCAGGGGTGTTGGTGCCTATGTGGTTATTGTCACTAGAAGCAGGAATAGCGGGGTGCCTGAGTGGCTCAGTGGGTTAAGCATCTGCCTTTGTCTCAGGTCATGATCCCAGAGTCCCGGGATGGAGCCCCAAGCCCCATGTTGAGTCGGGCTCCCTGCTCAGCGGGGAACCTGTTTCTCCCTCTCCCTCTCCCTCTGCCCCTCCCCCCCTTCCTGCTCTCTCTTGCTTGCTTATATTCTCTCTCTCCAATAAATAAATAAAATCTTTTTTTTTTTTTTAAAAAAAATGGTAATAGCAACGACCAAACATCCCCTGTGGGGTATCAGGTACACAAAGCCCTTATCCCGTCTCAGGGTTGGACTGGGCTATGTTCCCTCTGATTAGGGGAAGAAGCTGAGGGTGGGAGCCCCCAGCCCCAGCCGGGCTGTCTTTGGTCCTGGCTGGTGTCAGGCAGGTGGGAGAAGCTCTGTGGAGGCCTGGGGGCATACGTGTGCTTCCCAGGGCAGGAATGGGACTTATGTTATCCCGCACCGCAGAAATCCGGGGAGCTGGTTGCTGTGAAGGTCTTCAACACGGCAAGCTACCTGCGGCCCCGCGAGGTGCAGGTGAGGGAGTTTGAGGTCCTGCGAAAGCTGAACCACCAGAACATCGTCAAGCTCTTTGCAGTGGAGGAGACGGTGGGTCCAGTAGTTGGTCAGAGGGAGCTGGTCTTGTCCTTGACCCTCACAGGCTGGAAAAGAGTCAGGTCACATAGTAACGGAGACATGGTCACATGCTTGTCAGCAGGTCAGCCAGAGCAGCAACCTGTAGAGTAGAATAAAGAATGCTGGGGTGGGGGTACGCGTGGGAAAGTAAAGATGGGAAGTTGGGCCTAATCAGAGAGGGCTTCCTGGGAAGGTGACCTTGGGCTCAGGTGTGTGGGGTCACTGTAAGGCCAAAGAGGGAAGGCCAGGCAGCGGCTGGGACCTAGACAATAAGGGCTTTTCACCTAGGCTGAGTCACCCTCCCCTTGAAAAAGCTGGTTCTTCACAGAGTGATGGAAGGGGAAGAGATTTGCCTTCCCTGTCCCCAAGCTTCTCTCTGTCCCACCCACAGGGGGGCAGCCGGCAGAAGGTGCTGGTCATGGAGTACTGCTCTAGCGGGAGCCTGCTCAGCGTGCTCGAGAGCCCGGAGAATGCCTTCGGGCTGCCCGAGGACGAGTTTCTGGTGGTGCTGCGCTGTGTGGGTGAGCCCCTCCCTGACCATCCCCCAGGAAGTCCCCTTCCCCATCAGACCAGCCACAGGCCCAGCCCTCCGTGGAAGGCGAAGTCTCAGAGAGTCCAGCATTTCTGAAACAATGACCCAAACACAAAAGACATCTGTACCTGGGAGGCTCTCCATTCTCAGACCTAGGGCAGCTGTTTAAAACTCCATCTTAAAAAAAAAAAAAGAAGAAATCAAACCAGGTTGTACATCATCGTTTATAGCAGTGTTACTCACAATAGCCATAAGATGAAAACAACCCAAATGTCATGGGCAGATGGATGGATAAAATATTAAATGTACATATGATGGGACACTATGCAGCCTTAAAAAGAAATGAAATCCTGACACGTGCTGTTTGTGGATGAACCTGGAAGACATTGCTAAGTGAAGTGAAGTCACGGGTACTATATGAATGATTCCACTCAGATGAGGGACCTCGTGCGGTCAAAACCACGGAGGCAAAGTAGAACAGTGTGTGTGCCCGGGGCTGGGGGGATGGAGGCATGGAGAGGGATGGTGCAATAGGTGGTTTCTATCTGGGACATTGACCAGGTTCTGGAGGTGGCTGGTGGTGATGGCTACACAGCACTGCTAGTGTACTTAGTGCCACGGAACTGCATGCTGGAAATAGTGAATTTTGTGTTAGGTATATTGTATTACGACTCTTAAAAACAAATCAGGCGGGAGAGGGGGTGCTCTCCCCGGGGAAGCAGAGCTGTCATCCCTCTTGGTCTCCTAGGGAATCCCGGTGGAACTTCAATACTCATGTCTTTGGGACCCCCTCCTTTGTCCTATGCCCATCTCTGTTCTCCTGTGGCCCTGCCAGCCCATGTGCACTCTTGCTCTGGACCCAAGGACAGGCTTCTGCCCCAGATAAGCCACAGACACTGAGCTGTTCCTGGCCGGGAGCCAGCAGCCCTGTCTCTCCACAGTGGCTGGCATGAACCACCTGCGGGAGAATGGCATCGTCCACCGTGACATCAAGCCTGGAAACATCATGCGCCTCATGGGGGAGGAAGGGCAGAGCATCTATAAGCTGACGGACTTTGGGGCCGCCCGGGAGCTAGATGATGATGAGAAGTTTGTCTCCGTCTATGGCACTGAGGAGTACCTGGTGAGTGGGCTGCTGGGGACCCTCTGGTCAAACTCAGGGCTGCCCGTCCACTTGTGACTCTCTCTGAGCTCCTCCAAGGGGCTCTGTTCAGTCCCCCTGCATGTGGTAAGGTATATGTCACCTCTGCACCCCAGCCAGAAGAATGTATTCTGGAAAAGGTGGTGCTGTTGCCTGCCTGGGCCTCCCTGCTGGAGTGTCCCTGCCCGGGGCCCCTCTGCCCAGCCCCCCTGCCTGGGCCTCCCTTGCGTAGCTAATTTCTTGACAGGATCCTCACCGAGGATAGGGCACCACTGGTCACCACCTTCCCCAGGGCAGAGGGTGGACAGATAGAATGCTCTGGATGGTCTAGCTCCACACTAGCTTTTGAGATGACAAAGGAGGTGGTTCTGATAGTTCTGTTTTCACTGGAAGGTGGTAGAAGGAGGTTGGTTGGATGGATGGGGGCTCAGACCCTTGCCCACCCTCCCCCTCCATGGCTGCTCACTGGTTCTCTCTCCGGCAGCACCCCGACATGTATGAGCGGGCAGTGCTCCGCAAGCCCCAGCAGAAGACATTCGGGGTAACGGTGGATCTCTGGAGCATTGGGGTAACCCTGTACCACGCAGCCACTGGCAGCCTGCCCTTCGTCCCCTTTGGTGGGCCACGGCGCAACAAGGAGATGATGTACGGTGGGCCTCCAGCCCTGGGCCTTCCCCCACCACTCCCTGCTGCATCTCCTCTTCCACCTCTCACTTTGTGGTCCTCCTGGGGGCCACCCCCACCCAGGCTCCTTCTTAATACTTGGTTATCAGCCCATCAAACAAGAAGCTTGAGCCCTGCCCTGATAGGAGAGCAGTGCTTATGGCAGCCCCGAGCTCCCGAGCTCCCCGTTAGAGCCGCTCCCTCTGCTCCCTCCGTGGGCGTGTGTGGCTCACCCACCTCAGCTGAGGCTCGAAAAGACACAAGCCCAAAATTGGGGAGCCCGCCAGGGGCAAAGGGGGGGCTGGACCAGGGGGGACACAGCCTCCTGGTCCCAGATGCAAGGCCTTCCCAGGTTTCCTGCTTCTGATCCAGAGGTGGCTGGAGGCAGTGGCTGTTTCTCCCTCGTGGGCACCGTGGGAAGAGGTTTAAGGATTGGTGGGAAGGTCAGAACAGCCACCCTCTGCTCGGGGTCCAGCTGTGTGGGACCTGGATTAGGTTAGGGAAGGGGAAGGAGACTGGCGGCGCGGGGGCTGGCCCGGGAGGCTCTGCACGTTGAGCGGGGCAGGCTCGTGGAGGGAAGCGCAGGGCGGGCAGGGCGCAGAGGTGCAGGGCAGCCCTGACCCAGGTGGGATGTGCGCTGGGCGGGGAAGCGGCTGGCCTGGCAGCCGGAGCCCAGAGCTTGCCTGGGGCTGCCTTGCCTGAGGGCCAGGACTCCCAAATTCCATTTCCGGCCCCTCTGGAGTGGCTGGCTGACTGGAGCCCTCCGTGCGGAGCTTGCGGTCCCTCGGGGTGGGACGGGCCAGGGGTCCCGCCGAGCTGGTCCCTCCTCGCCACAGGTACCGGATCACCACCGAGAAGCCGGCCGGGGCCATCGCGGGCACCCAGCGGCGGGAGAACGGGCCCCTGGAGTGGAGCTACGGCCTCCCCATCACCTGCCGCCTGTCCCCGTGAGTGCGGCGTGCGGGAGGCGCGGACCCACCTGAGGCTGGGCTGGCATCCCTGACGCCTGCGCACAGTCGGGCCTGCGGGGAGGGCCCGGCGCAGGGGCAGTCGGCTCAGTGGACCACTTTCCCTGTCAGGCGGCCGCTTTCCCCTCTGGAAGCTCTTCCTCCCCCCCACCACCACCCCCACCCCCCACCCGCCTTGGTCCTAGCTCTTCAGGACCTTACCGTGGAATGCCCTATTGCATCCTCAAAGAGGACAAGTCTGGGCCCTGGTGCCTGAGCGTATCCATGTCCGGGGTACAGGGGGCTGCAGAGCCAGCTGGTGCCCATCCTGGCCAACATCCTGGAGGTGGAGCAGGCCAAGTGCTGGGGCTTTGACCAGTTCTTTGCGGAGACCAGTGACATCCTGCAGCGAGTCGTCGTCCATGTCTTCTCCTTGTCCCAGGCGGTCCTGCACCACATCTACATCCACGCCCACAACACGTGAGTGCATGGGTCTGAGGGACAGGCACCAGAACCTTCTCTACCCAAGCAGAAGGGTGTGTCCTAGTAGATGTGAGAGCTGCTGGGCCCAATCTTACGTTGGAAAAACTAATTCCGTGAAATTAAACAGTTCTTCCTTGCTGCTAGACTCCAGGGATGCAGCAGCCTTGCCCATGCTAACGAACATTAGGAATCTGAGGGGTAAAAAAAATTTAAAAAAAAAAAAAAAAAGGAATCTGAGGGGTGCGTATGTGCATGGATGCGCGCGTGTGTGTTGGTGATGTGTTTCCCAAATGTGTTGCTCATGGAACCCATTATTTCTCAAACTCTAGGTGAATTTTAGTGGGAATGTCGCAGGAAAGGGTGCAAAGGCAGAGGCTGGGTATTGGGGCTCCTGTGTTCTGTTCCTACCGTCCCCATCCACTCTAAGACACTAGCTCTAGCCTTTGTCCCTCCACCTTTGATAAGAGTGATAGTCACCCAGTCCCTCCCTTTGAAAAGCTGAGCCCTCTCCATGGATGAAGACTTACCTGGGGTTTGGGTCACCTGGGCCCTAGATCATGCTGACACTTCCTATCTTCCCCCCCCCCCCCCCCCGCCCCGGGACCCTTTGTGTGTCTAGGATAGCCATCTTCCTGGAGGCAGTATATGAGCAGACCAGTGTGGCTCCCCAGCACCAGGAGTACTTCTTTGAGGGTCACCTCTGCGTCCTTGAGCCCAGCCTGTCAGCGCAACACATCACCCACACGACCGCAAGCAGCCCCCTGACCCTGTTCAGCAAGGCCAGTGAGACCCCCAAGGGGCTGGCCTTCAGGGACCGTGAGTAGGGCCCTACAGGCTGGATCTTTTCTCCTTCTTACTTTCCACAAGGGACAGGAGGTTATGATCCAGGATATTGATTAATACTTTTTGTGGCTGTTTCTTTGGGCCCACAGGGTCCAGAAGGCAGATCTGGCCTCTAACTCTATCTTGCCTCTCAAATGCTGTGGGACTCACACTTCACCTCGCTGGGCCTCACAGTGTCCACAGAGCTGTGAAAGAAACTTCAATTGAAACAGGGAGATCTGGATTTAAGATGATTTCCAGCATCTCTGCGACTGGTGGGAGAGCCTCGGATGGTTTGGGTTGGAGAAAGCAGGAACCCCAGTTGCTAGAGCAAAGAAAGGTGGTCAGGGGTCCAGAGTTTTGTCTTCCAAGTTCTAGAAAAAGTATCATTCCTCCTTCTTTGAATGATGCCAATGTCATCCTCCTTTTCAGGGTCTCCAATGCTGGAAAGCAGACTTAACCTTGAAACTCCTAGTCCTGAGGGTGGTTTTAAGCCCATTTTCTGGCTGTTTCTGGGACCTTGGGCATGAGGCTGTAGTTCTCCAAAGAGGACACCAGGGGGCAGTGAGGGACAGTAATTGTAAAGAGGCGCAGCGAGTGCATTTATTTAGGCTTGGGGGTGCTGCGCACAAGGTGGGAAGCTTGCTCTGGAGGATGGATGGGGTGAGGGTGAGGGTGAGGGTGAGTGGGGAAGAACAAAAGATGAACTTAGGGTTTGTCCGGGACACACAGGCAGCCCCCTCAGATAGGGTCTTTGTCTGCAGCCGCTCAGGACATCTCCAAGTTCTTCCCCAAAGTGGACCTGCAGGCAGATTACACCACCGCCAAGGTGAGAGGTGGCCCCGGTGGCCGTTGGCCAGGAAGGGTCACACGAGGGGTAGGGGTGGGAGTCCTAACCCTGCCCCCTGTGTATTTTAGAGTGTACTGGGTGCTGGCTACCAGGCCCTGTGGCTGGCACGGACCTTGCTGGCCGGGCAGGAGATGATGCTTCGGGGACTGCACTGGTTTGTGTGAGTACACCCGGGGGCTGAATGCGGAGGGCAAGGTGGGCAGGTGGGTTTGACCTCTTCCACACAGCCCGGGTGCCGTTCCCTTGGCATGGGCTCTTGGTCCCCTGGGAGAAGGGAGCTCTGACTCTGCACCCCTCTGCAGGGAGACGCTCCAGGCTACATGCAGACGGACGCTGGAGGTCACACGGATGGCTCTCCTCTTCCTCAGCAGCAGCCTGGGCACCGAGAGGTGGGTGTCCTGCTCAGGGTAGGGGGTGGGGGTGCGCTGCAGCAGGTGTGAGGCTGGCTCAGACCCCTCGGCCCTTCTCTGTCTGCCTGTTCTTCATCCTCAAATGTCCAACAATGCCTCTTGCCCCCCCCCCGACCTCCCACTCTCCCAGCTGTTGGAGAATACAGAGGGGACCCCTACTCTGTCCCTCATCCCCCATGCTGCCAGGTGACTGTACAGACCTCTCCCACCACCTAGTCACTGCAAGGGGAATGGGGCAGCCATGGGAGCACTGCCTTAGCAGGTACCAAGCCCCAGAGCAGCACTCCAGCAGAAGCCTTCATAGCCTCACCCAGCCCCCTGGACCTGACAGGATGGGGATCTGGGTGCTCTCATCCTCCATGCTCTTCCTTCTGGCTCTGCGTCCTTTTTTTTTTTTTTTTTTTTTTTTTTTATGAGAGAGAGCGAGCACGCACAAGCAGTGGGGAGGGGCAAAGGAAGAGGGAGAAGAAGACTCCTCCCTGAGTACAGAGCCTGATGCAGGGCTGATGTGGGACTCCATCTCAGGACGGTGGGATCATGGCCTGAGCTGAAGGAAGACACTGAACTGACTGAACCACCCAGGCGCCGCCTGTCTCTGGGTCTTAAACTGTCCTCACCTTCTTCACATTTCCTGGGCCTGCCTTGGGGCTCTGTGCCCAGTACTGCTCTGACTTGGGCTAATTAGGGGTGATAGACCAGACAAAGGGAGAGACTGGGGAGGAGGGAACCAAGCCAGAGAGTCTAGACATGAGAAGCAGGAAGACTCCAGTGGGCAGAGCACTTCCAAGGAGTGGGCATAGCCCCCCAAGTCTCGGAAGACATGGGGCCATGGTACAGGTGAGAGGAGGGGGCTCTGCAGCCCAGGGAAGCTGATGGTAGCTGGAACCTTCCCCACTGGGAGGAGACGTGGCATAACAGGAGCAGAAGCTGTGCTGAACATGTCTCATGTCCCTGCTCCTCACATCCCCTGGCTTTTATCCTTAGGAAGGTCCTGGGAGTTCCCAGCAGTGAATTGACTCACTGCTGCCTTGCTTGGCAGGAGCGGTTCAGATAATGGGGCAGATGGGGTGGCAGTGTTGCGGGAAGAGGCCGAGGAGAGTCTCCAGATGACAAGGACAGCGTCCCTGGCCTGGCTGAGCGCCTTTCAAATGGTGACAGAGATGCGGAGCTGCAGGGGCACAGCACTGGTCCTTGAGAGGAGCTCTGAACGGGGCACAGGAAGGGGGTCCAGGGATAGATGTGACACCAGGCACACAGAGGGTCCACATTCTCCTGGAGGAGATAGCCCTTCCCAGGGACTTAAGAGTGATGGGATGGTTGGGTAGAGGAAGACTAGAGGTGAGGAGGGGCAATCGTGGAGGTCTTCCTGGAGGAGGTGAGGCTTTTTAAGGCCAGAGTGAAAGAATACCTTGAGTTGTTTGGTCCTGTGCAGAGACAGAAAAGGGGGACATGATTGGGGAGATTGGAGGAGGGGTGCTGACGAGGTTTGTTTGAAGCCACAGTTAAAATGGAAAATATCCCAGGGTGAAGGTGGAGTGGGGCAGAGGGATAGGAAGGGAAGGAGAGAATGCATGGAGGGCCTAGAAGGTCCAGTTGGCGGGTTGAACCCAATAAAATGACCAGTAGATTTCTATTGTAGGTTCTTGAACAGGAAAGACATGGAGAAAGTATTTGGGGTGTTTGCCCCTTTGCCCTAGACCGAGGCCTGTGGAGAAGGGACTCCCTGGAGCTGGAGTCCTGGGTCTGCTGGCCGCTGTTTTTGCCCTTCTGGATGCCAGGCCCCCTCGGAGGCATGGTGTGCCTGGAGAGCTCAGCGTCAGAGGGCCACTCCAAGCTCTTCACTTGGGACCTTAGGCCACTGTTCTCTCTCCTAACCTGAGCCACTATTTTTTCTTCTTCAAAATAAGAGAACTGGATGATCTTGGAGCCCTCCCACCTTTGACCCTTTGTGATTCTGCTCTTTTGTGAACATCCTCCGACCTGTAGATTCTGGAATCTGACACATTTTAACAAGTACCGAGCATAAAGTGGCTGCCATTGCCCAGCCTGGTCACTCATCTCTCCCTCGGGCTCCCCAAGACGGGCTCCCCAAACCAGACTCCCTTGGCAGAGTGTCCTTGCCTCTGTCGTGAAGCTCCCTGGGCCTTCTCAGCAACTGCTGTCATGTGGTGGCACTGGCTCAGAGAGCCCCAGTGCTTCCCTCACCACCAAACAGCGTATGTCCCTGCTCTGTAGCCGAGCGCTTTAGCTCCGAGGTCCTGTTGGATGCCCACAAATGCTTTGTTGGGAAGCAGGAAGGAGACTTATCTCTCTGATAGGTACACGAGATCCCCAAGTCTTGTAGAAGTGAAGTGACCCCAGGTCATGGAAGACAGGAGGGGTGGCAGCTGGGACTAGCACTCAGACCCATCTCTGCTGACTAGGTCAGCCTCAGCTGCTTCTGCCAGCAAGCATTGCACACCCTAAAATCCATTTGTACACTCACTAATTCATCCAACAACCATGTACAGAGGAACTACTGTGTGCCGAACACTGCTGGGCACTGGAGATACAACAGTAAACTCCTGCCTTCGTGGCGCGCCCACTTCGTGCCTAATTCTCCCCTGTCCTCTCGCCTTCCCCTCTGCCAACACCATTCCCAAGCCGAAGCACGCAGGATTCTTTTCCCCATGATCGTTATTGTGATAGAAATAGTATATGCTAATTGCAGAAAGTGGGAAAATACGGATAAGCAAAAACGAAATGAAAATGCCGTGTCCTTGTCCCCCGGAGCTAGGTCGTTGCAGGGGAAGAGTAGACGCCCGTCTAGGTTGTCTTCTGCTCTGTATATAAGTATATATATTAACCGACGTGAGACTCTCTAGTACTTGCTCTCTTATAACCTGCTTTTCTCAGCTGATGAGCTCTCCGGCCCCACGTCAATACATTTTCATCTCGTCTAAAGTCATCCATACTCAAAGGTCTCTAACTTGCTCCCTACTTCCCTTTTCTAGCTGGTTTTATCCAAACCAGGATCCAACCCAAGACCACACTTTGTGTCTAGTTGTTATGTTCCTTAAGTCCATTTTAATCTAGACAGACTGCCTCCCCCCTCCTCCCTTTTCCTGACACGGGATGTCGCAGGGGCAACACCCCCTGCCCCGCTTTCTGGACTCTGCTGTTTTCTCTAGATACCCTTTGGATTTGTTTTCTTCTTTCCCAACATTTCTTATAAACTGAGAGCTCTGAAGCCTGGGTGGATTCAAGTTGAACATTGTTTTGGCCAAGTACATCAGAGAGGACACCAAGTACACTTCATAGCCTCCCACCACTGGGTGGGGACAGCCTGATTCCTTTATCGTGTGGTCACGTTTTCCCTGTCAAAGAACCACTTTGGCACAATCCAAGTGCCCGTGCCTTGATCATTAATCATGGATTTTAGCACCATGCCCAAGCAAATAACTTCACTGGGGGCAGCATGATGCTAATATTCCAAGTCTGGAACGTTATTGGCTGATATTCTATAAAATAAGGCTTTTCCCTTATTAGTCAGCTATTGGTTACCATAAAATACAGTTTCTATTGGAAAGGAACTTTATTCTTTTCCTTTAGTGATAAACATTTCTAGGAGGGAGTTAGTTTATTAACAGTCGCCTCGCTGCATGGACTCATGAATTTTCAAGATTCTCGTTTCCAGCTATCTCCATCCTTATTCTTTACGGTGCTCAACAACAGTACAACTTTGTTGGGTTAGGGGCCTCTTGAAATTGGTTCCTTTAATCCAACCACAAAACTCCGCAGATACCCGAGAAGCCAGCAAGGCTGTCCCAAAGAGGTCAGGCTCTTCATGTGGTCGTGGAGCTCTGCCTCCCAATCCCCCAGCCGTGTCCTTTCTCTGTCCTTCCCTGGAGGTTCAGCAGTGTGGCTGGGATGCCTGAGATGCAGGAGCTGAAGAGGGTCACAGAGCTGAGGTCCAGGCTGCGGGCTGTGAGTGAGGCTGGGGGGTGGCTGGGGCTAGGGGGGCAGCTGTAAGTACAGAGCTGGGGGGCAGAGGTCCAGCCAGGCTGCTATCAGAACCCTGACCTGAGGACCCCCCGGGGGTCTGCCTTGTTTTATCCTCCAGTTGGTGGAGGCCCTCTCCAGATGCTCCCACAATATCACAGAGACCCAGGTGAGCCTGAGCAACCTGAGCTCTGAGCTGGTGAAGAACCGGGATCAGGTACATGCGGACAGAAGGTCTGTGGGATTTTCCTTCTTGGTGGGGTGGGGGTGGGAGCAGGGACACACAGCTCCGAAGGTCCAGTAGCATTTTTAGGAACCAATCCGCTTTCTCCTTTATCTTAGCAAGGGTGCTGGGGTGTGGGGTAGTGGTGTGGGATCCAAGAATGTGCATGGCCCTCCCCTGAGGCTGGCCTAAAGGAGAAGAGCACCTGGGGTCCTTCTGGGAATTTAGAGAGAGAATTGGAAATCCTAGCAGGTGCAATGGTTCTTTTTAAAGATTTTATTTATTTATTCATGACAGATACAGAGAGAGAGAGAGAGAGAGAGAGAGGCAGAGACACAGGCAGAGGGAGAAGCAGGCTCCATGCACCGGGAGCCCAATGTGGGACTCGATCCTGGGTCTCCAGGGTCACGCCCTGGGCCGAAGGCAGACGCTTAACCCCTGAGCCACCCAGGCGTCCCAGGTGCAATGGTTCTAAGTGAAAGAATAATTTCGTTCCATTTCCCTTTCTCTTCATTGGCTCTGCTCAATCCCTGGATTGACCCTCCTACTTCTGTCACCTCGTTTAATCTCCACAATGATGCGACTACTAGTAGGCCTCTTTTGTAGGTGAGGAAGCTCACTCTGGGAGGTTAATATGCCCTGGGTCACAGCCAGTCAGTGACAAATGATAGACATGGGGCTTCGTGTCATGTTTGCCCACCTCCAAAGCCTACGTTCTTGGCCTACACCAGGGATTTATGGCCTCGGAAGCCTCATTCAACAAACATCTTTTTTTAAAGATTTGTTTTTATTTGAGAAAGAAAACGAGCAGTGGGGAGGGGCAGAGGGAGAGGGAGCCAAGCAGGAAGCCCGATGCGGGGCTTGATCCCAGGACCCTGAGATCATGACCCAAGCTGAGGGCGGATGCCCAACCGTCTGAGCCACTCAGGCGCCCCCTGAACGTGTTAATGTCCTCCCGCCTACCTCACAGCCTGGAGTGTGGGGCCCGCCCTGACCAGTACCCATTCTCCCCAGTACCTACTCTAGTCAGTGCTGACAGGGATCCCTAACCCAGGCCCTCAATTCTAAAATCAAAGAGCCCTGAGAACTGTAGGGTTTTATTTGTTTGTTTTGGCCGCAAAACCTGACCTCAGCTTTCATGAGTCTCTTCTTAGAGTGTTTGATGAGGTTTTGGAATATAGGTGAGGTTTGGTGGGGTGAGATCCTGTGCCAACAACCAAGAAAGAATTCTTGAGACGTCTTTGGTTCAAAATGGTGATTTTATTAAAGCCCCAGGACAGGACCCGTGGGGAGGAAGAGCTGCTGCCCCGGGCCCATAAGTGGTGGCTCATTATATAGCTGGGAGTTGGGAGGGGTTTGAGGAGAGGGGAGCGTACTCACTAAGCAATTTGGGAGCAAGGTTTCCAGGACCTTGAGGGGGCTGGCTATTGTTGGGAAAGGTCACTTATTACCGTCTAATAAAACCTGAATCATGAGACCCTTCAGATGTCTATCGGTGGGCCATGTGCTGGGGGAGGATCACCAACATGGATCTTGGGGGTTTAGAGATAAAGGAATTTTTATATGTTAAAGTAGACTTACAGGCTCCTGGGGGTCAGGCTAGGATTGCCTTCTGCCCTTAGCAAAGTGTGAACATTGAGGCAGTTGAGTCTGTAGAGGAAGTTCCGTCTGCCTGTTTCCAGGACTTGTCAGCGTGCTGTCCCGGGCTTGTGCTTTGTCCCCAGCTGGTCCTCTGTTCCCCCATCATGTTTATCCCACTTAGAGTGAATATTCTTATAGTTCTCTAAAGGTTGAGGGTATCTGAGGGGCGCTACCCCAGACCCTGCTCAGGCTGGCCCTGACACCCTATGTCTACTGAATCACCTCTCTAAAATCAGAAGACAGTTCAGAGTTCGGCACATACCTGGCCTGAGTCTTTTGGATAAAGACTGAATCTGAGGTCTTGTTCACCCCCATGTTCTCCAAAGGGCAGGCGCCTGGGACCTGCAGAGCCCTGGAAGCAGCTTGGGTCTGACCCAGAATCCAGCTCCAGAAGTAGCTGAGATGGGGTCACTGGGAGGAGCTTTGGAGGAAAGTGGAGCTAAACAGGCCTGAGGCTGGGGAAGAAGAAACATCCCCCCTGCACACACACACACACACACACACACACACACGTTTGTGCACACACATGCACAAACCCTCACGTCACACCTGTTTGTATCCACTTGAAAAGGGGAAGGAAGAAATACTACAGACTTTAAACCTCAGGAGGTGAAGGTCCTTGAGGTCATCTCCCACATCCCCCGGCCTACATGCAGGACTGAGGACCGTGGATTCATCCGTGTTTTAAATAGGGGTTGTCCTTTCGTTATTTAAGTGCCTTCCATGTGCCAGGTGTTGGCTACGCTAGGAGGGCCCTCCTCCTACCCTCCCCAGGCTTCTGCCCCACTCCCGTCTCCACGGGCACTGCTGGCCTCACAGGACCCAAGGCTCCTGCCTTGATTCTCTTCTCAAGCCTTCTAGTGTAGCAAAGGCCATTGTCCTGTGGTCTGTTCTGCAGCTTTTTGTCTGTCTCATCTCTTACTAAACACCTCGAATATGTGTGTGTGTGTGTGTGTGTGTGTGTGTGTGTGTGTGTGAGAGAGAGAGAGAGAGAGAGAGAGAGAGAGAGAGAGAGGATAAACTTGGGACTCAGGTGGCTGGCCGGCCCCACCGCAGCTCAAACAAGCTTAGGGACAGGAGAGACACCCCCACTCCCAGTCTGGCCCCCAAAACTGTGGCAATGAGGCTCCTTCTGCAGGCTTGTGTGCTCCCCAACCCTCTGCCAGCCATGCCATCCCCTCTCCCCTCTCCCCCCTTTATTCTGTGCTGTTTTATTCTCCCCTTGCCTAGTCCCTGTCTCCTGCCCACAGCATCCAGCAGATTCAGTGTTGTTTGGACAAGATGAACCTCATCTACAAACAGTTCAAGAAATCCAGAATGAGACCAGGTGAGCCATGGGGGGAGAGCAAACCACCCCCTGCTCTCCCTTCCCACCCTCCGTCCTTCCTTCCCTCTGCTCCTCCGGCTGTTCCTTCATGCTCCACTCACTGTGTGGATGCTGCTGTGGGGTGCCAGGGTGGCGCTGCTCCAAGGCAGGGCCCCTGCCTCTAAGCTACCTGCAGATGCTGAGGGACGGGAGCCCTGTGCCTGTGGCCAACTGAGAGGCTTAGCATGCTTGGGGCGCTCAGATGGCTGGAGCCCCGCTGTGACAGCCGAGGAGGCCCTTGGAAGAGACCCCTCACCTCTGTAGAGCACTTTACAATTTAAAGAGTGATTCCCCATCCATTGTGTCTTTGGCTGTTAAAACAGCTAGGTTTTCCAGATAAGGGAGAGTCTGAAGAAATATCCTATAGTCACTGGGCCAGCTACCTTGCCTGTATTCTCTGCTTATCCTCACAAAGGACCTCTGGGCAGGAGCCACTCATTTACAGGCTCAGGGATGCAGCTGCTTGCCCAAGGTGCCTGCTGTCATGGGACAGGGTAGGATGGAACCTGGGGGAGGGCTGGGGCTGGCGCTGAGGGCCCCTGGGAGACCCCAATTGACTCACACATCAGAAACCAACCCCCTGTCTCCTGGGGCTCCTCCTCATGTGTGGACTGCAGGGCCTGGATTTGATGCCTAGATCTCTAGCCCTGGGATTATCTAAAAAGCTCTGTCTCTTAGAAATGTGATGCCAGCAACGTACCTAACTCTCCAGTAACCAGTATTTTAAAAATAGAAACAAAACAGGTGAAATTAATTTTCATAATACATTTTATTTAACCCAATATGTCCAAAATGTCATTTCCGCGTGTAATCCATATAAACAAAATTATTAAAGAGGGATTTTACATTCTTTGGTGTGTGTGTGCGCGCCAAGTCCTTACAGTCCTGTGTGTATTTGACGCTCACAGCACGTCTCTGTTTGGAAGCTGATTTTTTAGCAGACTGAACTGTCGTCTTACTAAAGCAGTAAAGCTGCATTTATTGGGAAAACAACATTTTGCCCTGCTCCGGTTTTAAATTTTTAAGTAATCGAATTAATTGGATTAAAATTAAAATTCAAAAAAATAAAAAATAAAATAAATAAAATAAAATAAAAATTCAGTTCCTCAGGCGTGCTGGCTACAGGTCAGGTGCTCGGTAGCCACACGTGTCCAGCGGCCACTGGCTCGGTCATAGAGATCTAGATGATCTTCTCTCCTTCGGACTCAGTTCTGCCTCTGGGGTCTGGCCGTGGAGCAGGTGAGGAGAGCAGCACAGGAGAGGGGGAAACTGAGACTCTCCCATTCCTGACACCCCGCTGGCCCTTTTTAACTATGATCTCCAGAGAACCTGAGAGGCTTTCTGCCTCCATCACTGGGATTCCATCATCTTGCCTCACTACCCTTCTGGGCACCTCCCGTGTGCTGGAAACTGTCCTCCAGGCTGTGCATGATCTTAATTTATTTAATGCCTGCAAAAACTAGAGGCACCATTACCCTCCCCTGTTTATAGATAAGGAAACCAAGGCCCTAGGAGGTTCAGTAGCCCAAGCAGTCCTGGTCTGGATGCCTTTAACCGCTCCGCTCTATGGCCTCAAAGAGACTCGTTTTCATTGGTCCCCCAGAGTCCCTTATGAAAGCTAACAATGAAAGGACGCACACCCCTTGACAGCAAACCCCCGGAATGTTGGAAGACGCCACTCTGAAAAACGCTTCTGGTTGTCCCTCTCCCCTCACACCAGCCTGGGTGGTTGCTACCTGTGACGAACGAAGAAGCGACTCTGTGAGGTGAAATCACGCCTCTGCCGCCTCTGCCACCGCCGGCGACTAGGAGGCTGGGCTGGGACTTGGAGCTGGGACTTCGCTAGTGCTCAGCTGGCCGAGAGCAGGGCCCAGGATGAAATGCCAACGAGGGGCTTCTGCTGTTAGGGACCTGGGTGGGAGGCCGCTGGGCAACCGTCCTGCATCTTGTCATCCTGGGGAAGCTTCTAGCTGGGAGGCCCGTTCCCTGGAAGCCCAGGAGAGGGCAGCGTCTCCCAGCTGGGAGCATCTGCAGTAGGTGACTCCCTCGGAACCAGCGCTTCAGGGAGAAGTGGCTGGTCTGTGACCCGGAGGAGGCAGTGAAAGAGGTACAGGGTGGTGGCCTGACTCCCCCAGCTCATCGCTACAGAGTCCAGCTGGCCCTGCCCGCAGGAATGGAGCAGGAATGGGGCCTGTGAGCTGTAGGCATCAGGCACGCCGGGAGGGGTGTTGGATGAGGAGCTGGGGCTGACCACACGTCCTTCAAGGGCCACTCATCCAGCACCCCCCACCTGAGATGTCCCCCCAAGTACTCATCTCTCCACTCCTGGCCCCAGGAGCCCTGCAGCAATTTCTCTGCAGCTTCCCTGGGCTCCTCTGTACCCCGTGGCTCCACGGGGCTGTGAAGTCCCAAAGGGCCAGAGTGAGCCTATCTTCATCTTTGGAATTGTCCCCAAGCTCTTGTGGCATTCTGTTTCATTGACTGATTGGACAGGTGACATCATTCCTGTCTGTTTCCTTCAGGGCTTGGCTACAATGAGGAGCAGATTCACAAGCTGGATAAGTGAGTAGCCCGTCCCCCCTGGCAGGTGGGTGAGCAGGAGGCAGGAAGGTGGGTGTCACCAGGGAGGAGCTGTCCTCTGTGCCTGACGAGGTTCGATGAAGGATCCTGATCCCGGGCTGTAGCTGGGCAGCAGCAGAGCGGGTGACTGTGTCGGGCAGGTTATCTGGGGCCAGGGAGGGAGACTGAGTAGCTGACTCAGGAGCTTTCCCTGAAGTTTGATGTAATTGGACTTACCTCTAGCGGGAACAAGACCGTTTGTAGTATTTCTTTCCCTAACTCTCCTCCCTGATTTACTGCTTCCTGCTTCTGACCTTCCCTTGTGCTGTTCTCTGCTCCTCTGTCTCCTGGACACTAATCTTCCAGGAGGCCCTCTCTGATTTAAAGTGGTTATTTGGAGACACAGTCCTCCAGTTCGATGCCCACCCCTGACCCTTATACACTCTTCTCTCAATCTCCGGCAGCATCTCGCCTCCCTCCCCCGTGAGGACGGCGCTGGAGTGTGTCTGTTCTCTGAAATCCCCTTGTCCTTCTCCCACATCTCTGTCGCTGTGCTCTGCGTCCTTGCCACTCTGACCTCCAAAGTTCGTGTATGTGCGAGCCTCATGCCGCCCTTGTTTGGAGAGGCGGCCCTACTGTGGATCCAAGGGCTGGGCGTTTCGGCGGTGGAGACCCAGGGATGCTAGCCGTGGGCACAGGTGGGTCTGGCTGATTATCTCTATGCCTCCGTGTCCCTGTCATTTCAGGGTGAATTTTAGTCATTTAGCCAAAAGGCTCCTGCAGGTATTCCAGGAGAAGTGTGTGCAGAAGTATCAGACATCCCTGGTCACGCACGGCAAGTGGATGAGGTAACAGTTTGGCCCTCCTTCCTGAGCTCACGGACCCTGGGGCCCTTCCTGGCCTTGCCCTTCGGGCTTCAGAGAACCCTGGGATTTGCAGAGCCCTGATTGAGGGGAGATGGTAGTTAAGGAACAAAAGCAAAAAAAAAAAAAAAAGGTGGTTTTGTGCACCTGGGTTATTTCCTTTCATTAGCTTATTTAATCCCACAATATACCCTCTGCAGTATACACTCTTACCCCTCTCCACAGATGAGGAGACTGAGGCTCAGAGCACAGGTCTCCTCAATACTACACAGCTAGTAAGTAGCAGATCCAGGACTAGTAATGGGTATGACTGCCTCTAAAACCTGGGTTCTTTCCATGTTCCCAGGTGGTTGTGTTGGGAAGCCCCTTCTCTGGGGAGAGCACAAGATTCCTCTGGGATGAGGCCAGGCAGGCTTATAGACTTCTGGTGGTCAGGGATGCAGGGGCCTGCAGAGGCCCTTAAATGGAAGCCCCTTACACTGTCCCCTCTAGGAGTTTCAGGCTTTTCCCCTCTCACATGAGCCCCTCCCTCCTTCCTCTGCCTGCAGGAATACTGGCCCCTCCTGGGAAGAGAGGACAGGGTCCCAGGCCCATATGACCTGTGGGCTTTTTACGGGACTGAGACCCAGGCACTCACCCACCCTCACAGTAGAGTACAGCTTCTCCACCCCTAACCCACCCCAAATTCTGCTTTAATTGGTCTGAAGTCAGGCTTCATATCAGCATTTTAAAAGCACCTCCAGGGGGATCCCTGGGTGGCTCAGCGGTTTAGCGCCTGCCTTCCTTTGGCCCAGGGCGTGATCCTGGAGGCCCAGGATCAAGTCCCACATCGGGCTCCCTGCATGGAGCCTGCTTCTCCTTCTGCCTGTGTCTCTGCTTCTCTGTGTGTGTGTCTCTCATGGATAAATAAATAAAATCGTTAAAAAAAATAAAATAAAAGCACCTCCAGGTAATTTGAATGTGTAGGTAGGGGTGAGAACAACCACTGGCTTGTCTGTCCTCGGATTGGTTTCCTTTCTGTGCAGTAGGGACAGGTGGCTGCTCACTCCCTCCACTTAGAGAACAAGAAAACTCCTAGAGGAGTCCTGACCTTGATTGGCTCTGGCAAGGGGGCAGTTCCCATAGGAGGTGCCCTGGGATGGGCTATATCCCCTGCGGGTCTGGAGCCTGGCCTGGCCCTTAGCTCATCCTCACTGGCATGTATGATGGGCCACAGCCATGTGTGGTTTCACTGCCCCTGTGGTTCTGGCGGGACCCTTGGCAGCATTTGTCAGAAGTGTCATCAGCATTCCCCCAGTGAGACAGGGAGGAGTTGAGGGCACACGAGGAGTTGCAGACAGAGGTAGGGAGGGAAGCAAATGCCCAGACCCAGCCATCCGCTCCAGCCTCTGCTGTCTGGAAAGCCTCTCCCCCATGTCTGTGGACCCGAAGGACAGCTGGGTGGGCCCCGGGAAGAGTGAGCAAACCTAGATTTCTTATCTGTTCTCTCCAGGGAAGTGCATGAGACCAGGAACCATTTGCGCATGGTCAGCTGTTCTGTGGCTGCCTACAACACAGAAGCCCAGGGAGTCCAGGAGAGCCTCAGCAAGGTACGAGATCTGCAGGCCACAGTGCCACTGAGAGGAGCCGCGTCCATCGGGCACCCTGGGGACGTGAGGCCGTTCCCCTGCCTCTGGGCAGGGCCATCCTTGACAGAGTCTGCGTCCAAGCACACAGTGGCTTGGAGGTCTCTGACACACAAATGTGCTCTGAGGTGGGGACAGAGAGAACGGAAGGCACTCCCTGGTGATCTCAAACTGAAGGGCGCTACAAGGACAGAGCTTCCAGAATGCCAGGACATCTTCCTCATGCCCTGTGCAGCCGGAGAGGTTCCAGGCTACTCCTGAGAGCAGCAATGTGAACCCTCCTTGGTCTTTTGGTCAGCTCTCTGGGGAGAGACCAACACCGAGGCAGCTCCGAGAAGGCTGCTCCTCTGGTCCCCAAGCCCCCAGCCCCCCCCCCGCAGCAGCCTCGTTCCTTCCAGGCTAGCTGGGCTGCCCTGCCCCTTCTCCGTAGCTCCTGTAGCTCCAGGCTCATGCTGAGCCATCAAAGGTGTGGGTTGGCCCTAGGGGAGAACTTGGCGGGGCGGGACAGTTAAATCCAAGCACAGATACAGGAGGGTGGTTTGTGTCAACTGCTTCCAGGATGGGAAGAAAGGGCCTGCAGGAAAGGCTTGGGCATTCAGGAAGCTCCAAGGATGCAGGCCAGGGGCCATTTTGTTGCCCTTTTCTTACCCTTACTCACACCTCCCTTGTGGAAAACCACACCTGTTGGCCCATCCCCCCTGACTACAGTGTGGCTTCCCTTCAGATCCTCGACTGGTTGTCTCACCAGCATCTTCAGGACAGAACAAAGGAGGCTCAGGTCTCACCACCCCCCACAGCCCCCTATCCCAGCCCTGCACCGACAGACCTGGTTCTCCAGTAAGTTCTAGAGAGACGGGGTGTGTGTGGAGGGAGGGGAGTGGTGGAAGAGGGGGTACGGTACAGATGTTAGAGCCCGAGGGGTTCTGCCTCAGGCCTGGGAGGCAGGAATAGAGAGAGTCTGGATGTCCGGCTTCCTGGGGGAGCGACTGGCAGGACAGCCTCGGCCCCAGATGCCCCTCTTGCCTCTGCCTCCAACAGCATGCAAGAGCTCTGCGAGGAGATGAAACTGCTGGCCTTTGACCTGCAGGACAACAATCGCATCATTGAAGGGTAAGGAGCCCCCACTGTGTGCGGGGAAGGCTGGTGACAGGTGTCAGAGCCCTGCCCTGTCCACGCTGAGTCGCCAGCCTTGTGAGGCGTAGGCTTCCACTGTAGTCCTGAGGACACGCGCCTCAGTGCAGTCAGGAGGGGGGCTTGCAGGCATGTGGGATCCAGGCCGTGTCCTGTTCCCCTCCACGCGGACTCTGCCCAGTGGCTCCCCCAGACCCGCTCCTGCAGCCATTGGCACCACGCGCAGAGGGCTGCGGTTCATCTCCACAGCCTACGCCAGGAACGGCAGCGCGGAGCTTGGGTTAGCGGCCTGAGGCCTGTGTTTGTCTGGCCTGCTGGCCTCTGTGTTCCTGTCCGTGCACAGGCTCCCCGACTCTGGATCCTGCCCCCGTTAGATTCCCCTCCTCCTGGGGAATGAGGGGGACTGGAGGGGGTGCGGGGAATGCGCCTCAGGCCTCAGACTTTGGGAGTTTTTGCACTAGTACAATTCACAAAAGGAAGCTAGGAGGTAACAGTGACCAACTTCCCATAGAACCGAGTAAGCACATTTAAAAGGGAAAAAAATCCTGCCACCTAGTAGTCCTGCTTCATGAAGCACATTTTTTTAAACACCAAGAAGGAGGGACATAATCTCAGCATCAGGAATGGTCCTTGCCCTGAAGCTCATGGCCTGCTTCCGTACATACACACTTGTGCACGTGTGTGCATGTGCACGCATGGGCACAACCCCCCACACCCCCCCCCCCGTCCTAGTCCTATGCCTGTCACTCCCCCACGGGAGGACCAAGTGGCATAGTGGAAAGAATCTGCAGAGACTCCAACAGGATTTGTCTCCTCACCGCTCCTTACAAACTGCATGACCCTCGGAGGCTTTGCCGGGCTCTGGGCTTCAGTTCCCTCCCGTGTGAAATAGGATGAATGATCCCAAGCTCCTGGTGGTAACTAGGGGTGAATTCAGATGAGCTATGCCACGTGCTGGGGCGGAGAGGGGTGCAGAGGGAGGCGCTCACTAAATGCTCAGTGTTCCTCAGAGGCTGTGCCAGTCTGGAACCCTGGAATTGGGGCTACGAGCCAGGGACCCCGGAGCAGAGCTTGTGGTTGTCCCCAGAATTGCAGTGTCCTCAGGCTGAGGAAGCCTCCCTGCCATATCCCATCCCTGCAAGGGGAGACTCCATCCTCTTAAATACCCTCGAGGAGGAGATTCTTTCTAAAACCTCCTTCATGGGCAGGAAGTTCTAATTTTAGTGCCGACATAAATTTTTCTTGCTGTGATATGGGGTCTATTTACAGATAGCTCAAAACTTTATTTTAAGTGAATTTTTACTTCCTTCTTCAGAGCTGTAGCCAAGGAGCCCACATAACTTTGAATTCCTCTTCCCCTCCTCTTGACCTTTTGGCTGCAGTGGATTCACCAGGGGAGCTTTTTAGATTATGGCTCCCAGGTCTGGCCTCCAAAGACTCAGGGTGCCTCCAGGGGTTTATAAACCCCCAGGTGATTCTACCGTGTGGTCAAGGAGGAGAACCAGAGAGTTCTTGTGGGCGGGGTGGGGGGTGTCAAGCACTGGACAAGGAGATAGCTGGATGGCTCTGTACTCCAGAGAAGTTGAGTGTGTTGGGTCCTGGGGTGTGGCCCACAGGCTTCTCTGCCTGGGTGGGAGAAGGTAACCTTTATTTTTCCTTACAGGCTAAGTAGGCCCCCATCGGCTCCTGACTCCTGACATCTGAGCCCCATGGGGTGCCCAACATCCTGAAGCATTAGAATCGTTCAAACACTGCTCTCCTGCCTGCAGTGTGGGGCCTAACACAGGATGATGTCTGGTCCCGTCTCGTCAGCCTACCTCCCTCCTGGCCAACAACTGGGAGATGTCACCAGCATTACCTTCCACTGCCTTTCTGGCAGCAGCAGCACAGCAGGCCCCAGGGCACCAGGCCACCCCTGTCAGGACCCACTGCCTGGGCTGACCTTTGTGTGTCACACAGGCTCAGGTACATCTCCATCGCTCCGGCCTGTATAGCTGAAGCCAGCAGGCCACGGGGAGAAGAGGCTCGGATCGGCCCGCCCAACCACCTCCTCTGGTTTACAGGGCTTCAATTCTCAGGGAACAGAAGAGGAGGCCTCTGGGAATTTCCCTAGGATGCTGGGTCAAACGACCTCAGTTCAGTCTTCCTTCCTCTTAAGGGGTTTCACGTTGAACATCCTGTGATTTCTGGGAGCCCCCACTCTCAGCCCCAGGCATTATAGAGCCTGATTTTGGGGGTTTGGCCTGGGTGCTAGGTAGGGCCTCAAGGATCCTCACCTTCCTCTCTCCCTGAGGCACCGCCAGGCTCTGGGATATGCATCCAGCTGTGGTCTACAGGGAGCACAGGCCTGTAAGTCCAGATCAGAGACCTGTACCCGCAAGAAGTGGAATAAACATGGCCTTCTTTTCTATTTCTGAGTGGCTCTCACTGGGCTGGGTCTGTGAGGCAGGGGGAGGCTCTTGGCTAAGTGTGCTTAGCATCCCAGCAGGCACTGGGTGGGGATATGGGAGGACAGGATTGGGAAACGGAGGTGGGACTGGTCACTTCCTGATCCCTGCCTTTCCCCTAAATGGGCCCTAATTTCAGGGAAGGGCCCAAGGAAGATGGCATCCTGCTGGGAGGGCTGGCCCTCCCATTTCTTCACCTTCCCCCAGCCATTTTAGGGAGCTAGATAGGGGCCCGGGACCCTCTCTTTTCTCCCCCCTTAAATCCACCATCTAAGTGCCTACTCCTTCCCATCCCCCACTCTTCAAAGCCGAGGCTGTGTCCTCAATCCTGAGCTTGAGAAGTACTTGGGTCATTTTGAGGACTCCTTCATTCTGTCTAGAGGCTAGAATGGTGCCTGCACATTCAGATTTGTGCAGACGTAGTCTTTCCCCTGCCCTACTTCCAGCCTTCCCTTAACCAGAGCTGAACTACGCACCCAGCCTAGGGCGTGGGGGAGAATGCAGTAAAGTAGCCCTGATGGGGGAGGGAGACACGTGGGAGCTCCATTTGGGCACTGAGGCATCATGCTTTGACTCTAGATAACCCCAGAAATCTTTCCTGCCCATCTTCATGAAGCCTCCATGTCCTCAGAGGCCACACTGCCCCATGACCCAGCAGGGCAAAAGTAAGGAAGCCCAGGTCCTGATGTCTGGCACCTTCTGTACTGATTCTCTATGGAAAAGGCCCAGGGGAAGGTCCCTGGGGGGTTGCTGGCATTGAGCCTAAGTGGCTTCATGTGTGCCATTTGGTGGCAGTGGGGTGAGGAGGTGGTCCATGGGGTCGTTGAAGCCAAAAGGGTTCAGATTCTGGGGCCCCTGGAGCCAGCTGCCACCTCAATGCCCCTGGGCCCTGGGTGCCCCCCGGACTGCTCTGCCTGCGTGAAGCTCTGGCTGACATTTCTGGCTCACCAAAGGCCCAGCAGGGGAGTCCCAGAATGGATTTTCCCTGGCAGCTGTGGCTGCCTCTGGATCACACATGCTTGGTGGAGCTCAGCAAAAGAGCCAGGGGATCCCTGAAAGCCAAGTGTAGATTTTTGGGGGATGATATGATCCAGAGCCTATGATCTCATGAGAAAAGCCCAGCGGAGACATACTCAAAGGCTTCAGCTTGTTCCTGCAGAGCCCCCGACATGCATGCACCCCCCCCCCCCCACTTAAAACTTCTGCAGAGGTTCTGCTCCTATGGCAGTAGGGAGTGAGGAACTGGACGAAGGCCCACGTCCAGGAGAACTTTATAAGGTCCTCAGGTGTCTCAAGGCTTCTTAAAAGTCCCTTTGTGTTCCCTATGTGATTCCTAACGCTTGAGATGAAGAGTCCACTCGGTTCCTTGGACATGACCTGAGCACCCACAGTGCGCTGGGCTGTTACAGGTGCCCACAGGTGACTGTGATGGCTCACCTGCCCCGGAGGAGCTCACCTCGGTGGTGGAGGCATTCCAGTGTCATGAGCAGAGTGCTTGGCTAGGAACACCCAGCTCAGGCGTAGCATTACGTCACTGTCATCCCAGGGGACCTGCCCGTGCCAGCCTGGGAGGATATCAGGGAAGGACATAGGGAAGAGTGGGCTCTGGACTGGGGCCTCGGCAGGTGAGTGGAGTTACTAGCCGGGAAGGCACGGCAGGCATCCCTGGCGGCGGGGCCAGTGCCCGTCGTGGCAAGGTGGGGACTGTAAGTATGTGTGTCACTGAAGAGTAAGCTCCAGTGGGACGTCAGTGTTGAGGAAAGGGAGAAGGCCATGCCAAAGAACTTGAGCTTTACCTCAGGGAACCAGAGAAGCCAGTTTTAGGTCAGTCCGACCGGGGATTTTTTTTTTTCCCGACTGGGGATTTTAAAAACGGGACTCAGGTGCCTGCGTGGAGGGTGTGCTGAGACACTGGGCCTCGGTCTCCTCATCCGTAAAATGGTGATGGTATCTTTCAAAGTGACAGGATTAGATCAGCTATTTACACAAAGTGCCTGAAACACAATGTTCATTCTCTGCCCACCCTCCCCACCCCGACCTGGCTTGGCTGTGACGCCCCTGCACAGCGTGGGTCAAGAAACAGAAGCTCTGGTTTCAGGTGCACCAGGCAGTGGCTCAGTTCAGTCATCTGGGAAGAATCCATACATTATTCAGGTTCATGGAGAGCATCCTCTTTTTTTTTTTTTTTTTAATTTTTATTTATTTATGATAGTCACAGAGAGAGAGAGAGGCAGAGACATAAGCAGAGGGAGAAGCAGGCTCCATGCACCGGGAGCCCGACGTGGGACTCGATCCCGGGTCTCCAGGATTGCACCCTGGGCCAAAGGCAGGCGCTAAACCACTGCGCCACCCAGGGATCCCCGAGAGCATCCTCTTAAAACAGACGGGGCCAGTTAAAAATGGGCCTACCCAGGAGGATGTGGGGGCACATCCCAGCTCCGCACGCCGGACACACAGCCTGCTTGGAGGGCCTGAGGTCTCTTTTCTGTGCCCTAATGCTGGAGGCTATGGTCTCTGTCTTGGAAACCACTCAGTTTCCTCTTGAGAGGTTGATGTCCTGGTTCAAAACATAGATTCTGGGACCCCACCCACATGATTCCAGTCAGTACGGGTGTGGCCCAGGAACCTGCATTGTTGATGAACTTCCCTGGTGATTCTTACACAAGCTAGAGCTTGAGAACACTGAGGCAGAGTTTGCAACCATCCTGCAGAGGACGTGTGAATGGCCCAGGACAGGCCAAAGGGCAGGAGGTGGTATACGCCTAAGCGCACCCCCCTCCCCACCTGACAGCTGAGGCAGGTGAGCCAGGCTGGGGGACAGGACAGACTCTCCCACTGCACCCACTGTCTGCTCTCATGGAGCTGTCTCACTTCAACAGAGTGAGCCTCACGTCCTTTGGGGTTCTCTGGGGTTCACGTCCAGGCTGCTTCAGTGGTTTTGTGGAATTCCTGGCTTCTTTCCCCTTCATCTTGCAAAGAATCCTAAGCCAAGTGATGGCAATGTGGGGGGTGGTGCTGGTAAGGAGTGGGCCAGGATGGCCTGAAGTAGCTTCAGATTATTTCCCTTGGAAGCTCCGAGTCTCAGTGGTCACCTCAAGCAGTTGGCTCTTTTCCTTGCACCCTTTGCAGAGAGACAGGGTGTGTGGGGGGAGACAAGAGAAGGGAATGAGGACAGGGGAGAGGGCGGGAGGGAGGACGGACAGGAATGGAGTGATAAAGAGATGGACAGGGAAAGGGAAAAGGAGAATGAGGGCGAAACGGGGGCAGAAATGAAGAGTACAAATACAGACCGAGAAGAGACAGGTGTGTGTGCGTGTGTGCACACGTGTGGTGGGCTGGGGTGCGAGCAGGGCTCGCCTGGAAGGCCATCCAGGCCGCTGTGCTTGTGCTGGTCTGTCCCAGTCCCAGTCCCTGGCTTCCTGCCACAGCGATGGGCTCAGGGCTAGCTTAGTGCTGGAATGCAGTGGCTGTGGCTTGGAGCCTCCCCTCTGGCTGAAGGGGAAAAGCTGCTGACAAATCTGCCTGGAATAACTGAGTTTTTCCAAACGGAAAGAAGAAACATGCACACACGAACCAGTCTGATCATAAGCCCTGCAGTGACTTGGGATGGAAAAGTTTCCTCATTGAGATGCAGACAGGGGAGGCGCCACCGAACTGCTGGCAAACAAGCCCCACCCACCCCTACCCTACACGGTGACACCGTCACATCCCTGCTACATTCCGACCCTGATTTGTCCTCTCGTCCTAAGTACTGTCCAGGACCGAGATGAATCCCTGTGGGAGCACTGGAGCTCAGCGACACAAAACTCATCCTCCTGACGTGGGGATGGTGTCCTAGCAGCCCTCACCCCCGGCCGAGGAGGCGTGAAATCCACCCTGGTGACCATCAACTTTGGAGGATGTACAGGAGTACATCCCCCATTTGGGTGGAGTTTCCCAAACCCCTGCCACTTCTCCCCAGCCCCTGCAGGTCGCTGAGTGCCTTCTCTTCTCCCCCGGCCAGGCGATTCCTTGTTGCCCTCCCTGGGTGTAGGGGCCATGGCCTAAAGGGTGGTAAGAGATGGGTTCTGGATTATGTACTGATTGGGAGCTGACAGCTGAATTCATCTCACTAAACATTTAATGAGCATCTTTTACTTGCCCTGTACACTGTGATCAGAAAGACCAACAAGACCCAGGCGGGGAAGGCAAAAAAATGTACAAACGTAATTGTGACTCACATTAGGATGATGTGAATGTTAGAGACACAAGTGACTTGTAGGATTGCCAGAGAAAGAGTGATGGATCCGTTCTAGGCAACTCTAGGAAGGCTCTAAGGCAACTCTAAGGCTCAAGACACTGGACCTTGAAAGCTGAACAGGGCTTCCACAGGGAAAGAAAAATGGGGAAATATTTTGCTGATTCTTTAAATTGCACCTGCAGAGTGAGATCAGAGATGTTTAAACACTGCCCTTTTGACCACACCAGCTGGGGAGTGCAAAGGCAAAACTGTGCATTTGAGTCCAGACTGTGACAGCTTTGACATCTTTTTGGGCCAGTCACATGACTTCTCCGAGCCCCAATTTTCTCACCTGTAAAACAGGAGCGTCAGCCGTCTCACAGAGTTACCATGAACATCAAGTCATCGAAGCCCAAAGTGCCAGGCACGTCGTGAGTATGGGATGCTTATCTCTTAAGTACGTAGGTAGAAAACATGGCATTGGACGAGAGACCTCAAAGAACATTTTAATTCTCCAACAGCATTTTATAGAAATATTTTTTTTATTTATTTTTTATTTATTTATTTATGATAGTCACAGAGGGAGAGAGAGAGAGAGGCGCAGAGACATAGGCAGAGGGAGAAGCAGGCTCCATGCACTGGGAGCCTGATGTGGGATTCGATCCTGGGTCTCCAGGATCGCGCCCTGGGCCAAAGGCAGGCGCCAAACCGCTGCGCCACCCAGGGATCCCATCCAACAGCATTTTATTATGGTCCCTGCTCACAGGCTAGCAATAGGCGGTGTTATCCCCATTACTCGGACCCCCATCACTCCCACTTCCATGGGAGGCGAGCTCTGTATGCAACCACAGGGAAGCTGCCCCCACAGGGAAGGAAGTAGCCTGTAGAGCTGTAGCCCTGCAGTCAACAAGGCTAAGAGTGTTTCCCCTCAAATGTCTATGGATGGGTCACACCATCCCAACTACTCACTGCCTTGGTCTCATTATCAGGGAGTCACCTTAATCAACTCCTATAGAACTCAGGACAGTACCCAGACTTCCTGGATCTCTGGATGTGGCGTCTGGGAACACACATTTGGAACAAGCTTGTGTTCCTAAGGTATGGGAAAGTTTGGGGCTGCTCTTGCCTCAGCCTGGATTGCCCTTGCTCGGAGAGACAAAGGGCTTACTCCATTCAGCTCTGTTTAAATGTCTGCTCCTGGGAGAGGTCTCTGCTGACCACCTGACCTAATAGTTGCCCCACTGTTTTCAGTCCTCTGAATGGCCTTGACTTTTCACCATAAAGTACTCAGGACCTGACATTACATCACACTTACGTTTGCATGTTTATTATCTGGCTCTCCCACTGTAATGGAAGCTTCAGGAACATGTCCATTTGGCTCTTGGAACTTTATTTCTAAAGATTATATTTATTTATTCATGAGAAACAGAGAGAGAGAGAGAGAGAGAGTCAGAGACACAGGCAGAGGGAGAAGCAGGCTCCATGCAGGGAGCCCGATGTGGGACTTGATCCCCGGACTCTGGGATCACGCCCTGAGCCGAAGGCAGACGCTCAACTGCTGAGCCACCCAGGCGTCCCGGCTCTTGGATCTTTAGTGCCTACACCAGCGCCTGCTAGCAAGTGGATGCTGGCTACTTGGTAAGTGAAGAACTGCTCTGTGCCCCTGAAGTCTGCACTGGTCACTAGTGTTTGCCAAATATTTCCAGCTCTTCTCCCATGCTGAGCACAGGCTGGCACTGCACTTGCTCCCCTTGTGGAGGGCAGGCTATGCGCGTAGGAGCCTCCAGGCTCTCTCGGCTTCCCTCCGGCATGGTGTCCGGCACCATTCGATGTGGTGGCTGCTCCATCAGCCTGGGTCCCTGAGCAGCTTTGAAGAAGAGCCTCCCTGGCAACTGGCAAAGGGCATGTAATACAAATGAGAGAGAAGTTTCTGGTTTAAAGGCACTGAGATTTGCAAGTTGTTTATCACTGCAGCTAACCTAACCTGTCCTGACTGGTCCAGTGAGCCTATGCAAACAGCTGTACTCTCAGAATCACTGGGAGGTCCCCTAAGTGCTCTGGGGATTTCAGCATCTTCAAATACCTCAAAGCCAAACAAAACCAAAAACTTCCCCTTCAGAAAGTCGGGATGCCTTCTGTCCTTCCCCTTTCCTTCCTACTGGGACTCTCGCTAGGGGACTGTGGGGACCAGCCCTGAAACAATTCAGCCAGTGGAGGAAGCAGCACACTGCAGGACCACCTCTGAAGTGACTTCACACACTGACCGCACACTCAGGCTACTGCCATAATCCTTCCCCTTGGTCAAAAATAAAAACAGCACACCTACTCTTCTGGGAGTGAGTCACAAACAGAAAAAAGTCAATGGCTCTGAGCCAAGAGGATCTGCAAACATGGGAAAAACTCTCGGTGGAGGCGTCTCAGCAGACGCTGTGGTCTTACCCTAGCAGCCTGCCTGACCAAAGACCGATCCAAACAATTCTGAACCTTGAGCATCAAACACTACTACGCCCGGCATCGTCCTGACCCTAGTATGAGGCTAGAGTTTATTTAGTACTTCCTCCCTGGGGAAGGAGGACTGACTGGTGAGAGAGAGAGAGAGAGAGAGAGAGAGAGAGAGAGAGAGTCGTAGGAGGACTGCTCCTCAGGGGAGAAAGTGACAGGGCTGGGAAAGATGGTATCAGAGGACGTCCCAGGCAGGGAGCCTCCTGTTGGGAGTCAGGGGTGGCAACTACCTCTCCCAACCTCAATCTCTTGGCTCAGGCAGATGAACCTTCAGATAAACTCGATAAACTTTTTGGGTTGGTTACATTAGTTATGTTATCTCCATCTTCATCTCCATTCCCATCCCAGAAGCCAAATGTAGGGCTCTGGCCCTGCACAATCTCCTCCGCCATTCAGGGCTGACAGCAGCCACCCCCATTCCTCCAAATCAGAGCAGGAAGGGAAAACCAGTGCATTTTTCCGTGCAGCTCAGGCAACTGGGAAGGGGTTTCTCAGTTTCACAGGGCTAAAGGAGACACTCATCCCACGAGCCTCTCTATCCAGGGGATCTGGGCTGGGCTGCCCAAATTTGTGCTTGGGGCTGGGGGTAGGGATGGAGGCCAGAGATGGCAATTGTTGGCAATTATTTCACAAATGGCATTTCAGAACTGGCCTCCCAGTGTGATGGACTTGTTGCCAGGTCCTTTCTTCTTGCCACATCAAGCTGTCACCCAGAGCTCAAGCTGGGTCCACGCCCTGGACCTCACCCAGCTCACTGCCCCCCTGCGAGGGAGTGATCTCCTCCAAGGAGTCTCAAGCCTGTGGTGATGGATGGTTAACAAAGGGCGGGCACCAGCAGAGCTTTATATGCAACACAGGTGTCTGCAACAACTCCAAGAAAATGCAGAAAAGGTGGAAGAGGTGGAAATAAAAGACCAAAAAGGCAAATTGTACTTTCCTGTGTGAATATTCCGCAGAAAGCATTCAGGGAGAGCTCCCCAGATGAACTTTTCTCAGTGTGTCCCCTGAAGCTCATCTTCCCTGTGGGGAAAGGAACAGAGAAGCCCACTTAATCACCGCCTTAGATCTGCTTCTCTAGAAGCAGCACCACCACCTGGGAAGATGTCAAAAATGCATAACCTCAAACCTCAGCCCTAAACTCTTACTGACTCAGAAAGTCTGGGGGTGGAGCCCCGTAATCTGTGATTTACCAAGCCGTTCTTCAAGTGACTTCAAGTGCTACATGCCGAAGTCTGAAAACCACTGATGGTAGAGAAGGCAAGGTTCAGCCAGGGCAGCAGGTTGATGGCAAGGGGAGTCAGAGGGGTGGCTCACGGTGCACACGTCCTCATCTCGGCTCCTTCTGCTTTGTAACACCGTGGGGTCGGCTATTTTCCCTTGTGTCCAGAAACCACCTCTTGAGGCGAGAAGCTCCAGCCTCCGGTGAGGCCCGGCACCTGGGACATGCCCCCGGCCTCAACGCAAAGGGCTCTCTGATCGCCATCACCATGAAGGACAAGCTGTGGACGGAAGCAGGCTGGGAATTCCCTGATCACTGGACTTTCCAAATTTTAGGAATCGTCTAAAACTTACCTCCAAAGGAAAAGAAAAAGCCAAAGTGAAGATTCCCCCACCGGGCGCTAGGGGGAGTCCCACCTCTGACCTGGGAAGGAGAGGGTGAGAGGCGGAGGTCTAGAGGAATTTAGATTATTTTCAAAGTTGGTTGCCGGGGACCTCTGTTGGATCAACCAACGTGAACCCCAGGTTTTAAGAGGACAGGGGGTGATCCCTGCGTCAGAAGAGTGGGTCGCAAAAGCAATTACCTGTCTTCCCGCCCCCAGACTAATTTACAGGCAGAAAACAAACGCTGGAGGCCGGAGGCTGGAGGCCGGAGGCCGGAGGCTGGAGGCCGGAGGGGGCCCAGGGCCGTGCTTCTGGCCCGTTGCAAGACCCAGCAGTCCCGTTCCCCGCCCACGAGAGACGATCAGGACAGGCTGCTAACTCGGTGGGATCTGGGGTAAAGAAAAACATGCCGGGCTCTTCCTTCAAAGAATATTAAGCCTCAGGACGGTGGAATCGGAGCCACCAAATGGCAGGGACAGAGGAGGCTGGAGGCAGGCTCCGGGGGCAGCGGAAGGCGACCTGGCGTCGGGTCCCCGGGGGCGCGGTCCTCTCCTGCCCCAGGGGAGCGCGTCCGGCTGGCGTGTCCCGAGGCCCCGGAGCAGCCGCGGCGGAGCCGGCCGCGACCCAGGAAGATGCGCGCTCCGCAGCCACGCGGGGGGGGGGGGGGCGCTCTCGGGAGCCGGGCCCGGGTCATCGGAACCCCCGGCTTCCGGGAAAGGAGAACCTGCCGGGCAGGGCCGCCGCGGAGGGGAGGGCAGCGTCCCCGCAGGGCGCCCCTCGGGGTCACGCGATTCCGCCGGGCGGCGGGGGCGGGCCCGGGGACCCCGCGCGGGGGGCGCAGGGGGGCGGGGGGCGGGGGGGAGGCCGAGGATGTGCGCGGCCCCCGCCCGGGGCCTCGCCGTGGACTCCTCCCCAGCTGGTTCCCAGGCCCTCGGCGGCCTCCTGCCCCCTCACCTGGGCGAGTTGGGGTGCGGGGCGCGGGGGCGGGATCTGGCGTCGGGGGAGGCGATGGGAGAGCGGAGGAGGCGGGGCTGAAGGCAGGCGGCGGGGGTCGTCCGCTCGGCCCCCCGCAGACGCCCCGAAACGCGCGCTCGGCGGCCGGGCGGGGGGGGGGTTCCCCGGGGCGGCCTCCCCGCCCCGCCCCGCCGCGCCGCGCCCCGCCCCGCCCCGCCCCGCCGCGCCCCGCCCCGCCGGCTGCGGCCCCTTTAAAGGCGCGCGGGGGCGGGCCGCCGTCCTCTCGAGGCGGACTCGGGAGCAGCCGCCGCCGGCCCCGCGTGGCCATGGCGTCCCCGGCCATCGGGCAGCGTCCCTACCGGCTGCTCTTGGACCCGGAGCCGCCGCGGTACCTGCAGAGCCTGAGCGGCCCCGAGCCGCCGCCGCCGCCGCCGCCCCCCGGCCGCTCCTCGCGCCGCTGCGCCCCGGCGCCCCTGTCCACCGCGCCCGGGGCGCACGAGGGGCGCAGCGCCCGGAGGGCCGCCCGGGCGGACGCGGAGCCCCAGCCGCGGCCGCCCAGACCCCCTCGCGCCGTCCGGCCGGGTCTGCAGCAGAGACTGCGGCGGCGGCCCGGAGCGCCCCGGCCCCGCGACGTGCGGAGCATCTTCGAGCAGCCGCGGGACCCCCGCGTCCCGGTGGAGCGAGGCGAGGGGCACCGCTTCGGGGAGCTGGCGCTGCGGGGCGGCCGCGGCTGGTGCGACCTGTGCGGACGGGAGGTGCTGCGGCAGGCGCTGCGCTGCGCTAGTGAGTGCGGGGCCGGGGCCGGGGCGGGGGCGGGGCGGGGCGGGGGGGGCGGGCGGCGGGGGGGCGGGGCGGGCGCGCGGGCGGGGGGCGGCGGGCGGGGGGCTCCAGGGCTGCGGCCCCGCCAGGTGTGGCTACGCGGGGCTCAGCAAATGCCCCTTCCCTGGCAGGTGCGTAGCTTCCCCCCACGCGCGCACACGCCCTCGGGTCGGGGATGAGGACCGCGGCGCAAGGTCACTCCGTGGTCTCCCTCGCACCCGCTCGCTCTTGTTGCAGCTTCGTGACGGTGCGCGGTGAGCCTGCTGTTGACGCGGCCATTTGACCCGCGCTCATTAGGGTTAATGGGAACGTGGCTTGTCTCCGCGGTCCAGGCCGCGGTACGCGTCCACCTGTCCGCACCTCCCTCCAGGGCGCCCTGTTGGGATTGGGACAGGAAAGAGACCTGGTTAGGCTTTGGATGCAAAGGGCTGTGGCTGTGGGTGGGAGTGAGCCTGAGGTCACCCGGGACCGTGCCCCCTCGTCGCCTTGCGCCTCTGACCCCCTCCTAGGTGTGCAGCAGCCATCAGTGTCAACTCCCTGTCCTGTCCTTCCCTCCCTGGAGCTCTCAGGCCCCTCCAGCCTCTTTCTGAGCCAGGCTCTTCTTGAAACCTGACTGTAGAACACTGGACACCCAGCGTGGGGACTTGCTGAGCAAATTTGCAGTCTTCTTGGGGGTGAGGGTTATTATTTTTTTCTCTTCATACAGTTAGGCACGGGTATCTCTCTAACCGGTGCCCTCTCCCCGCCCCCGTATTTGCAGTTGCCATGTTGGGTGGAGGATGTCCATGCCCATGTCCATGTCCATGTCCATATCCATATCCATGCCCATGCCCATGTCCATGTGTTTAAGTGTTTACAGAGATATTTAAATATCGGAAGTACAAAGCACAGAGGACGGCACAGCCCCTAACAAGCGTCTCTGGAAATGGGTTGTGGTTTGTATCTGTCCGCGAAGGGCCCTTCCCCCAGGACCCAAGCAAGGCCCACATCTCCCATCTGACTGCAGCTACTTCCCCATCAGGAAAACCCTACCTTGCCCGGCTCGGCTCGGCTCGGCTCGGCTCGGCTCGGCTCGGCTCGGCTCTGCAGTTCGCAGCAGAGGCTGTGCCGGGTGCCGCCTGCTGCAACTGGCTTCCGGGGAGGAAAGCTCACGTTCTAAGCCAGGGTCAAGCAGAAGGGAAAGATTGGAGGGGAGAGTAGGTGTTGCTCCCTCCGCCAGCAGAACTCACGGTTTAGGTGCTAACACGAAAGGACAGAGCAGGCTTCATAGAGGTGGGTGTTGTGCTTGGAGGGCAGCTGTCACTCGGTAAATGCTCCCGACCTTACAGTAGAATCAAATGTCACTTGCCCATGGACGTCCTGGCAACTATTGCCCTCTCAAGGGTCCTCGGGCACTTTACTGTACCCACCACGTCTGTAAACACAGACAGAGGGAGCACTCACCGTCATGGATTTCGCTGCGCTGGAATCCTGGGAAATCCACTTCAGTGGAATTCTCGTCTGTATTAAGACGTTTGGGGACTGTATCACCCAGGGATGGCTGAACACCAGAGAGGGAGCAGAGCTGGAATCAAGGGACTAGGAGCGGAGTCTCTGTTTGTCATTATTAATATCTAACTAGCTGGGGACCTGTGGCTGGGTGGGAACAGTTGAGAAATGTTCTGATGTGCGAATGAGCGCTGGCAGGTGAAGACACAGCCGGCTGCACTCCCCGAGCATCTTCCTTTAAGTTGACTATCTAATTCCAAGCGGTGGTTGTTTTGTTTCATCTTTGTTTTTAAGAGCAAGGTTCAGAAATAGGACTCTAAAGAGGCAATAGCATGCAGCGATTAAGAGAACAGACTGAAGCCAGAGGACCTGTTTCAAATCCCCACTCCGCCGCTTAATCTCTGTGTCGTTCTGGGCATCTCTGTGCTCTGCTTTCTTGCTTTTAAAAAAAAATGAGGCTAACGCTGTCGGCTTCATTGTGTTAATGTGAGAATTAAATGAATGAACATATGTAAAGTGCTTTAACCCAGTGCCTGGCAAAATGCATTGTGAGCGTTTCTGTTATCCCCTCCCATCCGACAGCCGCAGTTATTTGTCTGGCCTCATGACACCTCTGAGGGTCACCCTTCCATGCAGTGAGTGTAGTTCTCAAACCCTGCCTGGTTGAACTAAGTGGGGAAGCGAGTGCCATGAGCATCCCCGGATGTGCGGGTGTCGGCTGTCCTCCAGAAACACCATTCCTGCTGGGTGTGGCCGAGGAGCATCCTCACTGAATACCAGTGGCTTAGAGAGCACTTAGGTATTAGTGTCTTGTCTTTATTTCATCTGCCCCTAACAAAGTGCCAGGCACAGAGCAGCCTCAGTAACTAGCCTTTCATGAAGGTGGTGGCTTGTCTTTACTCTTAAATTTCTCTGTTCTCAGAAATAAACAGAAGGGCAGTGGTACACGAATGACATCTGTCTAGGCAATAGGCTGACAAGGGGTAGGAGCCATGTTGGCAAGACCGGCTCTTAACAAGGGAAACGTTTGGAAAGCGGTCTTCCCACTGCCTGCCTGCTTGGTGAAGGCCCCTCTAACTTCAACTTACCCCTACTTCCCCGTCTGTAACTGGTTCTGGTTAATGCTGGATTTGCCAAAAGGGGGGTTCAGAGTGAATATTAATTTCCAAGATTAAAGAGATCATGTTTATGAGATAGAGAAAGAAATCTAGTGGGGACTGGGGGAGAGAGAGACAGAGATAGAGACGGAAAGAGAGAGACAGAGAGAGTATGTGAATGCGTGTGTATGCTTTGGGGTAGGGACAGTGGCAGTGGCGAGAATCTGTTTGCAGCATTCCAGGAGGGCAGGGTCCACAGCAAACAACGTGCAAAAGTCACGGGCTGCCCTTTGGCTTGGTATCAGGAAATGACCTTTACAGGTCACAGACCCTTTCTTCTGTAGAAGACACACAGCATTGACCTTTTACCTTTCATCTCATTTTGTGGATATGTAAGCCTTCCTGGACTAGAAGTTTGGAAAATGGGAAAACTGAGTTCCAAGTCAACATTCAAGGAGGGATGCTCGGACATACCTTACATAATGGTAGCGAGTGCCTAGAGTCTTCTCTGGAGGCGTCATTGGTCAGACCTATGAAGTGTTAAATGACTGGAATTACAGGGTTGAAAGGGGAGCCCTGGGGCTCCCTGTCCTACCTAGCCCCCCCCCCCAATAGACATTGAATTATGATGTGGGAAGGAGATGCTTGCCAGGAGACCTCAGGGGCAAGGGACACTTTCTGTGGCGAGTGAGACTTATGTCCTACCTTCACAGCTCCGTCTTGTCCCTTCCTTCATGGTTGGGCTCAACCTGCCTCTCTGTAAAGACTGGAACCACCCGTGTGACAGCCACTGGATCCTGCGGAGTCATCTCTTACCGTGAGTTCTATGTAGAAGAGGTCACTGGGACATCGACCCTTCCTGGGATAAAGGCACCGGGCTGCCCTGCAGCAGACCCTAGAACACTTGGGCACTTGGAAAGTACTTTATCTGTCCAGTACACCTGGCGGCACTGAAATGCGTGGCTTGAAGTATTTTCATGGACTCAGACCCCTGTTTGGCTGTGGAGGTTAGGAGAAAGGACATTCGTTGAGTTGTTAAAGAGAATGGAGCCCCCCTCTCCTTTCTAGTTCCTCCCACCCCTGGCTCTGATTGGGGTGTTCTCTTAGGAAAAGTCTTAGTGGCATGACTGTGTGTGTGTGTGTGTGTGTGAATTTGGGGACAGAGAACAGATCTGGAATGTTTTGAGGGAGGCCTTCTGAGGTCCCCAAGCTGCATCCTGTTTCCTCTCCTCCCTGCTTCCTGTCTTCTGAAAAGATGAAAGTGAAAGCATTAAATGTGGGCTTAATTGCCCCCCCTCTTCATCAGAGCATGAAATTCTCTGATTATGGAGGGATGGGGGCTTGAATCCCAGGTACAGTCAAAAATGATTAATGCCACTTGTCTGCCAGCCTAATTAGACTTGGTAATGAACGCGTGTGTTCGCCTGCTGATCCTGCGGAGTTATTAGGTGGAAGCGAATTGACGTCTCCCCTCAGCGCTGAGGGTTTGGTCTGGTGTCCTCTCTCTTCCCCCCAAGTTTATCAGTCACCCAGCCTGTGCCAGGCCTGGCAGGTAGGCCCTGAGCGACAGGGAAAAGACAGCCCTCCGCCGGGCCCCAGGGTCCCCGCCCGGCTGGTGACGTGGCTCATGCCACAGGAGCTGGGCCGGAGGGTTAAGAGTGTGAGGACCGGGCCGGAGGCTCAGGCCTGGCCCAGCCCAGCTCTGAGCACAGGAAGGACCTTCACCGGCCGGTACTGCCTATTCCCTGAGGAGCCCGGAGGGTTTTGCGCTCGCGTCCGTTCATCCTGGGATGGCTTCTGAGGTCAGCGTGCAGGGATGCTGCCGCCAGCAGCGTGGCCACGGCCCCCGGCGGGGGGGGGGGGGGGGGGGGGGAGCCCTCCCAGGTGGGCCAAGGCTGGCTTCCAAGGCCTTGGGGCCATTTCAGGCTTTCAGGTCATTTCCGTCCTTCAGGCCGTGCCCAGCATTTCTGTGTCAGAAGCCGCGGCCTGGCTCTGGCTCGTCCCGGGAAGGGCCCTCGGGCCACCCCCCACCCCCAGCATCCCCGCGGAGGAGCGGCCACGCTTGCTGCGTCAGAGGACTGTTAGCAGGGCCCTGAAATACTTCAATAAGCTCTAGATGCGCCTTATCAGAGGCCCTTCCCGTTCGCATTCCTCAGACGACAAGGTGAATGTTCTGGGGCAGGTGAGCGTTTGCAGACTTCGGGGGAAGAGCGAGGGGGCCGAGGTGATGAAGTCAGACAGGGCAGCGGGCTCCCTTCCCCAGGCGGCCCAGGCTGGAGCGGAGTCGCGAGTCGCTTGGGTGCTGGGAGTAGTCGTGGGGAGCCCCGCCCGAGGTTAAGGCCGTGGACTCAGACCTGGGGAGGTGATGTTTGGGCTGCT